TATTTCTTAAATCATATTAATAAGTAAGATTATATAAAAACTAAAAATTCTTTAAAGTTACAAATAATTAATCTACATGTTAAATTATGATAATTGCTTATAAAATTTTTTTAAATTACACATTATTATACTTATAATTTTGTGTATTTATTTAATTGAAATAAGATGATTATGAGCAGCGATGACAAATAGTCTTATGTTACTTTTTTTTACAAAAATTCTTTAATATATTTCAAATCTGCAATTAGATTAATTTCCATCGCCTCATTTTTTGAGATTATTACTAATTTATAAAAACGAGTATTTAAATTTAAAAATTTATTTTTAATATATTAAATTAATATATTCCGAGATTTGGTCGGGCATAAGGACTCGTTTTACCAACGAGATACATTTGTCCCGCTCCGAGTTTGAGCGATGGGTTGACATCCAGTCGCGCCTGGAGGTCAAAAGTCTGGGGTTCTTGCCACACGGGGGTTTTTCCAGTCACCCGGGGACTTCCGTAGTTCGGTAGACTTCATTCTATGAATGATGCGGAGGACCTCGTCGCCTTGCCCTCAGCGAGATCCTATCTTGGAACAAGGGTAATATCACTCTTGTAGCTGCAGATATGGGTCTTAGGGATGCAATCGAGGCAAATGATTATGCCAGCTGGCTAGCCCAAAATGGTGGTGGGTCAGGAAACACGCCCGGGGAGGGAACTAATCCACCCGAACCGGTCAGTGTCGACGATTTGAGAGAAGACAAATCTCTGCGGGGTAAGAGGAAGGAAGTATCCCCAACAGCGGATGGACCAAGGACGGTCATCTTGGAGGACACTAATCCACTAATCTAAACATGCACCAATCCCGCAAATGGATACACCTGGAAGGGCTCCTGTTATGAAGAGGAGGAAGTGCGGGGAGATTGCGGCTGCCGACCTCTTCCACGTGGACGGTATGCCGCAGTCGAAGCTGGATCGGGCGAGCTCGAGGTCTGTTCTTACGGCCAGTCTTGTCCTGGCGTGCAGGCAGGCACAACGACTGGAAAATGTAATTCTCGTCGTGCCACCACACGACCATGTGAGATCGGCTGCGAGAGATCTCATCCGGAGCGTTCGCTCGATGTACGACTTCGAGCAGACCCGTACCCCGGAGGAGGATGTGCCGACCGTCGAGTCGTTGACGCAGACGGAGCCTCCGGAGGTTGCGAGCGGCAACGAAGAGGCGGAGAAAGAGGAAGAGACCCGATGCGGGTGGGGAGTCTACCCCAGAATTAGGTTGGGTTGGGATGGTGGTGGCTGCGTGTTAGATCTTATGTCAACCTTAGGGCTGTCGACGTCTAACAAGGGGAACCACCCCGACATTTGAGGGTAACACATCGAGCTCGGTGGTGGACGTCACGTTGTCGTCGCCATCATTATTCAGACGTATTGCCGGATTATCCGTTTTCTCCCACGTGGAGAACTTGAGCGACCGCTGGTAAATCACGTGTACTGACGGTAGGCGTCCTAAGATGAGGCGCGACCTGCCAGCGTGCGGCGCTTGCAGCGGTTGGAAAGTAGGCCCGGACGTGGACGCCGATCTATTCGCGGCCGGTCTACTGATCGCCCGATGGACGGCGCCCACACCACCGGTTTGACTGGTCTCTTTGAGTGAGGTGGCAGAAGAGCTGGACAGGAGGGTCGAAGTCGCTTGTACTTTAGGTGTCCATTAGGACCGCGTAACCGCTTGTCGGGCTGACATGACTCCGGGTTGGTTGGAGCCCGTGCCGGATCCGGGTCCCAAAGGACAATAGAACGCGCTGCTACTTGTGTATTTTCTGTGTTTTCTTGTGAATTTTATACCAACCCACAGCAAAGTCTTAACCCCCTCCACGTGCTGCGACCTGGTCAACGGATCCCACTCTGGGATCTGGCTAACGGGGGAGGCCATGACGTGTTGTGACTCAGCTCATGATTAATTTCGAGTCATAACACGGCGGTGTGAGTTTTAACGCGACATTGGGCGTCCTGAAGCAATAACTCACGGTAATTCCAGGGCGTCCAACACCACGTTGAACATGGAATAAAAAAAAAAGTTAAGAATAGTTTTAATATTCTAATCAAGTAATAACTAGAAATTGAAATACTTGTATTTGTCATGTGTTTACGTATGATGCTATTATCATTATTTACTATTAAAACCTCCTCAATTAACTTTATTTTTAGTTACTACTATAATATTCTATTGAACCAATATCCGATTCAATGCTTATAACCAAAATTCTTATGACCTTACCAGAAAATTATAAATATTTTTATAGTGCATGGGATTCTATACCATCTGAGAACAAAGCATTATTAAATTTGACATCCCGATTTATGGTAAAAGAAACAAGACAAAGTAATGGCTTTGAAATTCAGAAATATAATGGTAAAAATAGTGCATTTGTGGCGAAAAAATCGTTCAGAACGAAAAAACAAAAATATTCAAAGTTTGATAATTACTCTGGAAAAATACAAAATAATGATAGCAAACCAGGAATTTGCAAATTCCTGTTTTTTTTTTACCAGGAATTTTTGTAAGAAACCAGGTCATTGGAAACGTGATTGCTAGATTTTGAAGAAAGAACATAACGGAAAAATGTTATGTGGACTCCGGTGCAAGTGATCATATAACCAGTAGAAGAGAGTGATTCAGAACCCATGAGTCGTTCGAGATTCAATTGCTAGTACGTATTGGTGATAGTAAATATATTATGGCTATTGGTAAAGGTAATATATATGTTAAACCAAAAAATTGGCGAAAAATGGGTTGATAGTTATTTGTCAAATGTTTTACATGTACCTGAGCTCAAAGTAAATTCGTTTTCATGTGGAGCGTGCCTGGATAAAGGTATAATAATGATAACAGACAAAAATGTTTGTACATTTAAAAGAGAAAATAGTACAGTTGCTGTTGGAATTTATGAGAATAAATTGATTTCGATGATTTTTAAAACAAGGATATCGCAAGAAATAGATTAAATGAATATTGCTGAAAAAATGTTTACATTACAACAGTGGCATGAAAAACTAGGTCATCAGAATGTTCAATAAGTTAGAAATTACCTAAGGCATATGGGTTTTCAATTCAAGGAAATGGAAAATAAATTTTTCTACGAAACTTGTGTATATGGTAAACAACACAGAGAACCATTTACACTAAGCAGTACTAAAACAACAAAACCAGGTCAGATAATTCACAGTGTTTGTGGACCCACGGAAGAAAATTCTATTGGTGGTAAAAGATACTTTGTTATATTCAAAGATAATTACTCTAAGAATACTTATGTATATTTTATGAAGCAAAAATCAGAAGTAAAAAAAAAATTTTAATTATTCTTAAATACAGTGAAAAATCAGTTAAATATATCAGTTCTTATTTTACGAAGCGATTGTGGTTTCGAATATAAGAATGATGAAGTCAAAGTTATTTTGAATAAATTTGTATAAAACATGAAACCAGTGTACCATATACACCACCACAAAATGGTAAAGCGGAACGAACAATGGGTACAAAAGTAGAAGCAACTAGAACAATGATATACAGTAAAAATTTGTCAAAAAATCTTTGCGCTGATGCGATAAATACAGCTATATATGTATTGAATCGTACGTTAAATTCAGGTAACAAAGAAAAAACACCCTATGAATTATAGTATAATAAAAGGCTTAATATAAGCAATTTTAAAGTATTTGGTAGTGAAGTTTATGTTCATATACCAAAAGAAAAGCGTAGAAAATGGGATCAAAAAGGTAGAAAAGGAATATTTGTTGGGTATTTAGAAGAAACTAAAGGATACCGCATATGCTTTGATGGAATGGAAGTTTCATTAAGCAGAGATGTTATATTTAAAGAATCTATAGAAATAGAGATAAAAATGAGAAAAGAAGATTAAGGAATAAATTCAGGAATGGTAGTTGAAAGTGAAGAAAAAAACATTAATGATGAAAATAATGTTGAAAGATAACAAAGTATGGGTGAACTTGATCAATCAGCAGATCAGACTCAAGAAGAATTAAAAATGAGACTTAGAGATAGACAAAATATAGAAAAGCCAATAAGGTATAGAACAGAAACATTTTATTTAAAATGTGATAATCCAGTTACATATGAAGAAGCTATAACACAAGAAAATTCAGAAAATTGGAAAGAAGCAATGGATGAAGAGATGTAGTCATTAAAAAAGAATAAAACGTGGAAATTAGTAAATATACCAACAAATAAAAAAGTACTTAACAATGGCTAGGTATATCGAACCAAATTAAAGAAAAATGAAGAAGTTGATAGCCAGACTAGTAATAAAAGGCTTAAATGGATGTCTCCAAATACATTCAAATAATTAATAAAGTTTGTTACAATAATTATACAAATAATAACAATAGTGCTCTAACCTGGTCACTCCGATCTGGTTGCTAAATATTGCCAAGTCGCTGATGCTCTTATCCGTAATATGAAAGTCACCAAAGTCCGCCTGTACACCAATTGTACACATGGGTACACAAAACCCAGGGCGAAGAAACTCTTTGAAAGGCGACTCTCACACCGCCGCAATAATAATAATAAAATTACTAAAAAATAAAAAATAAAACCGACAACAAACAATACACTGAGTACAGTAATATTATTTAAGACAGTGTTTTTCTATCTTTTTGATTTCGCGACCCCTATACAAATTGAAAAATTCTGGCGACCCTCATAAGTCATATAAAGACACAGAAATAATTTAGTAAAAAGACTACGTTAACGATTTTTTCCTATTTTGGTACATTTATCTATTATTCAGATCTAGCCGTGAGAGTTTTGAAAGTAAGTACAAGGTGAGTTGCTAAGGCCACGTGCGACCTAACTTAACTGCATCGGCGACAACGATGTTACTGCACCGCATTGTCGTTGCAGCGACAGGAAGTGCCTGCGCGCGCCACCTGCCGCCGCTCGCGATTTTCTTTTGTTTCAACTCTCATCTTCATCTCACTCAGTTAAGCGCAGTCGCCGATGAGTACGGACGTATTGTTTTTTTTGCTTGCTCCGTGCGTTTGTAAAATGGATAAGTGTCTCAAAAGATCGCAGCCTTCAACATCTGGTACAAGTGTCAACAGCGGTGGTGAATCAAACCCCAAAAAAATAGATAATACGATGGCATTTATTTGAAATACTGGTTCACAGTCATAAATAATAAACCTCTATGTGTCATTTGTGACTATGTTCTATCATGTGAGAGTATGAAACCGTCAAAACTTATACGGCATCTCACAACCAAGCATCAAAAAGAAGCTGATAAGCCGTTAGATTTCTTTGAACGAAAGTTGAAAGCTCTTAGTCAGCAGCAAAATACTATGATTCAGGTAATAAAATAGTGATTTCCCAGTCTCAACAAAGTGTTGTTAAGACCCTCGATGCGCTTAAGCGATAAGCTCAGGTCGAGTCTATTCTATTCTAATTAGTAGAAACAGCAACCTACTGTTAATGTTTTATGATGTTCATTTCTTTGTTGTTTGAAAATAAATTTTTATTATACGAGGTGTGTTCAAAAAGTAAGGTGACTTGATATTTATATGAAAAACTATTTATTTATTCATCAATGTTTATGTTGTCCCCTTCAAAGTAATCCCCCTCGGATGTAATACACTTGTGCCAACGCTTTTTCCAATCTTCGAAACACTTCTGATAAGCACTTTTTGGTATAGCCTTGAGCTCTTTCAGCGATGCAGTTTTTATCTCCTCAATCGTTGCAAATCTTCGTCCTTTCATAGGGTTTTTCAGTTTTGGGAACAGAAAAAAGTCGCATGGGGCTAAATCCGGTGAATATGGTGGCTGAGGCATGATTGTGATGTTGTTTTTGGCCAAAAAATCTCTCACAAGCAACGATGAGTGAGCAGGTGCATTATCATGATGCAAAAGCCATGAATTGTTTTTCCATAATTATTTAATTTTTAGTATTATTAGTATTTAATTTTGGTGTGAAAAGGTTCCGCGTTCTTAATTTTCATTGACTAATCAATTTTATATTGTCTGGTTTATTTTCAGGTATCCAGTGTCAATGAGTCAGCATTATTAGCTAGCTACAAAGTCGCATATCGAGTTGCTAAAGCAGGGAAACCGCATACCATTGCCGAAAATTTGATTTTGCCAGCAGCTCTTTATATGGTTGAAATTATGGTCAGCAAGCAGGAGGCAAACAAGTTAAAAAACATACCACTTTCTGACAATACTATTTCACGCAAAATAAACGATATGGCTAATGATATTCAAGAACAAGTNCCTCCTGCTTGTTAACAAGTTAAAAAACATACCACTTTCTGACAATACTATTTCACGCAAAATAAACGATATGGCTAATGATATTCAAGAACAAGTAGTCGAAAAATTAAAGAACAGCCAACATTTTGCTTTGCAGTTTGACGAATTTACAGATGTTTCCGATTGTGCTCAGTTTGAAGTATTTGTGCGCTTTGAAGCAAATGATAGTATCATGGAAGAAATCTTATTTTGCAAAGCACTTCCTGCAAACACGTCTGGCCAGTGTTTGCACGATATGTTTTTAGAAAGCACTTGCGACTACGATATTGATTGGAAAAAATGTATCGCTATTTGTAGTGATGGCGCTAAAGCTATGACTGGTAAAAATAGCGGACTCATTGCGAAATTGAAATCGATAATGCCAAACGTATCCTGGACACACTGTTTTCTTCATCGACAAGCTCTAGCTTCTAAGGTAGTACATTCTGATTTAAATGACGTGCTCAAGGAAGTAATAAAAATTGTGAATTCTATCAAAGGTAAAGCCTTGCAAACCCGGCTATTCAGAATCGTTTGCAAATATATAGGCTCGCTTCATCAAAATCTCCTTTACTACACAGAGGTCAGGGGGCTATCCAAAGAAAAAGTATTGACAAGAGTTCTTGAACTGAGAGCTGAATTGTTAATGTTCTTACAAGATGCAAAATCTGAATATGCTAATCGTTTTTCTGACCCTATTTGGCTCTTGAATGAAATTAGCATTTTTGGCAGATTTTATTACCCACCTTAATAATTTGAACAACAACCTCCAAGATAGAGAAGAAAACATTTTAACAGCTAAAGATAAAGTCAAATCATTTCACGCAAAACTTCGTTTGTTGTCAACCTCTCTCCAAAACAATATATTTGAGTCTTTTCCATGTTTTCAGAAGATTGTTCAAAATAACGCATCAGACCTAAGTCTTGTATTAAGGGCTCACATTCCTTGCATGATACAGAGCTTACATAATTTACAAGAGAAACTTCTGACACTTTCCTGACTGGCACTCTGAAGCTGACAATGGGCGTAGATAGATTTGAAACCCTTTTTTGGACAAGTCAATATATCTGGCTGATGTTACAACAAATATGAAAGAGCATCTTTTAGATTTAACTGCTGATGACATGCTTAAGATGGAATTTTATTCGCAAAGTGTCGACGTATTTTGGATGAAAAGAAAACACGAATATCCAAAGGTGGCAAGGGAAGCTCTAAAATTATTAGTGTCATTCGCCACAACATACTTGTGTGAATTGACATTTTCTGCAATGGTAGACATTAAAACTAAAAAGAGAAATAGACTGCAATTAGAAAATGATTTGATTATTAATGTTTCAAAAATAGCACCTCAATTTGATAAACTTTTGAAAAATAAACAAGCCCATCCTTCTCATTAAAATTGTGTTTTTATTGTAGTGTTAGAACATTGTCTTATTTTCAGCTCGCGACTCACAGATTGAAAAACACTGATTTAAGATAACAGTTTAATGTAATTTTACTTATGTTAGTATATTATATGATATTATTGATATTTTATATTATATATTATTATATTACGAATAATTTCTAAATCTTTTTAATTGCATAACCTATTCCATTCAATATATACAGAACTATTTTCTGTATATAATCTCCCTCTATATACTGTTTTACTAAGCCCCTCATTATAGCTCGTTTCAACCTATAATTTTTAACTAATTAGCAATGATATCAAATCATGTTATTATTTCAACTTTCAACTTAACTTTTAAAAATGTTCCACTAATAATCCGAGCTTTAAATATATGTCAAATGATACGATAAATAATATTCAAATTAAAAGTAAAGTTTAAAAAAATCAAAATTTTTTTTTTATATGTAAATACTCATTTTTTACTAATTAGTAATAATATCAACAATTAGAAGTGATAGAAAAAGTGTAATTTTCTGATTTCAAAACAAAGCAAAAAGTTAATTTAGAAAACTATATATTCGATTTTTATGAAAGTACTTTATGTCCAATGTTTTTGGTCACGAGTAACAACAATTTTTTTTTGAAAAGCATTTTATCAAACCTTTAAAATTGAATGCACGTTAAAAGTAAAGAAATATACAACTACTTTATTATTTTTATAATCTCTCCGTATAAATTACAATATTAAATTATTGAATAACAATTTCATACTAAATTTAATTACTATAATTAGTGTTTATTCATATATCATACTTTTAAATCAAAAAACCACTAATCAAGATATAATTAAGAAAATAGGATTGATGTTGCTTTTTGAATAATTTATCAATTTCTTAGAATTAAACACTATCTACAGATTAGTCTGTAGATAGTAGTTATTACTGCTATCCTTATACCCTTATAGCCATACTGTTATTTTTTAGTTTCATGTACTTCTTGATTTATCAGCTATTAATACATTATTTATACCTTATAAGGGCGTTAACTTTATATGTTTAAATGGTAACATACATATTTAACTAACTTAAAAAACTAAAAACTAATCTAATTTAGAAAAAAGGCTGATATATAGTTAAATATTAAGTGTAATAAGAGTTTGGCAGAGTAATACTTATGTTATCCAAAAATTTGTGTTGATCCATACATTTTCAAAATTTTTTAACTATATAAAGTCGAAAAGATAAAATATAAAATTTCATCATAAAAATATTATATTTTTAACTACAAATGCTATTTACACATAGAAGATAAACTGTTATTATTTCAACTTATATTATAGAACTAGATTTAATGGAACATATCTTCATTTAAAAACAAAATTTTTAAAAAATTAAATTAAAAATGTTAACTTTATATGCAAGAATTGCTATTTTGAATCCTCTCTATAGGCATGTAATGGGTTAGATTTTCAAAAAATTATATCAAATGAAAGTAAAATACCAAAGGTAGTGAATATGTCGTTTGACATATTGATGAAAGAAATCAGATGGCTGAAAAAAGTGGCAATAAACACACACTAAAAAAAAAAAAATAAACAAATCATAGTAAGTCTCAGCTTCACATCCAATCTAAAAATTTATGAAAAAGTGTGTAATAGTTATAAAATTTTATTGACAAATAACTCCAAAATGTCATAAACCACGAAAATGAATTTTTCTACGGTTAAAATTTAAATAATTTTTCAAAATAAATTAGTTAATTAAAAGCAAAAAAAGATCATTATTACCAGTGGTGGATTTACTGGGAAGGGTTCAGAAGGTCTAGACCCCCAGACACTGATATTTTAACATAATTTAATATGTAGGGTAAGGTTGATACGTATTCCAAGTAAATTTTATTCTTAAAGCTTAGAAAATGTTGAAAATCCGTCACTGTATCGTACTTAGAGAAAAAGAATTTTATTCTCTTTAGTTTAAATAAAATTGTATTTTTAAAATGAAAATATATTTATTACTTTTAAACTTTGATTTCAATTTAAAGGGCATTTATTCTTCAATTCTTCGAAAAATATTTCCTAAGCATGTACTCTAGAAAGCACATCATTTTTAGCAAAAGGATATTTATCAAACAGTCTCCCTCTAAAGTTGTTAGTCAAATTGTGTCCGAACATAAGAAATATGTCCCAGATAACACTTAAATTAATTAACCTATTTTTAAATTGTATGAAGTATTAAAATAAAAATTTTTTGAATTTAAACGTTTGAATGTGGTCACGGTTATAATTATACGGTAAATATGTACCGTTATCGGTTATTTTATTCAATAAAACTATTTTAATAACATATACGAAGCGTATTATTTGAATGTGTTCATAATTGAAATTTTAACTATGCTACATGTTCGTTAAGTGTAACCTGTTGCAACAATTAGATATACAGAGGGGGCCATAACGCGTAACACCTATGTCAGTTCATGACAGTGTTGTCAGTCAACGCTTTCACCTCCTCAGTAAAACCCTTTGTTTTCGCTGAATGTTGATAAATCGTATGTTATCATTGTTTTTACAAATTTATTATTGCTATTATTTGTCGTGTAAATAATTTAAAAAAGCGTTATTTCAGTATTTTTAAAATTAGTTGTTTTAATTATAATTATTCATAGCTGAATTTCATTTTAAATTTGAACTCAGTCTAATTAGGTTTGAAGTATCAAATAATTGTAAGCAATTTCTTCTATTACCTCTTTACTGTAAAGCTATCAAACTATTATTAGATGAACTGTATTCAATTTTGTTGGATTGTAAATATAATCAACCATTTAATCATGCATGATCAAATATTAATACAAAAGAAGCTTTTCGATTATTTTTTCTTGTTAAGTAAATAAAAATTTTGATTTAGTGATTAATGAAGTGGTGAAAGTTTTATGTAAAAACTACATCCTATGAATTTTTTATTACTTTCTATTAGAGCTACTTAACATTAATATTACATACATAAATTTTAACAAATGATCTGATTTAGTATTATTTCTAATTGTTTTGTTGAAAAACATAGTATTTTAAAGTATTATTCGTAATATATAATTTTGATCTTAAATGTATGAATATTGTTTAATTCAATCAATATTTATTTTAGATTTGTACTATCTTACTTTTCATCATTTTTGTCTGGTTGAAGAAGTATCAATTATTTTTTAATATAGTTGTTACTGTAAAATGTGTTGTACTATTTTTAATATAACAATGTAAAATGATTTAATTTACAGTATTTCCTTTTATATGGAACCATATATTTAAATGAAATTGTGATGAATGCATCATCTGAATCAAGCGTACTTGATGAATCTCTGAATAGTCCTAAAAACAACTCACAAACAACCAATGATAATGAGTTAATATTATCACCAAAGAAACATCTGGTTTGTTTTGCTTCTGTCAAAGGAGACTGCATAGTCACAAAAAATGGTACGTCATATGCAGGAATTAAAGAATGTTTGCTTAGTGAACGAATGGTAGATAAAAAAGTTCTCATTGATAATAAACCCATTGAAACATCAGTTTTGGATTCTGATATTGATAGTGGAATGGAATCATCTGCATCAAGTTGGGATAGATCTGTTAATGAAGTCAAAGAACATGCATTTGCACGACTTGAAGAAGAATTAAGAAAAGCTAATGAAACTCTTAAATTGAGAGATGAAGAAGTATCACGTTTAAATAGAATACGCTCTGATGTTGAAGCTGAGTTACAAGAACTAACTGCTAGTTTATTTCAAGTAATATAAAAATATTCAATACAATTATGTTATTATTATAGATATAAAACATGAATTTTATTATAATATTAGGAAGCTCATAGCATGGTAAAAGAAGCAAATTTACGACAAGCCGCTGCTACTAGAGCTTTAAAAGAATCATCAATGAAAGTAGATGTATTGTCTGCTGAAGTAGCAGCATTAAAAACTCTGGTTTTAACATCAACTCCAAGCCAGCCAAATTTATCTAGAGAAGATAGTGTTTCATTACCAGGTTCATATTTCAATTGTATAAAATAGATATTTCATTATTACAATCTATCTTTTTTGTAGGTTATTGATTGATATCACTTTTTGATATTAACAAAATAAAATACATTTTAATTATTTATTTACATTCCTATAATATAATTAATGTAAAAGAATTATTGGATAACTCAATATCCTTTATAAGTTGTTGAAACTATTAAAATATCTTGCATTTCATCAATTTAATTTATTTATGTATTTTTTTTTAAATATCGGTTAAGTTAAAAAATTAATTTTTTTATTTAAAAAGTAAAGCTTTAGCAACATAAGTTGTTGGCTGAATTAAATTTTTTTTTTTTTAAGCTTATTTATTATTAAATTTATGATACACAAATGTATGGAATAATTCATTAGGCTTTTCTGTTATAATTATCTATGGTGTACCTTGATCGTCTTTATATTTATTCAATCATTTTTTCACTACACATTCCATTGCTAATTTTCTAGCAATTTTAGTACTATAATAATTGGTACAATCCATTCTAATAATAGAAATACTAGAATTTGTAATATGGATACAAAAGCATATTTAGCTAAAATTGTAGATATTCCAAAACCACGGTATTCTTGTAATGTTGCTAATGTTTTAATCTCTAACATTTTATTTACATTGAACATTTTAAATAAACATGGATTATTTTCTATTGATACTCCTAACTTTATGCTCTGTATAATTTTGGTAAGGATTTATACTTCAAATCTAAATCATTAAAATTTAGAAATTGAAAATAAATATTTTATTTCAAGGATATGCAATGCCTAAATCAATAAAAAAGCACAATACTTAACATGTATTTTACATAAAATTCATACTGTTCAGTAAGTAAGGAAACAGGTTTCTATTGTTCTCATTGTTTGTAACAATTTACCTGTTTCCTTATTTACTGAACACTTTGTATATCAATTTTAGTTTGGTTGTATGTATATAATTTTGTACATACATTAGCAGAACAGTACATTATTATTAATCTTATTTATCTCATACATGATGTATGTATAACTCTATTAATTTATCGTAAAAATTGGTATCCATCGATCTTACATATTAAACAGCGTGTATAATAATACTGATATCATTGGTCATTTGTTTTTATTTAATATAAATTAATATATACTAAATAACTTCCAAAAGATACTAATGTAGTCCATTTTAAAATTAAGATTTTATTGAACCTAATAATTATAATTTTTAAGCTTTAAAAAATTTTATTTTAGAAAATTGAGTTATATTTTTTATACTATAGAACTTCTTTGTTGAACTAATAAAATTAAAAAAAAAAATTGATATACCATACAATTTTTATATAGCAGTATCAATTATAAATAACTGTTGTATATTTTTTATGAAAATTAAATTTTGTAACCTGCTTCTCTCTTATATTATATTGAATAATTTGATCTAATAATTTCACTAGTAGCAAGAGAAACACAGTATTATTGCTTATATCTATTGCTATAATTGTCATATAATTTTCTATATATTTTTTAGTATCATCAAATCTTTCATCAAACTTGTCTATTTTAATTTTTAGTAATTTGAACACTGTTTCATCTCTATAGTTTCTTTCATCAAAAAGTTAATGTTATGTATATGTTCTTCTCTTGATAGCTTTATTTTTATATTAATAGGCTTTATGTGCTTACTTGGTACCTAAAATTACATTTTTTTTGCAAAAATACAATTATATTTTAGAAAGGTATATTGATAATTTTTCAAAAATAAATATCTTACGAACATTTTATTTTATTTGTAAAGGATGTTTTTTAATTGTTTGTTTAAAGATAAATTTTTAACTATATTTTGATACATAAATAAATAATTTTGATAGATTTATATTTTACTAATTTTTTAAAGTTTTTTATATAACAATTGTTATTAAAAATGAAATGTTTTTGTAATTCTGTGTAAGTTTAGTAAAAATAAATAATTTTAGTCTAGCAATTTTCTACATTAATATCACAAATATAGAAATAAAGGTTCATTAAGCTAGAATGTGTATTAATTTATATTAAATTTTATTTTTATTAAAAGTTGAAATATATATATATATTAACAGATTAATATATTAATTTTAACTTTTTTTATTTTATACTTAAAGGTGGATTGAGTGGAGTTGGATTATTTTACCGAAAACATAAAAGATCTCCTTCTCACAATAATTTAAAATATGGACGTGAAAATTCTCCCCCAGATTCTCCCTTAAAAAAAAATAACCAACAGCAGTTAGCTACTGATTCTGTTAATTCAAAAATTGTTGAATGTGGTGAAGTAGGTTCATAAAATATTCTTTTTTCTTTTTTCTATTAGTTACTAATGAGTATAAATCAATAAAATATATAATACATAATTTTTTTATCAATAAAAACTTAATTATATAGATGGATCCAAATGTATACCGAGAATTTGTAATATGGATGAAATTGCCTACGTTAGATAAATCTGATGCTTTTATTAGTAGAATATACAAAGAGGACATTGATCAATGTTTAGAATTTAATAATTCTACATTGGCATTAGAGGTGAGACAAGCTGTAGAATCTGGAAATCTTTTCATTGAATCTATGGATATAACTAAAACCCATTTTCCTAAGTAAGTTATAAATAATATTTTTTCAAATGCATGTATAATAATAATTGTTTTTAATATAAATTAGTATTTAATTATTGGTAAGTGTTGGTAATTTCTTAAAAATAATGTTTTTGGTTTGTGGTCAAATGAACAAATATATTGTGGTTTTGTTTAAATAATAAATAATTCATTTTATAATCTATGATTTTATCTTTTAGACACAATTCTAGGTTAAAATAGAAAACAAAATGTTTTATTATATTAATATATCATTGATTACCAACAATTTTATTAATATTAACATATGTTTAACAGAAATGCTAAAAATTGTAATTATTTTTAGAAAATGTGCCCTGATGGAATTACCATTAATGTGTTTGTATAGAATGAACTTAGGTGGAGCTGATGATGATTGGTATTCTATATCTCAAATTTGTCGAAATAGGGTAAATATATGAATGCTCAGTTTTAGTTTTGTTAATTATTTTAAATTTAACAATGATTAATAAATTTTGTAAAAGAATATTGTGGTTCTATGTGGTTTCCTTAGCCCTCACCAGACTGATTTCTTTCATCAATATGTCAAACGACATATTCACTACCTTTTGTATTTCACTTTCAAGTTTAACAAAATATCATTTTGATTTAAAAAATCACTGTTTTTGTGTTATACACTCTACTTCAATTATTTATGCCTATATTTTAGGTTAAACAGTATAATAATATAGGATGGGAGTAGTACTCCATTTATTCCCTCTCTTTTACAAAAATGAAAAATAATAATAGAATAAATTAAGTGTTGGACTTAAATACTTTGCTACTTATAATGTCAATTCAATAAGTATATTAAGCTAACAATCTTTTATTTGATAATCCATATTTATAATTTTGATATACTTTGTCATAGAAGTAACAAATTATACAATTATTTTTTATTTCTCCATGAAAATTACAAAATATTGAATATTAATTTCATACTAAATTTAATTTTTATATTAACTATTTATCTATTACATATAAAAGGTATAAAATTATTAATCAGGATATATCTAAGGAATTTGGAGTTGATGATGCTTTTTCTATTATCGCGGTTTTGCTGTCGTTTATAAATCAGTCGTTGGTTATTTTGGATTTCATTGGTTTTTCTTAATATCTTCTTTATTTATTCTTATTTTATTGTTTGTTTAAATTGTTTTTGTATCTTACGGTTGGTTTGGGTTTAATTGAGTGCCGCCGGTATGAGCTCCTCCAAGAGTGCGCCCGGTCTCTCGAATCTGAGGATCGGCTTGCCCTCCGATGAACGACCATGCTCTTGTAGGGACTTACCTCTTGAAGGAGACAACGAAAGGCTAGTGGACCTGGTCCCTCATAGGACCCGATTGCTTGGAGAGGAGGGTGGACTAGACATACAGTGAGATGTCGTACTGTCTCACACAAGTGATGTTAAGCCACAGCTGCTTCAACGAATACCTTCACAGTATTCGGAGGGCAGCCATGCCAACGTGCGACCACTGTTGGAATCGCCCAGAAAAGGCAGACAGCGCTCTGTACACAATCTTTTGGTGTGAGGCGTGAGCCCAGGAATGGAACTCTCTGGGGTCCCGTCTTGGGTCCACAATCCTGGTCGGGTCCTTGATGGGCCTGATGTTAGGACGCTGGGAGGCGTGGAGGCTCGTCCAGGTGTTTGCTGAATCCATCTTGCAAGCAGAAGGCCTAAGGCAGAGGCAGCTGCACTGCCCTGTACAGGAGGACCTAAGGCGCTCGTTTAAGCCGGCACCTTAGGCGGTCAATTGTTTATGTTTTCTATTATGTTGTGAGTTATTTGCCCTCTCGCAAAGTCCAGCCCCTACCTCCACGTGGTGCAACCTGGGCAACCGACTCCACTCTGGGATCTGTCTAACTGGGTATCAGCTCTTCATTAATTTCATGCTGATTCACAACATGATAGTGTAAGTTTTAGAGATGGCGTGGGCCGCCCTGAAGTAATGCCTCACTGCAGTTCCAGGGCGGTTCACAATTATGCCAATTGTGGAAAAAAAAATAAGGTTTAATTTTGGTGTAGAACTTAGATGTGTGTTCAGATTTTTTATATAGAAAACAAATTGTTTTAGTTTTTTGTTAGTAATATTCAGTAATTAAAATTGTCTTAATTGATAAGAATTGTAACTGTTATTTTGTATTTATCAACTATTTTTCCAGCTAACTTTTTGGATAATAAAAAAAATATAATAATGTTTTACTACTTTTATAGTAAAACATTATAAGTTCTAGTAACTCTGATATTTTCTTTACTATGTATTTCTTGTTCAGTAATGTCGAAGATTATTATATTTTCAGTGAAATTTGTTTTGTTAAGGGTGGTTTTGAAGATTATATTTATTTGAGATTGAGTTTGATAATTGTTGATGGATATTTTTACCAAAATATGTCAAAAAATAATTTCATTTAAGAAAATTTCATGCTCATAATTTTCATTCTATAAAATATAAATTTTGATTTTTTATAAATCATTATCAAAATTTTTTTATCTAGATAACTGCTGTATGTGATTTTCTCAATTATCTTAAGTACATTCAGAGAGGTTTAGTAAAAAGCACAGGTAAGCATTTTACTTAGTATAATTTAATTAGCATCATTAATACTTTTCTCTGTTAAAATTTTTTTTTTTTAGAAAACGATATGTATTGGGAAATTGTCAAACTTCGAAAACAAATGATGCTTGCCAAACTTGGATTAGCAACTTAACATGTGCTGCTTAGCACATGTTTCCTAAAAATTTAACATTTTTAAACCAAAGTCTTTATTATATTAACTTATATTTGAAAAAAATGATCTAATTTTTATTTACTATATTTTTAAATTTTTAATTACTATGTGATTATTTGAGTGTGATTTGTTTTCTGTAGTGTGTATAAATTGTCTCGTACAACTAATACTATTAAAATTATTAATTTAAAAAAAAATATTTCGTTATGAGATATTTACCTATATTTAATTTGATATAATGAATTTAATGCAATTTAATTATTTTATTAATGTGCTGTGTACATTTTTAAGATTTCTTGCCAGAAAAAAAATTCTCAACTGTATGAACTGAAAAAAAATTTCTTTATTTGATTGTATGAAAAAATAAAGAAGTATAATGAATCTTAAAATCTACTATGTGTTATGTGATATAATTTATGTATTATTGTATCTGTTTTTTTTTTGTATGATCTGATATTCTAGATTCTTTTTTTTTTTAGAATATTTTTGTATTGTAGCATCTTTGTTTGTATTATTATCAAATATTGACATTTCATGTTGTTAAAAAAAAATTATAAAAATGAAAAAACAAGTTGTGTTTTTAGCTGTGTTATTATCAATTCTTAAAAAATAAGTTTTCTTACATTATATAAACTGAAGAAATTAAAGCCAGTTTTATTTGTTAAAATAATAATATAAGGTTAGCAAGGGTAATTGCGTAAAAATAAAATAATTTATTAATTTATATCTTCATATTATTTTATATTTAAGGTTTATGATTTCATTAATAATAGCATTGTTATTTTTTCCTTAGTTTTTGAGATGTTCATATAATATAACAAAAATAGAATAATTGAAAATGTAATTTTTAGAAAAGTTAAAAAAAAAATATCTTAGTAACACTATATTTTGGGGTAAGTGCGTTTTATGAATATTTTCCTAAATGTAATAATATTTATATATATATATATATATATATCAATATAAATGTATTTTACATAATTGTTTTTATCTGGCAACATATATATTTAACCAGTATATAAAATAGAAAATGATTTTAATAAGAAATTTAGTAGATAATAACTTATTTCAATGAGCTTCTTTATTTAGTCAAATATAGTTAATGAATGTAAACAAATTGAGAACATAAATTGAACTTTGGGATTGATAGACATTGTGGTTTAAAAAAATCAAAAGAAAACAATTTATCACACTTGACAGATATTCTATAAGAGGAGTATTAAAACCGTATAGTGTCATTTCATGTGATATCACCTAATGTGTGTGCTGCTATATTTCATAAATTTTTATCATTACTTCTTAAAGGTCAAAAATAATTTTTTTTTTTTATTGTTTTTTTACTAAATAGCACATTTTTTATAATTAAAAACATGAAAAAACACCTTATGTTCTAGATCCTATAACTTCACATCCAAATAAACTATCACTGTGGAACTAGTACTGTTTTACTCATTAAATAGTACTTCAATTTAATTTTTAAGTTTATGATTTTTGAATTTTTTAGCTTCGATGCGAAGCTGAGAAAGTATTAATTTTACCATGATTTTTTTTTTTTTTTTTATGTCTTGCCACTTTTTTTCAGCTCTCACTGGACCTATTTCTTTCAACAATACGTCAAAAGATCACAAATCGTATCTAGTTGAAGACATTCCCTTAAAAATTAAAAAATTTTCTCTCGTTCCCCGCAAATGGGGGAAATCTCCAAAAAAATTACAAATTTAAAAATCTGTACATTTTGTCAATTTTTTTCACTTTTTTTTCTTAAAAGTTCCATAACTTCAAAATTCAACATAATTTTATTTTATACTTAAACCTTAGATATTTTCCTTTTATTTGATATCATTTTTTTGAAAATCTAACACTTAACCTGCTCACTGGGGGGGGCATTTAAAATAGCAACTTTTTTATAAAAACTAACTTTTTCAACTAAATTTTTGAAAATGTTCCGGAAATACTGCGTCCTTTAAATATGTATCAAATTAAAGTTTATTTTATGTACTATAAAATGAAAAAAAAATTTGTCCCGATACTTTATCTTCTGCATTCAAACGGTTGCCGTAGTTAAAAAAACGTTATTTTTGTGTTATAATGTTCGATTTTAAATTTTCAACTTAAAAATGCTATAACTTTTCGAAAAATGTATGTATCAGCACAAATTTTTTTTTTTAATACATTATATACAGAGTGTTCAGTAAATAAGGAAACGAATTTCTATTGTACTCATTGTTTGTAACAATTTAACTGTTTCCTAACTTACTGAACACTCTGTATATTAACTCAAAAATATGAAACTTTAAATGTTTNCTCATTCATTTAACATACTTTATATTTAAATTGGAAAATTTCCCTTTATACTAAGGGTATTCAAAACTAGAAATATATGTATAATTGTATATACAGGGTGTACAGTAAGTCAGGAAACGGGTATCTATTGTTCTCATTGTTACAAACAATGAGAACAATTGTTTGTAACAATGAGAACAATAGATACCCGTTTCCTGACTTACTGAACACTCTGTATATGATTTTTTATGACATCGATATTAGCAGGTACACAGCATTGTTATTATCAATGATAGTAAGGTACATTGTTGTGAGTTTATAAATACACTAACTGACAATACAAAAAGTATATCTATTGATAGTCACAATTGATAATAAACAATTCGTGACTGTGATAGCAATATCATAAAAAACCAATTAGCTACCTGTATTTGTAATACCTTGTGTATTATACCTATACAAAGTGTTCAGTAAATAAGGAAACGAATTTCTATTGTACTCATTGTTCGTAACAATTTAACTGTTTCCTAACTTACTGAACACTCTGTATATTAACTCAAAAATATGAAACTTTAAATGTTTATATCTAATAAACAAATTAAGTTTTATTAAAAATTCAAATGCCATTTATTATTGAATTAAAAACTCAAACATTTTATTAAATTAAAAATATGTGTTACCATTTAAAAAAACAAAGTTGAAACCCTTATCAGGCATAAGGGATGAACTTAAAAAGTATTACATAGTTAATAATTCAAGAATAATGTGTAACTAAAGATAGTAATAAAAAAAAATTTTTTAATTATTATTATTCTATAAGTAATTGAGTGGGTTATAATAAAAAAATCACTCTGTATATTTTTAGTTTTGAAACTAAAAAGTTCTATTAACTTTTTCAACTTAACTTTTCAAAATGTTCCGGAAATATTGCGTCTTTTAAACATATATCAAATCAATGTTTATGTCATATACTATAAAATGAAAAAAAAATTTGTCCCGACACCTTGTGCAAATGGCTGCCAAAATTCAACAAAAAATGTAATGTTTGCGATAAAAATCACCTTCTATCGGGATGTTTTTTGTACTTAAAACTGCTATAACTTTTTCAAATATTAACAAATCAAAATAATATTTTTTTATATCGAAACCTTAAGTAATCTAATACTTATTCTGCTCACAGGGGGGGATTTAAAATAGCAACTTATTTACAAAAACTAATTTTTTCAACTTAACTTTTGAAAATGTTCCGGAAATACTCCGTCCTTTCAACATATATACAATCTGTAGATTACTACATGCAGCTCCTCACCTCCGTATTTTATGAGTTCTGCTGGGATGTCATTGGTACCCGGCGCTTTCCAATTTTTAAGGCCAAATATTGCAATTTTCACTTCTTCTAGACTAACATTCTTTACGTGTGGCTCCTCTCTTTCATATTCGGTAGGTAGTACTGGCTGGGATGGCATCATACCATTTAGTGATTTTTCAAAATATCCTTTCCATCTCTCAGCTCTTGACTCTGGCTCCATTAACATTTGCCCGTCTTGATCTCTAATTGCATTCCATATTGAGTTGAATTGTTTAAACTATTTAATAACTCTGAAAAAGTTTCTAGTTCTTCCTTTTGTATGGTCATTCTCACAGTTTGTCGTAAGTTACTAAAAAATTTTCATCTTTCCCTTTGAACGGCGCTTTTGCACTTTTTCCGTTCCCATATGAAAACTACTTTGGTCATTTGAGTGTTGTTCTCAATAAAGTCATCTCTTGCCTTACGACGCTTATCTACAGCAATTCTACAAACATCATTATACCAAATGTTTCTTGATCTTTTTAGCTAACCAATACTTTTGGCCGCTGCTTTTTTAACAGCATTGCTCACTTTTTCCCAATCCAAATTTGCGTTCATACACACATTATTCTCTTTAAGATTCATCATGACTTCATTCTCATATTCTTTCCTTACGGTTTCATCTTTAAGTAACTCTAAATTTATTTTAGTCCTCTTATCTTGTTTTAGTTTCGCTTAACTTTTTAACTTTGATCTGAGTTTAGCAATCACTAAGTAGTGGTTGGTGTCACAATCTGCGCCTCTATGGATTCTTACGTCGTAAATGATACTACGGTATCTAGTTTTTGTGGGGACATGATCAATTTGGTTTAGAGTTTCGTCATCCGATGACCTCCACGTGGCTTTGTGAATATCCTTGTGTGGGAACGTAGTACTACTAACAGTCAATCCGTTTGATGTTGCAAAGGATATCATTCGCTGGCCATTGTCGTTACTGTGCCTATGCAAACTTTCCTTTCCTATGCAAAGGAAGTACTGCGATTCCCGTCCACATTTCGCATTAAAGTCCCCCAATACAACCTTTATCACGTTTCCAGTGATTCTTTCGCATGCTTCGGTCAGTTTGTCGTAGAATGCATCTTTCACGTTGTCATGTCTTACTTCTCTTGGTGCATGTCAATTTATTATGCAAATATTTATTGGGCTAGTGTTGATTGTTAATATTGATATCCGTTCAGATATTGGATGAAATCTTTAATGTATGGTACTAGTGTCTAATGGATTGCAAAACCGCTACCGAAGTGATGTGTATCCTCCATTCCAGAGTAAAATATTGTATACTCTCCAACTGTTAGTTACACTCCCAACCATCTTATTTCTTGTATGGCTGCTATTTTAATGTTGTAGATATTCAAGACATCAGCCAGATTTTGGCTTGCACCCGTTTTATATAAACTTTTCACTTTCCATGTCGCAATCTTAAAATCCTTATTCCGTTTCTAAAAACCAGTCTTAAAAACCATGTAGTCTTGTCCGAGGCTTATGTGTAGTTGGTTTCATAACAAAATTGTTTTTACTAGACAGGATTGTTAGACCTGCGCTTAACCCTCAACCTGGAGGACCAGGCTGAACCAACCAATTAAGGTCAGTTCAGAGCTCGGGGCCCCGGGTTCGCCAAACCAGTAGTGCTAATTACTCGGCACCCCCTGAGGGCAATTGACTACCGTATGCAAAAATATGCCATATTTGTGAAAAAATTCTTGATATTATATTTTACATTTTAGTTTCGATGCGAAGCTGAGAAGGTATTAATTTTACTATGATGTGTTTTTTTTTGTGTCTGTTACGCTTTACCTGCCCATAGGGAGGGTTTCAATATGGCCACTTTTTCATAAAAAATTAACTTTTTCAACTTAACTTTTGAAAATGTTTCGAAAAGACTGACACTTTCATATATATCTTAAATGAAATCTTTTTTAATATACTTTAATTTGAAAAAAAAAAAATTTAACCTCTAGATTTGTTTTCATGGTGAAAATGACTACTAAAAATATTCTATTTTTGTGTTAAAATTCTGGGTTTTGTATTTTATTTTATTATTTTAAAATACGTGAAAAGAGGAGTATAGTAATTTTCATAAATATTATATAAATCAAATTAATATAGCATGGAAAGTTAAACTTATTTAAATTTTTTTGCTTTTTTTATGTAGAGAAAAATAACTTTGAAATTCGAACTAGTTTAAATTGCCATTTTTTTTACTCGACGGATGTGACGTACGGTTGTTGAGTCGGTAACACTTGTGTCTTACGCGCTTGGGGTACAAGGTTCCAACCCATGTATGGTAAGGAAATGTATGCATTTTTTCTTAATTCTTCTTATGTTAGAATAAATCAACTCCTTTAATTTTTATCTCATTTAGATTCAATAACTTCAATAAAGATCAAGGATACCAGAACTACAGATCACTGTAGTTGCCCCTCATGAGAAGAAATTTTTTATTCGTATTAAAATTATTAGCTTCGATCCGAAGCTGAGAAGGTATTGGTTTTACTATGATGTGTTTTTTTTTTTTTTTTTTTTGTTACCACTTTTTCTCTGCTCTCACCGAACGGATTTCTTTCAACGATACGTCAAAAGATCACCAATCGTATCTAGTCAAAGACATTACCATCAAAAATTGAAAAAATTTCCCTCGTTCCACGTAAATGGGGGAAACCTACAAAAAAATTACAAATTGAAAAATCGCTAATTTTTGACATTATTTCAATTTTTTTTACTTAAAACTACCATAACTTTTTGAAAAATTAACAAATTAATATAATTTTTTTTTATAGATGCATTATGTCTTTAATTATCATTTGGTATATTTTTTTTGTAAATTTGACACTTAACCTGCCCACAGAGGGGGGATTTAAAATAGAAACTTTTTCACAAAAAATTTACTTTTTCAACTTAACTTTTGAAAATGTTCCGAAGGGTCTGACACTTTGATATATATCTTAAATTAAAGTTAAAATATATTAAACGTAAAATGTAATTTACGTGTGAAAAAAAAAACCTAATATAACATACTCATAAATGGTATATAATTCTTTATCCTCTTTCAAACATTTTTTTACCTCATCTAAATTTATTTCTACTTCATTTATAATACTAAATATATTTATTTCTTCTTCATCTATATTAATTTGGCTAACTAAAGGTAACCTCGATAATGCATCCGCATGTGTCATACTCTTACTAGGACGGTATTGAAAGGTATAATCATACATGAATAACATTACTGCCCATCTTTGTAACCGAGAAACAGTAACTACCGATGTTCCTTTCTCAGAACTAAATATTTCCTTTAAAACTTGCGAATCTGAGCACAATATAAATTTATTCCTATAATTTTATTTGTGGAATTTTTTAATAGCAAAAATGATAGCTAAAGCTTCTCTATGAAGTTGAGAATATTTTTGTTCAGTCACAGATAGTGTACTTGACACAAACATTACTGACTTTTCCACTGGCTACCACATGTCCTAACACTGATCCTACTCCATAAGGTGATCCATTAGCTAAATCACTATTGCCTTTTTTAGATCATTAATTTTAGAAATTATTATTAACACTAAATTTATGAAAAAGGCTAAAATTTCGTTAAAATAACTTATTATAAATTTTTTGTATATATATTGTAATAAATTATTTCATTGGAAATATTAATAATTTCTATGTAACTTAAATAGATGATAAATTTGAAATATCCAGAACTATTTTTCTTATAGTTATATTTTATAGTTTTTAATTATTTAGTAATAATATCAAAAATTATTCGTGATAGAAAAAATATAATTGCTGATTTAAAATTAGCACGATAAATTGAATAATTAAAGTATANTAATTGCTGATTTAAAATTAGCATGATAAATTGAATAATTAAAGTATATTTTTGATTCGGATAAAATTTTTTTCTGACCATTTATTCATAATTAACAACAAATTATTATCTAAAAAGTTCTGTATTGTATATTATTTTAATATTATCAAATAATAATTAATAATTAGAAAGTACAAATTGTCACTGTTAAAGTAACGATAAATAAAAATATTAAATTGAACACACGAATTACAAAAAATATCGTTATTATATTTGCTAAAATTCGATTACAATTTTACAGTTATAATACCCAATATTTATAAATGTTCAGTACAAATAAAATCATTAATACTTTTATCATAAAGTATACAACTAAAAAAAATCATTTTAAGTAAACAAAAAAAAAAATGTTTAACTAAATTACATGAAATAATGTTAAAACAATATTGAAATAAATGTAAATTATATACTCAAAAATAATTTTTTATAAGGCAACGAAAAAATCTGTAAATTAGCTCATTAAATGAGTAAAAAAAAACAAAAATTGAAAAATGCAAAGTAAAAAATAAAAAAAAATTTAAGTACAAAATACATAAAATGTAATAATAAGTTATTAATTCACTTTATACAAAAGAAAATCTTGACATAAATAATTTTCTTTCAACAAAAAGAAGACATCCGACAGTATGTACGATAATAAATTACAATGCAATAATAAATTACAATGTGTACAGTGACTACGGCAAGCATAAGAGTTATAAGGTAAAATATACCGACATATGTCAAAAAACAGATGAAGACACAATCGGCACAGAAGTCGCTATTGGTGTTGAGATTAAAATTGTAATAGCATATCATAAGTATGAAGAAAACATCTATGGTCGAAGACAGTCCAATAGAATTGGTTCGACCTCATATAATAGACACAAGTTATTAAGTTCAACAATTTCATGATAAGATTTTTGTTCTATGAGATGTTGTATTGGAAGCAGTGAGATTAAGGCTTTGTCAGAATCTGTGTAATCATCAGAGGTGGGCAAAATATTGTGTAGGACTTTGTATAAAATATTAAGCCACCTATTGTTTCTCTGGAGGCCAAAAAATGCAAAAGCGTGGCCGCAGTTACGATCCGGTTTCAAAGTTGCGTACGACTCAAACATACCAGTCATTGCAAAAAGACATCCGATGGCTATTTGAGTGTGCAGTGGATATCCAATTAGTAACATATCGTTCGTAGTGTGCTTCAATGAATCTAAGATGGAATGCAAGCAATTGTATTGTAACTTGACATTGTTTATACAATTTTCCAAATAAACATCTGTCAAATCACAAACTGTTGTATCTGATTTACAGTTTTTCAATTGAGATTTAAANTTGTTGTATCTGATTTATAGTTTTTCAATTGAGATTTAAAATACGAAGATCGAGTTTTTTTATCAGCAGTTCTTTCGACGTAAGGAAATTTATCTATTATCTTATTTCTACACTCAAGTAACGACCCATCGCAAAATTTTGATCCACGTACTTTCGTTACTGGCTTTCCCATACAAAATTTTACCTGTGACACATCAATATTAGATTTTTTACATCGTACAGTTAATTTTTTATTCCATATATTATTTTCTAAATTACAAAATTTTATCATGTCCTTGTACAATATTTCAGCTTCTTCTCTAAGGCTTAAGTCTCGACGGCTCATCTTTTCCGCGTACGAGACGTCAAATTTCTTCTTATTATACTTTTTGGATACGTTTTTTGATATAAGAGTTTGGTCTTCACGAATCGGTTTTAAATTGTACCTTTTGATAAACTCTTTGCACACATAACTTTGAATTTCCTTCATTTCATTATAATACTCGGCCTTTAAAAACCACGACCTAATGTTTCTCTCGATAGTTCTTATTTGTAAGTTGGAAAAATAACTTGAACACTTGAATATTTCGTTAATAAAAGTCCTGGGTATTTGTCTAAGAGGAAACATTGCGTTTTCGTGGTTTTCACTTTCAAAAAACGACTGAATGAAAGGCTCTGCAAATTTTCTACCTTTGTAATCTTTGCATACGATATATATTTCTGAATTTCCGGACTTACTGGTGGCTGGTTTCTGAATTTCGACAGATTTAAATAGACAACAAAGCAAATATATTCTACAAATTGTGTTACATTCGAATATCGTAAACGTTTTTAATACAAATGATCCTCTGTCTTTTAATATGTTCAAACCTACCATTACCTCATAATTATGTAAACGCATGACAGTACATTCTTGTTCATCTGGATTATTTTGACAATCTATACTTCCATCGGCCGTTACCAAACTTACGCTGTTTATAAATCTTTTAGAAACCGTTTGCAATAAGTGTTCGTGATACTTCGGTTGAAATATGTCACCAGTATAGTCCGGACCGAATTCCCATTTGTCTAATGTGTTTAATATTAAGCGGTCATCAGTAATAATTTCAGGTTGGCCATTGGATTCGTGGTACGGGTTAAGTGTCATGGCCAACCAGTCGAAATTTAAGTTACGATGATTTAGTGATATGTAATGATTCCGGGAGCTTCACAGAGATGTACAGAGTTGAAATTAGCTTTGGATGTACATTCTTGAGTAATCAAAGTAGAATTGCCTAAGATTTCATAGAACTTACACCAAGCTTGAGTCAAAAAATCAGGACTTATATTTTTCTTAAGATGACCAATGACTAATCCAGCAGAATTCATTTTGGTTGTATGTGCATGCCATGTTTCGCTGTTGAAGTTATCCAGTTTGTGCTTAACAAAATTCAACTCTAATTTCAGTTCTTGAAACTTGTGTAATTGCCAAGAAGGCTTTGTAAACATACTACTAGAGCGCGGCATTCGCCAATTTGTACTAAGTACAAACTTTTTAGAGAACGCTATAGCTTTTTCGTTATGTTCGGTTGGAGGTGTCATTGTGTGAAAAAATACTTAAACTTTCTTCGTTCACGTCAAATCGCCTCCTGAAGAGAAAACTATTTATTTGATTTAAGCATATAGAAATTTTGTTACTTAGAAACGGATTTCTGTATGTTTAATTATAAATAAAAATAACTATTGGCCTAAACTAAAATTAAATAATAATCCCACGATAAATTTTTATACTTTTAAATAAAATAATTATACCTATGTAAATAATCAACATTTAGAGTAATAGAAAAAGAAAATACTTATCAATTTTGGGAAAAAAAATATAATTTTTTTTTTTGAATTGTTACAGAAAATATTATGACATACTTAAATAACGTAACATTTGTTTTAAAACCTTATTTCTAAACTCCGTTTAAAATGTATTATTACCATATGATTCAATATTAATAACAATTTTTATAAAATGGTATAATTTTAAAATCAAATAGATAATTTAAGATAATTTTTCACAATGTTATTTTTATAAATAAAAAAACTACTTAATTTTTATTTATGAAAAGATACTTTTCTATAATAATATTTTTTATATAATACCTCAATAAGTTATATCCAATAGTAAATTATTTAATATGTATTCATATATTACAATAATAAATCATAAAACATGTAATCAGAATATAAATAAGGAAATAGGAGATCATTTGCTCTTGGAATAATCCATTAAATTTTTAAAAATTAAACACTATCTACAGATTTGCATCGAAGCGTTTTTAACACGCTTTTATTAGTTTCACTTGTATGTATGTATGTATGTATGTATGTATGTATGTATGTATGTATGTATGTATGTATGTATGTATGTATGTATGTATGTATGTATGTATGTATGTATGTATGTATGTATGTATGTATGTATGTATGTATGTATGTATGTATGTATGTATGTATGTATGTATGTATGTATGTATGTATGTATGTATGTATGTATGTATGTATGTATGTATGTATGTATGTATGTATGTATGTATGTATGTATGTATGTATGTATGTATGTATGTATGTATGTATGTATGTATGTATGTATGTATGTATGTATGTATGTATGTATGTATGTATGTATGTATGTATGTATGTATGTATGTATGTATGTATGTATGTATGTATGTATGTATGTATGTATGTATGTATGTATGTATGTATGTATGTATGTATGTATGTATGTATGTATGTATGTATGTATGTATGTATGTATGTATGTATGTATGTATGTATGTATGTATGTATGTATGTATGTATGTATGTATGTATGTATGTATGTATGTATGTATGTATGTATGTATGTATGTATGNCCCACGCTTTTATCACAATAAAACTAGTATTTTTTGTTCATAATTATTTTAAAAATTATTTTTAACTTTTTAGTTCGATGTGCTTTAAAAGCGTGTTTTTTTTAGTTTTTTAAACTATATTTTTTATGATAGTAATTTTAATCACTGTCAAATTAAATCTATACTGGACCCAACTATGCCACGACCCTACCGTTCTGGGTTTTTTACTATATTTTAGGTTTTAGCTTCGATGCAAAGCTAAGAAGGTATTTTTTTGTGACTATCATTTATTTTTTCTGCTCTCACTTAACCTACTTTTTTTAATAATACGTCAAATGATTACAATTCGTAATTATTGACGAATCAAGTTTGATATTATAATTTGTTTTGATAGGTTTCAACTACAAAATTAAATAATTTTATTTTGTAATTTAATAATTTTTTTACTCTATTAGTGTGTGCTACTACTAGACCTGCCCGTAGGACAGTGGCGGATCCAGTGGGGGGCGCGCGCCCCCTCCTCAGCTACTGGTTTACTGATTAAATTAAAATACCTTTAATTAGGACTTGGTATCTAAAAATCTAAAAATAATGAGTGCATGCGAATTATGTAGGAACACCCATTGCTTTATCGAAATAACATCAATAATAGAATATATATATATATATATGTACTGATATACTGTATTATATCTCTATATTGAAGCAATCGTGTTATTTATAGAACACGCTACATGTATTTTTTTAATAGTATTTGTACAAACTTAGGTAAACTATTATTTCTATTTAAGTTATCTATTACGATAAAAATCAAAAAAAATATTGAGCTTTTCTGATAAATTTACTATAAATAGTAATTACAAATTTTTCTGACTACATATTAATCTTAACGATACAATTTATTTAACTTATTGAGAAAGATTAAAGAAATAAATTCATTACATAATTTAATTAATTAATTAATATAATTAACATAATTTATTAGTGGTTTATTGTAATTGACATAGATGAATTATAAAAGAATCGTAACAATATTCTATACAATTAAGAGTATGGCGACGAAACTACGACAAATTGTTATATAAAATATTTGACCCGAATATGCTCAAGTCGAGTTATTAGCTATGTGTTGTATCAGCACGACTTGTGCAATAGTTCATAACACCCCCAAAGTTCAACGAAAGCCTTATTTCCCTTTTGAAATTTACTTAATGACGGGTAATGGGTTTTGCATTTCTACAGCTCCTGTTTGAAAATATATGGGTTGTAAGATAGGTGATTCGTTGCTCTGAGGTTTACAATTAATACTATGTCGTACATATTTTTTAATTTTTAAATATATATACAGTATCAGAATTTAAAATAAAATTAAGATCATCAACGTTATCATACATCCTATCAGTATTGTAGCATGATGGCTATTCTTCCTATTCTTATTAATTAAATCTAAACTATCTTGTATTATCTCTAAAATTTAGACCACCAGGGGTTCGCGAGCCAGTCATAGGGGGTCCGCGGTACCATACATTTTTTCTTCGATTTTTATTAGAAATTAATATTTTTTTTTAAATAGTGAAAAAAAATTACGGCTTATGGAGGAACCGTATAATATTATACGGTTCTGTATAATAGTATTTTTCATAAGTGTGTAGGTAGATTTATAAATAATATTATTATCGCAACCGATAATAATTATGTCAATCACATTAAGTAAATTATTTTGTATAGTAAAGTATAATTATATATTAGTTAAGTATAGTAATAAAATGTAAAGTAAAGTAATAAAAATTAACATTTTTTGATAAATTTTGTGTATTCTTGTTAATGAGCAAAAAAAGGTCTTCCTAGTTTTCGTAAAATTGAGGGGGTCCGCGACCTATAAAATATTGCCGAAGTGGTCCGTGCTGGTAAAAAGGTTGGGAAACACTGCTCTAAATCATTTGAATATTTAAGTAAATTTTTTAATTATAATGTGCCTGTGTCGTTTGTAATCTAATTTGTTTTATTGGTTTACTATTAAAATAGTTTATGGTCTCTACTGGTATGATGAAAAAAACATCTGTAAGTATTGTGGATTTATATTTTCACGGCGGTAACAAAACCGAATGTTCGGTGTAAATTGGGACTGCCTAAAGGACGGACCGTTCGCCACGGACTTCCAAAAACTTCCAAAAATTTCCAATATGTTCCAAAAAGTTCCAGAAAATTATAATACACATTATATGATTTGGTGGGGATATATATATTTGTGGGGATGGATTAATTATATATATTTAAATACGGTAGATATATTATAATAACTACCGATGTATATGCTATTGCTCGTTCGACTTTCAGTTTGGAACTGCCTGTATATTGCAATATAGTAATAACTACCGACGCATAAGCCATTGCCTGTCCGCTGCGGAGTGTTCGCCTCGACGTCGCATAACAACTACCGTCCGACCACCACTAAATAAAAATAGGAACTACCCGTATATTATCAACACGGTAAAGTGTACAATTATTAAGGACATTACTTAGGTTTAAAATAGTTAATTTATTTAGTTACACATGAACTGATAAATATAAGATTCAACTATTGCTACTTCTCTGATACTACGTTATATTATATAATATTAAAATAATAAGTATTATTATAATTTATATTTACTACTTATGTTGATTGTAATTCATAATCTATTGAAAAATTAAAAGAAGAATAATTTACTTAAGTAGGTATATCTATTTTAATTTGGCCAGATGAAATTTTAAAATGGCTTACTTGAAATTCGCACACCCCCAAAAAATTGAAATAACGCCCCTGCAGGTAGTTCCAAAATGGATTATAAAAGAGATCGGATGGTTATGCAAACATAGCGTAACAGATGACAATAGCATATACATCAGTAGTTTTTATACAATATAACTGTGGACCCTGGAATTTTTTGGAAGTTCTCGTCAGAAGCAGATCGTTCGTGTTTTAGGCTACTCTATAGGGGATTTTAGGTCACCCCTATTGTTCTCATTGTCACAATTGACCTGTATCCCTCCTGAACATTTTGTTCAGATCTATTATGTAAACTTAAATAATTTTACACATAATGGCCAAGCTGAAACAACTCTAAATCAATAAAATAAAAAATATAGTTAAAAAAACACGCTTTTAAAGTACATCGAACAAAAAAGTTAAAAATCATTTTTAAAATAAGCTTAAAACAATAATGAACAAAAATTACTAGTATTATTGTGATAAAAGTGTCGGGCGCTCAATATAAGATAAATATGGCACAAAGCACCCATGGTTGTAACGGGTAAAGGGAAATCGAGGTTCGATTCCGGGGAGGTAGTCTGATAAACGGCTACCACATCCAAGGAAAGCAGTAGGCGCATAAATTACCAACTCCCGGAACCTGGAGGTAATGACGAAAAATGACGATACGGAAATCATCCTTCGTAATCGGAATGAATACTTTATATCTCTTAATTAGAATAAAGCGTGTTAATATATAAATTTTAATAGTAATTAAATATATACAAGTAAAGCGACTGAAGTACGTAAACGTATCATGCACTAGGTATAGCCGTGTTTGTGGATAGTCGGGTCGGACTAACGTTATATCTGAGGTATTAATGGCGGTAGGATATATACGTAGCCGTATGACACGCGGGTGGTATTGGTCAGTCAAAATAAAAATTTGTTTATATATATATATATATATACAATATTGATGACAAGCACGCGTGCACAGGTATGATAACCAAAAATAAATTTATACAGGAATAGTGTTGCCGTCGTGAGGTGAGGTGAGGTGAATACGTTATGACAGGCTAGTCTCAAGGCCATAGACGACAGAATATGCGACAACGCTTGGCGAGTGGAGAGTTACAAACATACATACATACATACAGGTGAAACTAATATAAGCGTGTTAAAAAAACTATATTTTATTGAAAATGAAGTATATTTATAATATTAATATATTTATTATTATAATCTATAAGCCATTATTAAAAAAATCTTATTTTTATATTAACTAAGGTACTTTCTAATAATTACATTTATGAACCAATCTTCAGTAAATTTTAGATGATCTCCAGGAATTGCCAAAAAATGTAACCGACCTGTTTCCTCTAACTCTTTTAGGCCAATTCGGTCCTATAAATAATTGGTCTAGATGTATAAAATAAATAACTTAGAATTATCTATAATTTACCAGTAGATATAAAGTTGACTGTTCCAGAGGCATAATTTTAATATCTTGTCCTGGTGAATAAAAAGCAAACCATGAACTTTCTTTAGGTATTACCATGGTATCATTAGCAAACATAATCAAGACAAAATTTTTTAGTTTTAATAAGTTATCTCGATAAATTTTATTATTTGTTCTTTCATTATTAATATCAGCAAGAAAATAACTTCTTGAAATATAGTCATTTTCTTTGATTGGATCATGCCAGTATTCTGCTTGAACAAATGAATCTTGAATCCAACTAGAAAAATATATTTATTAATTATTAAATAGTGCAAGTCATTTTAATACTATTTAATTTTGTATTCAATTCATTATTAATATATGTTATTGTTGTCATATATGAATTGTTTGTTAGTTTTTTTTTTTTTTTTTTTATAGGCTTTATTAAAATAATATTTAGCTCAACAATTATAAAGAAGAAAGAATAAGTAAATTAGAAGTATAACAATAACACTGCTATGTTATAATGGTATAACAAATATGACAATAATTGTTAGTATACTCAAAAATAAAGAAAAATTAAATATTATTAAAATTATTGTTAATAGAGATTTAAAAGTACAAACTAAAAGAATTACTAAATTAAAATTTTTATTTGAAATAATAGAGGAAGAGAGAAAATAAATAAATAAGTAAATAGAAAAATAGAAAATAAAATAATGAGAGATTAAATGACAAAGCCAGAACTCCTCAAGAAAGATATGATTGAAATAATAATAAAGGAAGAACGGGAATTAGGAGTATTAGCTACGGAAGAGGGATTAATATTGTGAGAGGCTAAGAGGCTAAATAGTTTATTTCTGCTGTTAATTAGGGCAGGACAATCAAAGAGAAGATGAGAAAAAACGCATAGAGCTTCACTATCATGTAGGGGATAGAAGGGAACAGAATTTAAGGAAAGATGGAATACATGGTAAGGCAGAAGATTATGACCTAACGTAAGTCTTGGTACTGAGAAATAATATTTCTGGATAAGTCAAGGTTATGAAACCATGGAGAATGAATAATGGAAGGAGAAATCAAGCAGTACCAACATACCGTTTGCAATTTTATTGTAGTCAACTGTCCTGCCAGGCTTGAAGAACTGTCTGTGAAAAGAAGCGGAAAAAGTCAAAAGCGGGAATGTTATGACTAGTAGTAGTAAAGAATATAAAAATGAGAGCATTAACGATGGCAAGGCTTCAGTGGTAAAAGAAGAAGGAAGGGTGGAGTACACCTGAGTATGAAATGTTAAGTTCGGGAATAAAGAACAACCAGCCGAGTTAGTTGATACAGAACTATCTGTTAATATGAAGCATTTAGTCGGAAAATTAGCTGAGATATAATCTTTGAAGAGATTATTAACGGAAGTTGCAGGAAGAGAACGGAGGATTGAAGGAGGGAAGCCGAGGAAACACGTTGAAGTATACACTATAGGAGCTAGTATGAGGACAATCAAATAAAGATAATCTGGATTGTGACTTGTAAATGTGACAGACCATGGAGGACAGGAAAGAGCATACTGAGGCCAAAATTAACAGCAGAAATAAACTATTTAGCCTCTTAGCCTCTCACAATATTAATCCCTCTTCCGTAGCTAATACTCCTAATTCCCGTTCTTCCTTTATTATTATTTCAATCATATCTTTCTTGAGGAGTTCTGGCTTTGTCATTTAATCTCTCATTATTTTATTTTCTATTTTTCTATTTACTTATTTATTTATTTTCTCTCTTCCTCTATTATTTCAAATAAAAATTTTAATTTAGTAATTCTATTAGTTTGTACTTTTAAATCTCTATTAACAATAATTTTAATAATATTTAATTTTTCTTTATTTTTGAGTATACTAACAATTATTGTCATATTTGTTATACCATTATAACATAGCAGTGTTATTGTTATACTTCTAATTTACTTATTTTTTCTTTTTTTATAATTGTTGAGCTAAATATTATTTTAATAAAGCCTATAAAAAAAAATAAAAAAAAAACTAACAAACAATTCATATATGACAACAATAACATATATTAATAATGAATTGAATACAAAATTAAATTGTCATAGAAATTCATATTTTACAAATTAATAGTCACAATTAAAATATGTGCAGAAATGAGTCAATGTCCATTTGACACCAACCGCGTGGACTTAATAAAAAAAGTTGTAAAAAGGTGAAAAATGAACGCATTGAATTGATTTTTGTATATCTCAGAAGTGATATTGAGTGGATCTGGTAAAAATTTTGAACCTTAATTTGTAAAACTCTAGCATTAACAAGCAGCAAAAATATTTCGACCTTCACGCATTTTCTTGCGCGATAAAAAACAAATAAGTAGACATAAAAAAAATTATAAACGGTCATAATCTTATAAACGGTCCACCTTCGAATTTGTGACATTATAAATTCTTTCATTTTTTTTAAAATAGAAATCAATAAATAATTCCAATTAGTCTTTTTATAGTAGATTTTACTTAGTTAAATCCCATTTGCACATCCACTATCTATTATGTTTAAAATTTTATTTGTTACTTGAAAAATATAATCAATTTTATTAATCTAAACCATTATAATGGACTTATATATAGTTATTGTTAAATTATCATAATTATTTTTAGTACAATTATGTGTTTACCTAACATAAGCATCTTTATTTAGAAGTTGTCTTACATATTCACACCATTTATGATTTTGATAAAGACATCTAGGCATGCCAAATACTCCTTGATGTTGACCACCAATAGAAATTAAATTAATCATTGGTGGATTAGGGCATCTTTGAGCAACTGCTCTTCTAAAAAATTGACCATTTTCAATATTTTTTTTTTTTTAAGAAATTAGTATTTACAAAAATTGAGCTCCTTGAGAAAATCCAATAGCATTATAGCCATTCTGTAAATATGGATCTGTACTAATTTGATTACAAACATCTTTTACTTGAACATTAACATTTTTAAAAAATCCATTTGCAATGTCCTTTAAAAAAAAAAAAAAAAAAAAATTGAGAATAATATAAATACAAGACAATTTTTTAGAAACTAAAACCAAAATAAAAAAATTTAATTATTCATTAAATTGTTCGAATCAAAATCAGAAGAAACAATATTTTGAATTAGTTTTTGTTCAAACTATAAATTTGAAGAAGTATTTTGTTGTTGTGTAATAAAAGAGTCATTATGGTCAGGGGTAGATTAGATCATTGGGAATTCAAATGTTTTTCTCTATTATAAGTAATACTAAAAAGGGGAAAACAAATTAAGGAGTCAACCAAAATATCCATGAAATCTGTGCTGATATTTAGAATTTACCAAAACCTATAAGTTTTTTCAATGCATACCACAATGTTCCAATTTATTAAAAACCTGTCCCAAATTCTATTTTTTTAAATTTTATTTTATTTTAGTTATGCAAAAAATCTATTAATCTACAACACTAAATATATTTAATATATTATAATAGATTTTATAGTTCAATTTTTTTTTTTCAACTAAGTTTTAACTGAAAAAGTAAAAATGTTAAGTATACCAGTTAAAATTAAATTTTAAGGGTTAAAATTAAGTGTTATCACAGAACATTCTTTATTTTTAATACCTTTATTATGGTAACAAAAACCTGTTTTGTTTTAGAATTAATAAAATTTGATTTTTTTAGAATCAAGCTTTTCAGTGTAATGGTCTCAGGTTATAGAAATAAGTTTTAAGAATATTTTAATATGCTTTTTAATTGTTAATATTTGCTAATGAATTGTACAATTGTTATTTAGACTGAAAAAATGTTGATGATAAAAAATAAGCTTATTAATTAGATTTTTTGTGCCTTACTCTTAAATTTTAAATTAAATATAAATTGTTAAAAAATAGAACGCAAAAATTAAAAACATATGTACATTTCATAAAACTTATAAATTAACTATGATCATCTTACATGCCCAAGCATAAGACTGATGATGTTTAATAGAAATAAAATAAAGATAACTTTATCAGTTTATTACATCAACTTAAGTTTAATATTTATATTGATAGATGTGATATTTAACAAATATCAAATAAATAGTATCAAATTTACATTTAACCCAAAATGAACCAACCTAATTATGAGCCCTAAACTCCCTTTAGAAAATAATTATCAAAAAACTAGTATCAGATTTGATTTCAGGGAATTAAAAAAACTTATATGTGAACTTTTTTTTATCATTTGGATATGACTATTTATTTTGTAATTATAATATAACTAAATTTAACCTGTTCAATAGATTTTCCAATTTTCAACGATTTTACATAAGTATTTGACCCTAATTCTTTTTTCAAAACTTTTACAATCCTTCCCAAACTTAGTGGGTTACAACAGCTATCACCTAAATCATAAAATATATTTTAAAATTAATAATAATTTTAGAACATTTCTTACTGAAAGAAACAATAAGTAGTAAACAATGACAGTTTCACTCAACATTAGAAAGTTCTAAACAACTTTCTAAAGTTGGGTGAAATTACCAACTGATTCATAATTTACCAATATACTATAGATTTTAGACAATTAAATGGGAGCGAGACAACCTGATATATCACCATAAACAAAGTTGACTTTTTAAAAAAAAATATCTCTGAAATTCTATATCCTATAAATAAATATTAAATTGAAACTTTAATTATAAACACAAGTTAAAAACATTTGCTTCAATATCTTTTATGTCAAAACTATAAAATATAAAAGTTAAATTTTTAATTCGGCTAAGATTTCATGACGGGTTTAATCATATTTTTAATTATTTCAATAGTTTCAACTATTCTGAAAATGTACACTTAACTGACTATGTACAATCAAAATAGCGAAGTTATTACATTTCTTGTCTTTAAGATTTTTGCTAAAAATCTTACCCATTCCATGCCATAAAACAATAGGCGTAGAAAGATTCTCTAATGCATGGACTTCAATCAATTTTTGAAATTGAAATAAAAATATCAAGCTATAAATATTATCTGAAAACATTATAAATTTATTTAAAATTATAATACGATGTTTTACAAAGTAAGTATTCGATAAAAGAGGTTTTCAAATCTATTTTTAACAAAATAAATATTTTTCAATCTAACATAATGAATGTTTCAAAATACATAACAATAATCTTAAAAATTAAAAAATTATTGACACTACATAAAAACAAATTAGTTAAAACTCTGCTGAAAACTATGATTGTACTAAAACAATTATAAATAAATAAATTTAAATAATGTTTATAATATGAATTAAAATTAACCAATTCTAACTAATTTAACCGAAATGAAATGTGATAACAGAAATAATTCGATGGTTACATGGAATAAATTAGAACCAAGGTGTTTGTCAATGATATTATCAAAGAAAGAATTGTTTTCCGTTTTTCTGAGATGATTCATTTATGATTACAGTAGAAGAATTAAATTCGTATTGTATTTCTCATTAATTTTTTTATGTTATTTGACCACTGATTGTATTCCAGATTTTGAATCTAGTGTTTTATTTTAATTTGTTACAATAACTTAAAATATAATTATTATAGTAGCATACTGATAATTAATTGGAATTAACCAATTTACTATTTTGAAGAGTATATTGCAACACAGCGATACCAGATGCTTTTTCCTTAGGTTTTAATTATCATTTAGTTAACGTTTTACATTTGATTACGCAAACCAAAAAGTTATGGCGAAAGAATATGACCATCTGTTTAAATTACTTATAATTGGAGATAGCGGTAAGATATAAATTATGAATCATAATAATTAAAAAAATTGATATGTATCATTATAAATATGTTTAGAAAAGCTAAACTACTTAACTAAATTTTCAGGTGTTGGTAAAAGTTCACTATTAGTTAGGTTTGCTGATAATACATTCTCAGGTAGTTATATAACAACCATAGGCGTCGACTTTAAAATAAGAACTGTAATTGTTGATGGAGAAAAAGTTAAATTGCAGATTTGGGATACAGCTGGCCAAGAAAGATTCAGAACTATTACGTCTACGTAATATAAATAAACCTATACAATTGTTGAAATTAAAAATTATTTTATTTATGTATTATTTTAAAGATATTATAGAGGAACTCATGGTGTAATAGTTGTTTATGATGTAACTAATGGAGACTCCTTTGCAAATGTTAAGCGATGGTTACATGAAATAGACCAAAACTGTGAAGTTGTTAATAGGATACTAGGTAACCAAGATAATTAAAGTAAAATTTTCTGTGAAAAAACAAATATAATAAAAATATTATTACATTTGAATTGTTATTGTAAATTAATAAGTATAATCTTTATTATGTTTTATGTTTATAGTCACTATTATTATATAAAATTTATCTACTGATTAAAAAAAGATGTAAGTACTGTATATTTTTTTTAGTGGGAAATAAAAATGATGCACCAGATCGAAAAGTTGTTTTAACAGAAGATGCTCAGAGATTTGCTGATCAAATGGGCATCCAATTATATGAAACTAGTGCTAAAGATAATATAAATGTTGAACAGGTACCAATTTAATTGACCACTTAAAAACCCAATTCAATTGAGTATACAGTTAACAATTTTAGTAGTAGTTTTTAAGTAATCATATTTATAATTAATTTTTTTTTTTTTTTATTAATAAAACACATTGATTAAGTGTTTTGTACTTTTATTACAAAGTCAATTTTATAGTATATTAATTAAGTCATTTTGTTATGTGTATAATAAAAATAATAAAATATAAGGAGAAATAGTGCTCTTTTATATGTAAAATATAGTCAAATTTTAAAAATGATTTTAATTGTATCATGACATTTAATTTAAAAAAATTTTTAGATGTTCATGTCAATTACTAAGCAAGTTTTACGAAATAAAAAAGAAACTAAGGAAAGACAAGCACATCAACATAATGATGTCGTAAATCTACGGAAAGGTCATGCGAAAGGAGCAAAAAGAAAATGTTGTTAAAAATTGTTACTTCCTGCATATGTAAGTTATTCAAAATTTTTAATTTTAATTACAACTTTATAAACTGTTTATGTTTATTATAATTATTATACTATTAATTTTTTTTTTTTTTTTGTTACCACATACACTTTATTATTTTATTATGTGAATACACAAGCTCAAGCTTTTTATTTTGTGTTTTTTTTTTTTTTTTTTTATAAAATAAAGAAACAAACTATTTTAGAATTTATTTTAAGTTTTAAAAATTTTTGTTAGTTTCGATGTTCAAAATTACACATTTTAATATAATTAATACAAAATTGTTATTTTATTAAAAAATAAATATCCCTTTTTAAATTAATTTGGTGCTTTCTAAATTTATTAACATGATAATATATTAATCAAAATAAATTTGTATTATCAAATTTAAATATTATGTAATTTTATATGATTGTTGATTAAATAAATTGAAATAGTATTCTTATAAAAAAGAAAATCTCACAAAAACAATAGTTATCATTAATATAGTGTATGGAATACATAATATTCCGAATATTATAGAAAAATAGTGTGTATAATTAAATTTTACTACCATATAAATGGTCACTATATAAAAGTTGTATTAATTATTATATTTATAATAACTAGAAGAGTATTTTTGTATATTGGCCTTTTATATTATCATCTAACATACATATATAATAAATAATATTATGTTATGATGTAATGAAACTGCTTTTCTAATTTTTTTAAGTGATTTGATTAGTAAAATATTTTGTTACTTAAAAGAACAATCATTACAACTCATAGTATTTTGTATTTTGTAGTTACAAAATGAAAATAGTATAATTCAAACATTTGATAAATCAATAAATATGTGAAAAAAAGTGAAGTAATCATATAGTTTTGAATTTCAAATATCACTCGATTAATAAAGATAAGAATGGTTAATTTTTTTAGAAAATTATTTATATCAATCTATTACTTTAATTATGAAATTCTTTCAAAGCTGTTTTTAAATCTTTCAATACTCATATAATACTTTTAGGCGTAATAGAATTTTCTGGATTGCAGGTAATATTTTAGGAAAAAGAATATAGTTTTAATTTCTATTGACTTATTTAATTTAAGTAACATATTTAGGTATTGTATTAATTAATTTTTTTTTAAATTTTAATTTACATAAAAAGAATATAATAGTAGTTAGTAAAAGAATGACTTTTATATTTAGCCAGCCTGCTTTAGATTTTTTACTTTTTTTGTAATTGTAATCTTATTAAATCAAATTAAATTTTTTTTTAAGTATAATTATTTGATTTTCATCACTTTTTTTTTGTAAGCAATAGTTAATCATCTTAATTAATAATATTTTCATTTATTTATTTTTGGCAGTGTAAATATTCTTTAATCAATCATCTTATTATTACAATTATTTATAATATTAAAGTAATATTTATATAAACTATAATTAAGAGCCTTAATTTATTGCCAATTATTTAAAATATTGATATCAAGTTTTTAACAATATATTTTAGCCATAATTTAAACATTAAAAATAGTTGTTCTTGATTTTGGAAGTTGATTGTATAATTAAAATTTGTATTTTTCATTAATCAATTTTAAAATTAAGTCTCAAATTAGATGAATATATTATTTTTATGCATTTCCTTCTAATTATGGTTTATGTTTCAACACTTTTTATTATTTATAATACTTTTCCTTGCTTATGTAAACCTTTCTTATATTGTTGAGTTATTTCACAAACACTCTAATTATAATTTTTTTGCAGTGGTAATATTATTATTAAATTGATACAAGTAGAATAAAATATTTGTGTAGTATATTATACCATATGTTAAATTATTCAGTAATAGTAGTTTATCCAATTGTATCTTGTATAGCCAAATTTTGTTATTTTAGAAGGAAGATAAAATATATGCATTTCTTATTTATTCATCGAACGAATAATATTTGTAAATATATGGTATTGTCTTCCAATATTTTGTTAAATGTTAAGTTATCGCATTTATGACTTATTTAGTAATCTGTGATGTATTGTGTTGTAGTTGATGATATAAATTTACTAAACAATTCATTTTTAATCATATCTGTTACAAAACTATGCTTTTAAAAAATAATTTAATATAACCATTATGATAATATATTATGAATTTTATCATAAATTATACTGAGTGTATTTTAATTGTTTTATATTTTTGCGTTTTAAATTTATGTAAAAATATGATACAAACTGTATACTTATATACATACATTTTTCTTGTATTAAATTTATGATCCTCTTTTATGTAAATGTATTAAATATATTGTTAAGTTTTATTTTAAAATTAAATTATATTGTATTATTATTTAGTAATATTCATTATTTTCCATGTTGAATTTATTGTAATCCTCACGTTTTGATAATTTTATTATCTTTTGTATCACGCTCAAAAATACCATTAAAAATAAATTTATATACCAAATATTTTTTATTTATAATAAAGCCTTTATAATAAAAAGTATTTATTTTTATGTCTTCGTACAAATCATAAATTTATGATTATTTATGATGATACACAGTAATTATTTCATTGAAATTAATCATAATGATGAAATTATTTGTTATGGTTTAAGATACTAATATATTTCAATGGTACTAAATGTAGATTGGTAGGTAGGTTAACTACCTAAAACTAGGTAGTTAAAACATGTACAAAATAAATTATTAAGTTCTATTTTTATAATACCAATGATATTTTATAGATATATCTGGATTACTAAGTCAAGTTTTTCTATTTTTTGAAGCTAACTAAAGAGTTTGATATTTTATTTTTATAAGAGTCAAAGTGAAATTTGTATTAAAACTTTTATTTAGTAAAATTCATACAAATAGACAATATAACAGAAAATTTTATTGAAATTTTCTTTGAATTGTTGCATTTTATACACTTGATACAATTGCAACTTAAAACTGATTATGATAATATGAAAGTTTTACCATAATCTATCTATCTATTAATTAACCTTTAAAAAAATTAACTTTACAATATTTGCGAAATATTTATAATTAAAAAAAGGGTTAAAGGTGAAGAAATAAATACAAGATATTTTTTAATCTCACAATAATGTTGTCAAGAGGAATTTTCGTCTTGTTATGAAGTTCATATCAAGATCATATTCTACTCATATCAATATCCATTGAAATTAATTTATCAACGTTATTACCTCAGATTAAAACAAAGACTAAAAAACATTTAAACTAGTTTTTAAAAACATTATACAACACATAAGTTTACACTTAAGACTTGTAAATGTTTGAAAAAATATTATATGAATAATTATATGTCATTATATACTAAACTTTTATATTGTGCAGTGAAATTATTTTTGACGGTTTTTTTATTTTACAGAGCTAAATACTGTTCTTTTTCTAAAATATTATTTCTATTTAAAATAATATTCAGACTTTGATATGTATGTATGTATCTCAATTGAAGTATTACAAATAATGCATTTTGAATAATTTTCAGTATTCAATAATTTTCAGAGTACTAATCCGAATACATTTTTGTATATTAAGAACAGTATACAAAATAGTTTTAAAAACAATTTTTATTCCTAAGATAAAAAATAATCCTAACAATCATTTGTGATTTTTGTATACCAAAGAAATAACCAACACGTTATTACACCCGTTGAAACAGGTCTTAAATTTAAATTTTCAAAGATAACTTGAAGACTATTTATTCCAAAGCTAACCCCAAAATCTACCACTCAGGGCATGTGAGTCTGATGCCTTTTAAAATTCTCCTCAACTACATTATTTAGAGGAAAAAATTCTAAAAATAGAAATTATTAGTGAAAGACAACGATATAATTTTACACATCGGCATATTTTGAAATTTGGCAATATCAATACCATTTTGATAACAATATCGTTATTCCAAAACAATTTTTTTTATTAAAATAGAAAGAAGCTCGAACTTATTTTAAACTTCAAAGTTGCAATTACAGATATAACATCGTATTGAATTACCTTAATTATTTTGACCTAATATTAGTAATTATTAAAAAACAAAATTTAACATTATTTTTTAATGAAACAGGTTTTTTTGTCAATTATCATTTAATATAAAATTTTTAAAAGTATTAAAAAATATTTACAAAGTATTGAATACATATTTACAATACTTAAAAAAAATATTTTACTGAATTATGTAGATATCGCTCGAGTATAGTCATTCAGAACATATCTATAAGCCCTAACCAACCTGTCAGGTAAAATGCCGATTGACCGGCCCTAGTTTTGAATAAAAATTAGACTAACACTAATATCAAGTTTCCATCTCCCAAATATCACCCCTGGCGTCTTTATACAATATATAGGACTTTATTCAAAATTATTCTAGTCAAAAAAGGAAAAAAATAAGCGTAGAATTTTTTTTTTTTTAGTTGTCCGCAGACTTATTGGGTGGATAAAATCGTTAAGTAACGTCTTATAAATGTTAAATACTGTATATGGTTGGTAATTAAAAAGCTTATTTTATCCAACAATTCCAATTCTTCTGTTGCACTATTCACCAGAAAAATAATTGGTAATTATTTAAGAATTGTATAGAAACTTGTTTAATTAAGCAAAGCAATCACTTAGTAATTATATCAAAATTCTGCTAAGCAGCGCATATTACGGCTTCTCAGAGATATCAGTTCCAACGATCTTAATAAGATATTTAAATTAATGACTTGTTGCTTTAGTGGATAATAAGTATATTCGCTATATAAAATTTGTCGGATCTTTTCTTGAGCAAATCAAGGTTAAAGGGAGGATCCGTTTGCGGGGTCAGTCGACCGCATTCCAAAATGGCTGACATTGGAATGCAGCGACCAGTGCGGATTCGTGCCTGTTGCGCGCAGTGTTCATAAAAACAAAATAGTATACAAAATTTCCGCCTATATTCCATACCTGTTTACTTCCTCCACTACATTTCACCAGCCTAGAAGCACAGTGCTCCTGGTTGATGTCGGGTGAATTTTACAGGCGGTTCTATAGACTGAAATGAGATTACAGGCTCTAACAGTAGTAACATGTAAACATTATACTTTTTAATATAGCATATAACATATATTCTTCCAATTATGATATTTCTGATTTACGGGTCGCTTTATTGAACATCTTATTATTTTTTATGTACTTTAATAATTGAACTGTTAATTGACTGAAATATGAAAGTGTTTCGTGTTGTTACTAACTTCGTTTAAGTCTCTCAATTTAAATTACATTTTTGTTTTCCTAATATTTTGTAAAATGTTTTTGAATTATATTTATACTCATTTTGAAGAATTGGCAATTCTGTGAGTACACGAAATCATTAATAATTTATAGTTTTATAAAAATATTTTTTTATTTTAAATTTGGAAAAATTAAAAAATATGCTTAAAGTTTATAAAAAAAAAATCTCACAATATGAAATTGTTACTATAAATTAGTCCTTGTTGAAAAAACTATTAATATTATAATTGTTTATAATAAATAGCATTACTTCCTATGATAGGCATTGTAACGAGTTAAGCAAAAAAACCAATTGAAATTATTGAATATGTATTTTTTTGAATGCAATCAAGTTTAATTTTTAAACCATCTAGTGTAACATTAGATGTTTGATTTTTACCTTTTGATAAGTTATTTTAAAGTTTGCTATCATTTTATAAAAATTCTTAATTAAATCAGTCTTAAGACTGCAAAAAAGAGATGCTATTTCAATCTTTTATTTTTTTCTCGACCATATTAAATAATACCTAGTAGATTTGATCAATCTACATAATTTAGGCATTATATTTCATCTTAAATGGATATGTAGTAATAAGTAACTTTTTATTTATTTTTTTATAATATAAATTTTGTACTCAAAATGATTATAGATAATGTTTTTAATGATTTGGATAATCTAACTACAAAATTATGTTAGAATAATGCCACAAAGAGATTCATCTGAGGTAACTCTATCAAAATTATTCAAAATTTTAAAATTCTTCACAATATTCATTATCTTTAGATAGAACATGAAACTGAAACAAGTGAAGATTTTATGGAAAAAGTTCGAGAATCTAATGCAGCTTGTGAATCCGGTGATTATGATCGTGCTATTCAACTTTATACAGAAGCTTTATGTCATTATCCCAATAATCATATATTATATTCCAATCGTTCTGCAGCATTACTCAAAACTGGAAGATTTAATGAAGCTTTACATGATGCTACATGTGCTCGGAAATTGAACCCTACTTGGCCTAAAGCTCATTACCGAGAAGGCGTTGCTTTACAATGCTTAGGAAGACATGGAGATGCTTTAGCAGTTTTTAGCACAGGATTATCAATTGATACAAACTCTACTCAACTTTTGGGAGGTCTAATTGAAGCTTCCATTAAATCTCCCTTAAAAGGTTAAAGTCTTTCTACTGAATATTATATTCTTAAAGTGTTTGCAATTATGTAACACAGAGCTACAAGGTATATAGGTTATAAGCATATCTCCTTACAAAATTTTTCAATTGCTAAAGTATATTTGTATAACCCCTAAAAATATCTAAAGACTGATATTAGCTTCGATGCGAAGCTGAGAAGATATTGGTTTTACTATGATGTGTTTTTTTTTTTTTTTTTTTNTATTGGTTTTACTATGATGTGTTTTTTTTTTTTTTGTGTCTGTTACCACTTTTTCTCTGCTCTCACCAAACGGATTTCTTTCAATGATATGTCAAAAGATCACAAATTGTATCTAGTCGAAGACATTACCCTCAAAAATTAAAAAAATTTCCTTCGTTCCCCGTAAATGGGGGAAACCTCCAAAAAAATTACAAATTTAAAAATCATTAATTTTGGAAATTTTGGAAATTTTTTTTTACTTAAAATTGCCATAAATTTTTTAAAAATGGCCAAATCAATATAAATTTTTTTCTAACCAAATTCTTATAGATGCATAATGTCCTTACCTATCATTTGGTATATTTTTTTTATAAATCTGTCCCTTTACCTGCCCACAGGAGAGAATTTCAAATGACAACTTTTTTACGAAAAATTATCATTTTCAACTTAACTTTTAAAAGTATTCCGGAAGGTCTGACACTTTTATATATATCTTAAATTAAAGCTAATGTAATGTACTTTATTATGGAAAAAAAAAAATTTGACCTCTGGACTTTATTTTTTACATTTTTTATTTTAAAATGCTATAACTTTTTAAAAAATGTATGGATCAATACAATTTTTTCATGAGAAGTAGTATTTATATACATCTTTCATTCGACATACTTTTTTGTTAAATCAGACTATTTCCTTATATGCGAGGGGGGTTAAAATCTGAAAAATGCATATAGAAAGTAGAACTTTTTCAACTTAACTTTTGAAAGTGTTCCGAAATTGACAATTTTATATATATCTTAAATTAAAGGTAATTTAATATACTTTATTATGGAAAAAAAAAATTTGACATCTGGACTTGTCTTCGTGGTGAAAATAGACATCAAAATTACGATATTTGTAAAATAATTCATTTTTATATTTTGAACTTTTTGGAAAATTAATGGATCAGTAAATTTTTTTTATTATATAGATGTTTGATGTCTTTACTTATCATTTGGTATATTTTTTTTATAAATCTGACCCTTTATCTGCCCACAGGGGGGATTTAAAATGACAACTTTTTCACAAAAAATTTACTTTTACAGTTTACTTTTGAAAATGTTCCGGAAAGTCTGACACTTTTATATATATTTTAAATTAAAGATAATGTAATGTACTTTATTACGAAAAAAAAAAATTTCGTACTTTATTTTGTCTTCACGGTGAAAATGGCTACCAAATGCTATTTTAGTATGAAAATTCTCGATTTTATTTTTTACATTTTTAACTGTATAATGCTATAACTTATTGAAAAATGTATGGATCAAGACAATTTTTTATGAGAAATAATATTTATATCCCTTTTTAATTCGGCATACTTTATCTTAATCTGGATATTATTAAGGAAATAGAAGATCATGTAGCTTTTGGTTTAATCCACCAATTTTTTAAAATTAAACACTCTAAAGATTTGCATCGAAGCGTTTTTTTTTATAGTGATTTTAATCACTGTTAGATATCATTATACTTGATCCAACTATGCCACGTCACTACTGTGCTGGGTTTTTTTAGTGTAATAACCAAAAATAAGAGAAAGAAAGAGAGGTAATATTGAAATGGATATTAAGCAAAAGAAAAATTTAGTTGATTATGTATAAATGCATTTTCCTGATTATTACTTAATTATTGTAGTTAGTATGTTAAAACTACTCTTACCTGATATCCTTTGATAGAAGACAATGATTTATAATGGAAATGTAAATTAGCTTTTCCATGTAGGTGGTAAATAAGGATTATCAATTTAAAATAAAATATTAAAAATTATATAAGCACATATATTGTAAGCTAAATGTTAGTTATTTTAACTAAGGTATGTTCTAAGCTGAGTTATAAATTGATTTAAATAGTGAGACACCAAGTCATAAGTTAAGAGTTAGAAAATCACACAATGATAAACTAAAAAAAAACAAGAGATCTAAACTGACCACTTAAGTGTGATCACAAGGAGAGAAACAACCAGACTAAAAGCTTGATTGATAGTAAATGATACAGCACGGCTTAGAAGTCCCTTAGCTCTTTTATAGTAAATCATGAGATACGTAATAAAATTATATGTCATGATAAAAGTTTTTTAATTGAAAAGAGTGCCTTTCACAACAAAGTGCAAGGAGAGTTTAGTATTGTATTTTTGTTTAGGATTATACTTTATATAACTTTGTGAAGCTACCTCATTTATTAATGAAAATAAACATAAGGAGATTTTATATAGTTTTAATGCAAAATCTCATTTTGGTTAAATGTTGATACAGTTTACTAAGGATTACCTAGCAATATGCTCTATTGTGTATTGAACCCAACAAAACTTTGATTTTTTTAAAACTTCATCCATGTTAGTGATTAATATTTTTATAATATAATTCGAAGTTGAATTTTATGATAAATTATAACTTTTAGAATTTTGTTGTAGATGTTTTAGAACCAACTTTTGAACAACTTCGAAACATTAATCAAAATGGAATGACTTTAGATAGATCTCCATTTCTTGTTATGTCTGTGATAGGTCAAGAATTATTAGCAGTTGGCCAATACTCGGTAGCTGTTGTTGTTTTAGAATCTGCCTTAAGAATTGGTACAAATAGTGCAAAATTAAGAGGATCAGTGTTTTCTGCTTTATCTTCAGCTTATTGGGCATTAAATTCTTTGGATAAAGTATGAAATTTTTTTTGTTTAATTTCTATTTTATTATAAAGATTAATAAATATAACTATTTGAAAATGATTAAAAATTACCTATTTTTTATGTTAAGGCAATTGGGTACATGCAGCAAGACTTAATAATTGCTAAATCTTTAAAAGATATTGCAGGAGAAAGTCGAGCACATGGTAATTTAGGGTCAGCTTATTTTAGCAAAGGCAGTTATAAAGAAGCTTTGACTGCACATAGGTATCAGTTAGTATTTGCAATGAAAGCAAGAGAGATGAAAACTGCTGCATCTGCACTTACTAGTTTAGGTTTGTACTCATAAAATATATTATAAAAATAAAATTAAAGAAAGTTTCAATTAATCTAATTTTAATATTTAGTTATTACTTAAAATTTTCTCTTAAAATAATTTATTTTGATAATAAATAACTAGATTTTAGATAACACTCTTAGCTTTGATGCGAAGTTGAGAAGGTATTGGTTTTTACTATGATGTGTTTTTTTTTTTTGTGTGTCACCATTTTTTCAGCTCTCACCGAACCGATTTCTTTCAATGATACGTCAAAAGATCACTAAACGTATCTAGTTGAAGACATTACCCTCTAAAATTGAAAAAATTTCCCTTGTTCCCCGTAAATGGAGGAAACCTCAAAACCAAAGAGGAGAGGTTATAATGGATCTATTGCTGACTACAGACCTAAGTATACTGAATAGAGGTAGTGAACCTACTTTTGTTATCAGGAACAGGCAGGAAGTCATTGATCTAACAGTTTGTTCAAAAGGGTTACTTCAAAAGATAAAAGGGTGGAAAGTGTCCTCCGAACCTTCTCTTTCTGATCATAGGCACTTACGATTCACTTTGGAAATTAACAAAGTTGAGACGGAGTACTATAGGAACCCGAAAAGAACAAACTGGGACAAATACAGGGCAGATCTCTCTCGTGACCTGATTAACCTACAGTTTAGATTGGGGTCGAGACAGAGTACTGAAAGGGCTGTAAATATGTTACAGGACTCCATTGTCTCAGCTTACAAAGAAAACTGTCCTTTAATAGAAAGGAAAGGTACAGGGCAGGGTGTAGCTTGGTGGAATGCTAACCTGTCTAAATTAAGAAAGAGTTCACGTAAGCTCTTAAATAAAGCAATGAAATCAGGTTTGGAACAACACTGGGAATCCTATAAGGACGCCCAAAGGAACTACAAATCTGCATTGAAAAAGTCCAAAAGAGAAAGCTGGAAGAAGTTCTGTGGGGATATACAACAACTCCCTATAGCAACTAGACTTCTGCGATCACTAAGGAATGGACCAAACAAAACTGTCGAGGCAATACTACTGCCAGACGGAATGTTCACCAATAATGATAATGAAACATTATCACATTTGATGAACACACATTTTCCTGACTCTACAATTAACAACAGAGAACAGGAACATGATGCACAGGACAAACGTGTGACCTGTGCTGATTGGAGACTAACCAGGAAAGTGATAACCCCAAGTGGAATAAGATGGGCAATAAAAGCCTTTGGCAGTTTTAAAGCTGCAGGCTGTGACGAAATTTTCCCTGCACTTCTGCAAGAAGGGTTAGAGATAATCGTCCCCCATCTCTGCAAAATATTTAGGGCATGCCTTGCCTATGGTTATCAACCAGAAAGCTGGCGTAAGGTTAGGGTAGTGTTTATACCCAAACCTAACCGCACTAACTATTATGAAGCAAAATCCTACAGACCAATAAGTCTTACTTCTTTTCTTCTTAAGACTATGGAGAAACTTATTGATAGGTACATCAAGGAGGGGCCTCTTAAGGAGAACCCTTTACATGAAAACCAACATGCGTATCAAACGGGGAAATCTACTGATACAGCTCTACACTGCTTAACTACTAAGATAGGGAAAGCTGTAGAGAATAAAATGTATGCAGTAGGTATATTCCTGGACATCGAAGGGGCTTTTGACAATACTCCCTTCGATGCTATGTGTGAATCTGCACAACAGCGTGGAATAGAACCACTTATTATTAAGTGGATAGAATCCATGCTTAAGGAACGCTCCATTTTGGGACAGCTCAATGAGACCAAAGTAATCAAGAGTGTCAAACAGGGATGCCCACAAGGCGGGGTTCTATCCCCCTTGCTATGGTGTCTAGTATTGGACTCGCTTATTAGAGAGTTAAACAAATATTGTTATACACAAGCCTATGCGGATGACTTGGTTATAACAGTGGTGGGTAAATTCCCAGACACTATTATTGACTTAGCACAACAGAGACTTAACACTATACAGATATGGTGTAGTAAGTACGGTCTATCTGTTAATCCAAATAAAGCAGAGGTTGTTATGTTCACTAGAAAGAGAATAGGACTAGACAACCTGGACACTCTTACTCTGAATGGACAAGAAATTAGCTTAAAATCAGAAGTAAAATACTTAGGTATTATCTTGGATAGTAAGCTAAAATGGAAATCACATGTTGAGTCAAGAATCAAAAAAGCAATGACCACATTGTGGACTTGCAGCAGAGCCTTGGGAAAGACATGGGGTCTTAAACCAAGAGTTATGTATTGGTTGTACACGTCAGTGATTAAACCTATGATATTGTACGGTGCCCTGGTCTGGTGGACCAGAACAGCACTCATTACAGCTAGGAAAGAACTTAGTCGCATACAGAGAATGGCTGCTATTGCCATCACTGGAGCATTAAGAACTACACCAACGGTCGCATTAGAGGCACTAATTGGATTGCCTCCTCTGCATCTAGAGGTGAAAGCTCACGCCAAAGCTACAGCACTAAGATTCCACAACTTAGGTATGTGGACTTTGGAGAGTGATACAACAGAACATGGTAAAATACTAAAAGAGATAGACAAGGGCTTTTTAGAATACCCCTTGGACTATATCAAACCGGTTCTTAAGAATAACATTCCCTACAAAGTGGAGATCACTACACGTATAGAATGGAATATTAACCACCTGACTGACAAAGGAGGATTTGTGATATATACAGATGGATCCAAAAAATCAGGAAAGGTAGGTGCTGGAATTTGGGGCTTAAAGCCACGAATAAATGTCAGTATGTCATTGGGCACAACACCCTCTGTTTTCCAAGCAGAGGTGATGGCGATACTGGTAGGGGCTCAGAACCTGCTGGTATACAAAAATAGGAAGATAACTATCTTAAGTGATAGTCAAGCGGCTTTGAAAGCACTCTGTAACGATCAGGTGAATTCAAAGCTGGTCCTCGAATGCAGGGAAACTTTAGAATCACTATCGAGGTTCAACAAAGTTACACTAGCGTGGGTACCGGGACACAACGGTGTCACTGGAAATGAGAATGCTGACTTTCTAGCCAGGAAAGGAGCAGAGAACACCTATGTTGGACCAGAACCAGTGGTAGGGCTCACTGAGCAATCGCTCAAAGCGTTACCCAAGAATTGGTGCAGAGAACAACACAGGAAAATCTGGAAGTACTTGGTAGTACCTAGACAATCTAAAATGTTTATCAAGACCCCTGGTTTATTGCTGGGTGATCTTAATAGCATGACTAGACATCAAATAAGCACCCTGACTGGTCTACTGACAGGACATGGTCACCTGCTTAAGCATCTTAACGCAATGGGGGTATCGGAATCACCATTGTGCAGGAAGTGTGGAGTAGAAGAGGAAGACTCATTTCACATCATGTGCGAATGTGAAGCCTTGTCCACACTAAGATCAAACTACTTGAATAAACCATTTCCTGAAAAAGAGGATATTAAAAACCTAAAACCCAGAGAGATACTTAATTTCGCCAGAAAGACAGGACTCTTTGGTCATCTTTAGAGGTGACTTTATGGTTGGTAATGTATTAACACTTTGGTGATAACACTTAGGTGGGTAAACCGAATCAAAACAATTCGGTATGAGGTGCGCACAATGGACCAACAGGTCTGAGTGCATGGGCATTATGTCCACCTCAATAATAACTAAAACTTAAACTAAAACTAGCTTTGATGCGAAGTTGAGAAGGTATTGGTTTTTACTATGATGTGTTTTTTTTTTTTGTGTGTCACCATTTTTTCAGCTCTCACCGAACCGATTTCTTTCAATGATACGTCAAAAGATCACTAAACGTATCTAGTTGAAGACATTACCCTCTAAAATTGAAAAAATTTCCCTTGTTCCCCGTAAATGGAGGAAACCTCAAAAAAAAATTTTCAAAATTTAAAAATCGCGTGGATTTTTCTCTACTTCAACCTCCGACACTTAATTCTTTGTTTTACATCCTCGTCAATGCCATCACTGTTTTGCACAACTGACCCTAAATACTTAAAACTTTCCACCTCTCCAATCACGTCCTCGCCTATTGTCACTGTTCTTCTCATTTCACCTACATCATGTTCTCCTTTGTCAAACTCGTACTCTAAATACTCTGTCTTACTTTTATTTATTCTTAAACCCTTTTCTTTAAGAGCTGATCTCCACACCTCTAGCCTTTGATTAATTTCCTCCCTATTTTCTCCTATTAACACTATATCATCAGGAAACAACTTGCTCCACTGCACTTCTCCATGTATTTCTCTAATAATTTTATCCATCACTATAGAGAATAAGTAAGGGCTTAAAGCAAAACCTTGGTGCACTCCTACTCTTATCCGAAAACCTTCTGTTACTCCTACTACGCTTTTTATCCTGGTACAAGTGCCATCATACATATCTTCTATTATATTAATGTACCTTTTCGGGACTCTTTTTCTTATTAATGCCCACTTTAAAATCTCTCTCGGTACTCTATCATACGCTTTCTCCAAATCTATAAATATCATGCACAGATTTTTCTTCTTTTCTATTAGTTGTTTCACACAAAATACTGGCTCCATTGTTGGCTTATACGCGTGGTGTGGCGCGATGGTCACTCTAGTTACTGACAAAACTCTAGTGTTAAGCCGCGCCTACTGCTGTAGGTGAACAGATGGGTGACCATATTTGTGCTTATACGGTGGCAAAAAAGCACCATGTTCCCAGTGCAGAAAGCAATGGGAAACCACTGCACTTAATTTCCCCAAGATATACCATTGGTAAACGACAAGGCAAGACCTTTAGTAGAAAAAAAAAATTGTTAACTTACCAGGCATAAATCCAAACTGGTTTTTAGATACCAGTGTCTCATTTCTTATTCTCTTATTTATTACCTTTTTCCAAATTTTCATACTATGCTCATAAGCTTTATGCCTCTATAATTTTCACACTCCTGTATGTAACCTTTACCTTTAAATATCGGCACCACAATACTATTCCTCCATTCATTTGGAATTTTCCCTTCTAATAAGATTTTATTTAAAAGTTCCTTCAACCACCTTATGCCAACACCACCTAATATTTTTCATACTTCTACTGGCACTTCATTTGGTCCCATATACAAAGAATAATATTAAATTTAATGAGAGCATAAGAAGGCAATAATTTCTAACCGTACTTGGCTTTATAATGTCTCATGATTTTAATTATTGCTAATTTAAAGGCACTTATAGTTCAAAAAAAGCAAGAAAAATTGTTTTAAAATTAACTTCCCTAATTTTTGTTTATGTTACTTAATAGATGCAATTTTAATATGTATGTTAATAGAGTCTTTAGTAAAAGTTAAATAATAAATTTTAGGTCATGTATATACAGCTATTGGTGATTATCCTAATGCATTAGCATCACACAAACAATGTGTGCAATTGGTTAAACAAATTGGAGATGTTCTTCAAGAAGCTAGAGAAATTGGAAATGTTGGTGCTGTTTATTTAGCTATGGGAGAATTTGAAAGTGCACTAGATTGTCATATGCAACATTTGAAGTTGTCAAAAAAGCTTGGAAATAAAGTATATTATTTATTGCTTTTAGATAAATGTATTTGTTAGTATTAAAAATTAATTTCCAATAAGGTAGAAGAAGCTCGTGCTAATAGCAATTTAGGCTCATCCTATCATTATCGGAGAAATTTTTCACTAGCTATTTCATATCATGAAAATGTTTTAAGACTCGCACAGGAATTAGGAGATAAAATAATTGAAGCAAGAGCATATGCAGGACTTGGTCATGCTGCCAGATGTGCTGGTAATTATACCCAAGTAAGTTTAAAAATATTCAATGAGTTAAATAAAACTTGGTCAACTTATTAATATTTGTATGAATTTTATTTTTTTAATTTAGGCAAAACATTGGCATGAAAGACAGTTAGACATGGCTTTAAATACACATGACAAAATTGGAGAAGGAAGAGCATGCTCTAATTTAGGTATTGTATATCAACTACTTGGGGCACATGAATCTGCATTAAAACTTCATCATGCTCATTTAAATATTGCTAAAACATTACATGATCGTGCTGCTATGGGTAGAGCTTTTGGAAATATTGGAAATGCCTACAGTGCCATGGGTTATTATAAACAGGTAAAATTAAAAAATATTTTTACAATTTTTGTTATTTTATAAAATAGAAACAGAAGTATTGAAAAAAATTTTTTACTTATCTGTTAAATACCCAAAAAACAGTTGTTATTCAATATATAATCAAAATAAAATATTTTAATATAATTTAGGCAATAGAGTATCACAAGCAAGAATTAATTATCTCTAAAGAAGTTAAAGATAGAAGTGCTGAAGCTTCTACTCATGGAAATTTAGCTGTTGCCTATCAATCTCTTGGAGCATTTGACATGGCTGTTTTACATTATAAAGCTCACTTAAATATAGCTAGAGATTTAAAAGATACTGCTGGAGAAGCATGTGCCTTACTAAATTTAGCAAATTGTTTAAGCACTAGAAATGATTTTGTTCAAGCTATTCCTTATTATGAAAATTATTTAATGTTATCTCAAGTAATAATCATTAAAAATATATATTATCAATTTTTTAAATTTTTTATTGATGATTTTTATATTATTTATATATATCTTAATCTGTATAAATGCCACTTAATGAATTATCTTTTATAACTCTGTTTGATTAGGAATTACACGACATTGAAGGTGAAGCAAAAGCTTGTCATTTTTTGGGATATGCTCATTATTGTTTGGGTAATTATCGTGAAGCTATACGTTATTATGATCAAGATTTATCATTAGCAAAAGATTTGTATGATAAAATTAATATGGCCAGAGCATATTGTAACTTAGGATTAGCTCATTTAGCACTAGGAAATTTAGAAATTTCATTAGATTGTCAAAAATGCTTTTTAGGTGAAGTAAAATTAGTTATTAAAAAAATGTTAGTGTTTATAATATATTTTATTTATGTTAAATATTAAAATTGCAGCTATATCTCACACAACCAAAAATGTCCAATCAAAATTACGAGCGTTAGGTAATATTGGAGATATTCTAATTAAAATTAACAATTCAGATGAAGCTTTAAAAATGTATCATAGTCAATTAACATTAGCCAGACAAATAAAAAATTTAAATATTGAAGCAGCTGCTTGTAGTTCACTAGGACTAGCTTACAGGCACATTAAGTGCTATGAAAAAGCTCTTTCCTACCATTGTCAAGTAAACTGTTTTCTAATGATTTTATAATTAAAGTGTTCAAATTTAAATAAACTCGGTTTAATTCTTTTTTGGTTCATTTTCAATATTGCTACATGATATTTTTCATTAAATTAAATTTATTATTCATTAAAAATTTACAAAAAAGTAGTAAAGAGTAATATTTAGTAGATCTATTACTCAAATTATTTATTTTGTTAAGTTAAATATAGATTTTTTAAATATTTAAACAAAACTTTGAACTAATATTTATTTGTATAATAATTTTTGTATATTGTTCATATTTCAATATATTTCATATATTTTAAAAAATAAAAGTATTTTTAATAAGTATTCCAAGTCATTTTTTTCTTTTTTGGGCTTAGTGTAACAAATTTATAAATTTTTCTTTAACAATTTATAAAATAATTAAAATTATAAGATAAATATTACTAAAAATTATCAAACATATTTTTTGCTTACTATCATCTGTTTTTTGATATAAAATGATTTACAATAAATGTAATATTCTATCCATAACAATATATTACTTTTAAATTTAATCTGTCCTACTCAAGTAGTATATGAGATGTGATCACAAATTGTGATAAATACAAATTATAATTAATACTGTGTACAGCTAGAATAGTGGCAAGTTTAGTGGTTGGTATTTGGAGGAGGTGTAATAGTTCTTATAGTATTAGTTCTTTGGGACTAGATAGTCCTTCAGTGTTGACCGTCGGTTAACTGTCAATGCTGAGTGGCCCTGAAAAGGGACATTTTGGGTAAGCATCTTAATTCGCTGGGTGGTGGTGAAATTTGTTAGTGATATATCCTAGTCTGAGTTATATCGCTATGTAGAGGACGCCACATGCAAGCTCTCATTATGGCCCCCTTTAGAATATTAAAAAAAGTATTAAAATATGGGCATTTGATTACATAAAATGTATGATATACAACATATAAACAATTATTAATTATAGGAATTAGCTTTAAGAGAAGAAATTGGTGATTTGAAAGGAGAGTGTTGTGCACATGGTCATCTTGGTGCTGTTTATATGTCCCTTAGAAATTATACAAATGCTATAAAATGTTACCAATTACAACTTGAAAGATCAAAAGAATTAAGAGATAATACTATTGAAGCTGAAGTCTATGGAAACCTTGGTAAATAATTTATTACTTATAGATACATAGCTATTTTATTATAAAGAGTGTTCAATAATTGAGAAAATAAATCAATTGTTACAAGCAATAAAAATTCTTTTACATTTTACTACTTCTTTGTCATATTTATTTTAAGCCCTTTATTAATTTCAACTCTTTACTAAAAAATATTTGTATTTACATGAAGAAGTACCAATCTGAGTTCAACTAGATACTTTTCAAGGGTGCTGTAAAATGTTTGTTTAAATTTAGTTGTAATGCATATTTTGTATGGTTTTGCTTTAAGCTATTGCAATTTTTATTTAAGTTAAAAAATATATAATACTGGGTGTTTGATTATAAATAAGACACTCACTTTTTCAAATCTATTGAAATTTTAAATTCACATAAATATAAGAATAAGTTCTAAAAAATACAATTTTATGTAGATAATTTTTTTGTTTTTTAGAATTCTATTAGTAAAAATCATTGCAACTATATTTATTTTACCCCATTAATTATTAATCTGTTATAGTATGTTAAAAATTAGTTATTTTCTATATCAAAAAGGTTATTTAATTACATAATATTGTAGAATACAGTAATTTAGAACAATCCATATTAGGAGGGCCCATCTAGTATAATTATCGTACTTGGCATAAAAAATTAAACTATTAATTTTTTAAAGAATAAGTGTTTTCCAAATAATAAAATAAAAATAACAAATTGGTTATAACATATTTTTAAGACTTTTACATGTTTTTTACTGTATGAAGTGTTTTTGTGGACTATTTATTAACAAAATAAAGCTGAAGTTTTTATTTTTTAATTTCTTGTAAAATTTTCTTTACTTGAATTTTGCTTTCATAATTCTAAGTTAAGCGAAAAAAAATTAATGAGACATAGATCAGTTATTTTTATTAAATTTGCCTCATCAACTCAACCAGGGCTACGGGTCAATCTAATGGATTAATTCCAAATATTGCACAGCTCATTTTTTTGAGTATTAAAAAAAAAAAAGAGACATTTGATTTTTGAGGGCCACCCTAATCTATATATTATTTGTATGTATTGGATAATAATTATGAAGTAAGATAAATTTCATTTCGATATAAGGGGTATTGAAAATTCTACTAGATTAAATAATTATTAATTTTATATTTTAGGTATAGCTAGAATGAATATTGGATTGTATGAAGAAGCCATTGGTTATTTTGAACAACAGCTAGCTACTTTAGAACAACTGTCAAATCTCTCATCTTCAACAGATAAAGTATGTCATTGTGTTATTTTTAAGTCTTATTGAATTAAAAAAAATATTTATTATAATTTTATTTATACTATATAAGGTGAATACCTTATCATATTTTTTTTGCATTTTTATTGTAATAGATCACTTAAATAGTAATCATTTCTAAGTAACTTTTGGTGTTTTAAAAGATTCTACAATTGAAATATGCAGAAGTGAATTCATTTTAATGATCTATTTTAACTAAAAAAACTAATCAAAATGTTGTTAAAAAAATTACTCAATTGAGTGTATTAGTTGTGATTATTTGATATATTGTTAAAAAAAGTTGGTCAAGTGAGAGCTAAGAAAATAAATGAGAGCCTTAAAAAAAAAAATCACATAGTAAAAAACTTTAATATAGGCTAGAGGTGTGGAGATCAGCTCTTAAAGAAAAGGGTTTAAGAATAAATAAAAGTAAGACAGAGTATTTAGAGTACGAGTTTGACAAAGGAGAACACGATGTAGGTGAAATGAGAAGATCAGTGACAATAGGCGAGGACGTGATTGGAGAGGTGGAAAGTTTTAAGTATTTAGGGTCAATTGTGCAAAACAGTGATGGTATTGACGAGGATGTAAGACAAAGAATTAAGTGTGGGTGGTTGAAGTAGAGATAAGTGTCTGGCGTCTCATGCAATAAAAGAATTCTAATGAGACTGAAAGGTAGATTCTACAAGACTGTAGTGAGGCTAGCTATGATGCATGGTTCAGAATGTTGGACAGTTGATAAGAAAGTAGAGCAGAGAATGAGTGTAGCAGAGATAAGAATGCTTCGATGGATGAGTGGAGTGACTAGAAAAGATAGAATAAGGAACGAGCATATAAGAGGGAGTACAGGTATGGCGTCAATTGTAGATAAGATGAGAGAAAATAGACTTAGATGGTTTGGTCATGTTTTGAGGAGAAAAGAATCGAAAACTGTAAAACAGTTATAGAAATTAATGTTGAAGGAAGAAGAGGTAGAGGAAGACCAAAAAAGAGATGAAGGGGTGTTATTGAATGCGATATGAAGACAGCTGATGTGAGCGTAGATGATGTGGGAGATTGTGTCAAGAGGAAGTAAAGGATAAATGTGGCCAACCCCAAGTAGTTGGGATTAAGGTGAGGAAGAAGAAGAAGATTTTTCTGTGTAAGTAGCAATTAGAAAAGTTAAAAAGTTAGATTATGAAAAAAAATAAATAGTTTTATTGATCCAATTTTAAAAAAATTGTAACATTTAAAGACGTAAACCAAAAAAATGTGTATACATAATGTGTATATATAATATTTTAATCATTAGAAAAAATTGCATCTCATAGTCTAACAAGAATCTTAATGTAAAATTTAAATAAATATAAACTTTAAAGAACATAGAATTTTTTACTTTATATAATACCTCAATATTTTACTGATTTATTGATTTTGAGTAAAAAGTAAAAATAAGAGAATAAATTTTTTATGTAATAATAAAAAAAAACCAGCACAGGGGGGTCGCGGCACAGTTGGATCAAGTATAATGATATCTGACAGTGATTAAAATCACTATAAAAAAAAACGCTTCGATGCAAATCTTTAGAAAGTGTTTAATTTTAAAAAATTGGCGGATTAAACCAAAAGCTACATGATCTTCTATTTCCTTAATAATATCCTGATTAAGATAAAGTATGTCGAATTAAAAAGAGATATAAATATTATTTCTCATAANCGCTTCGATGCAAATCTTTAGAAAGTGTTTAATTTTAAAAAATTGGCGGATTAAACCAAAAGCTAGATGATCTTCTATTTCCTTAATAATATCCTGATTAAGATAAAGTATGTCGAATTAAAAAGAGATATAAATATTATTTCTCATAAAAAAATTGTGTTGACCCATACACTTTTCACTAAGTTATAGCATTATACAGTTAAAAATGTAAAAAATAAAATGGAGAATTTTCACACAGAAATAGCATTCAGTAGCCATTTTCACCATGAAGACAAAATAAAGTCTGACATTTTTTTTTTTCATAATAAAGTATATTACATAAGCTTTAATTTAAGTTATATATAAAAGTGTCAGTATTTCCGAAACACTTTTAAAAGTTAAGTTGAAAAAGTTAATTTTTTATGAAAAGTTGCCATATTGAAACCCTCCTATGGGCAAGTAAATGGTCAAATGTTCACAAAAATATATCAAATGATAATAAAATACCTAAGGTATCTATAAAAAAAAATTATAGTGTTTAAAAAGGACATGGTTTTAAAATTATAATAGCAAAAGACAATAACCATACTACTAAACTGTTAAAATACTACACTATATTAGTGTATAGTAAATTTATATAAACAATAATAGAGGTTGGATGAGAACTGAGAAAAGTGGTAACAGACACAAAAATAAAAAAAATACACATCATAGTAAAATTATTACCTACTCAGCTTAGCATTGAAGCTAAAATATGCTTCTAACATAATCCAAAACTGTAAAAAGAAATTTTTGATAAAAGTAACAAAATATTTCTTTCTTCTTATTTTTCCTCACCTTAATTCCAACTATTTGGGGTCGGCCACCCTAATCTTAAACTTCTACTTGACATGATCTCCCATCTACGCTCACATCAGCCATCCTCATATTCCATTCAATAATATCCCTCCATCTCTTAACAAAATAACAGAACAAAATATTTTCTGAATCAAAAGTTAGTGAGGATGTCAAACATGGTAAGACACTCTGCATATATTGTTTTCATGCTACTATCTTTCATTAAACTTTCTATTGAAATTTTAGAAGTCCTACTAGTATTTTAATCCTTAGAATTGTAGTTTTATTTTATAAGTTAGGAGTTTTTTATAGTAATTTCAATATCATAAATATTGTATGCATACTACATACATTTAAGTTTTAATACATTTGTCCATTTTATTTAAAGGGCCGAGCATTCGGCAATCTAGGAGATTGTTATCATGCATTAGGAGACTTTGATGAAGCTGTCAAATATCATGAACAATTTTTGACTATAGCGGTACAACTTCAAAATGTTAGAGATTTAGAGAAAGCATATATTCGTCTTGGTCAGTCATATCGTCAAATTGGGTACCTTGATCAAAGTTTAGTTTGTTTTGAAAAAATATTAGTTATTGCTAATGAACTTAATAACCTAGAAATGAAAGCAATATCATACGGTGAATTAGGATCAAATAATATATTAATGGGAAATCATCAACAAGCAGTATCTTGTTTACAAAATCAAATAGCAATTGCACGAGAACTAAACAATAGAAATCTTGAAGCAAATGCTGCTTCATCCCTTGGTTATGCTCATCAATTGATGGGTCAAACTAGTGTTGCCTTACACTATTATAAACTAGACTTGGAAATTGGAAAAGAATTAAGCGAACCATTATTACAATGTAGAGCATATGGAAATATTGGAAATGTAGAAGAAATTTTAGGTAACTTCAATGAAGCTATTAAATATCAAGAAGAACACTTATCTATTGCTAGTCAGATTGACGATAAACTTGCAAAAGCTACAGCATTTAGTAGTTTAGGTTCATTACACCATGTATTGGGACATATAAGTCAAGCAGTTATTTACCTAAATCAAGCACTTCAAAGTTTAGACATGAGTAGTAAACCAGATAAAGAAGGGCATATAAGGTTTAAACTTGGTATGACCCTTTTAGCAGATGGTCAAACTGATGCAGCTAGAGGGCACTTAGAACAAGCGTTTGATTTATTAGATAATGCTCTTAATATGGGTACTTACGAAAATCATCAGTCTATTGTTGGTTTAAGACATGAATGTTACCAAGCTCTTTTGGTAAAAGAACTGTAATGAATTGTAATATATTTTATGTATTATATAATATTTTTTATTTTGTAGATGGTACTAATTCAACTAAATAGGTATGAAGAAGGACTCTTAATATCTGAAAAATATAAAATAAGAGATAAATTTTTACTTCATGGAAAAATTAAACCAACTTCAGAATCAATGAAAATAAATTCAATTGATAATCTATTTGATATTGTTAATAAACAAAAAGCTTCAGTCCTATATTTTAGCTTGGCATCGGATTGTTTATATACTTGGCTCCTTGTACCAAATAAAGGTAAAAAATATTGTAATTTATGTTGCTATGTTTTTATTTTTAAATTGCATAATTTAAGGTGTTGCAAAGTTTAATGAAACATTAATACATACTAATGTTAAAAATGAAAATTTATTAACTCAGTATTTAAAAGAATTAAAGAACACAATAAATGTACTACAGCCAATGTATGTAACTCATATTAGTATGATTTTTAATTTTTACTATACAGAAATTAAAAAAAAATTAATTCTTACTATTTTATAATACAATAAATTAGAAAAATTGATACAGAATCAAATGAATCTCCAAATTTAGATGAATTGGAAGATAGATTTATAAAAGAAAATGAAAACAGTTACCTTAGAATGGTCAACAGGAATCATTTGTATAATACTAGTAATTATAGCTTAAGTAGTTTATTCAGGTAAATTCATTTTTTTTTATTCGCTTTATAAGCCAATTGAACAGAATTCTTTTACTATAATATCAGCTTGGTTCAGAAACTCATTAAGCGCTACTTTTGTAATTTTTTTTTTTTTAATTAATTTGTTGTAGAAACATAAAATCTTAATATTTTTAAGACAACAGAAAAATTATATTTTTAACTTAAATATCATTTTTATTGAAAAAATATTATGTAATCATACAATAAATGCAATAATAATATTTAAAAAAATAAGTTTCTGGACCAAACCAATAGTTTTTAATCTTGAAAATACATTTTTGTTATTGTTTTTACAATAATATTCTTTGTGATTTAGTGTTGGAAGTGTTGGAGGGAGCACTGTTGGATCTGCTAGTAGATCAGGTAGTATTAGAGCCAAAAAAATGAAATCATGGATGGTCCCTGATAGTTTAAACAAGCTTTATGATTTGTTAATAGCACCATTTGAGGATTATTTATTTGTACCCTGTGGTAAATAATATTGATTAGGTAGTATTGGAATAATTTATTTTTCTTTAAAAAATTATATTTTTATTATTAGATTGTTTTGGCAGAAGAGAACTTCTGTTAGTTCTGGAGGATGATTTATTACTAGTACCATTTTCAATGTTACATCCTAAAAGAGATATTGACCAAATAAATGTTGAATACCTATCTGAAAAATTTTCTTTACTTGTTACATCATCATTAATGAAATTAAAAGAAAACCAAAGGTAATTTTTACTAAAAAACTCATTTAATTATGTTCTTCTTCATCTGGAATTTATTCTTTTTAAGAGTTTTTGCCATCATGATGGCGGTAAAAACTAAAGATTATGATAATCTACCTCCACTCTTTCCTGTTATGAACTCACATTCTCCAATCTCATACTCCTACTTTCTTGAGATCTCTTTCCACTGTATCCATTCATTTCTATCTAGGCTGCCCGTGAGATCTCTAAGTTTTCATTTCAGCACTGATCCAGCTGTCTCTTCTTCTATTCTGCATTTTGCATGACCAACCCATTGTATTTGCTGGCCAGTTATAAAGCTATTAACTGGTGCTAGTCCCAACTCTTCTTGTAGTTCTCAATTGAATTTTCTTCTCCACGCTCCTGGTTTTTTATCATAGATAGAACCGCAAATTGTCCTCCATTTTTTTTTATCTTAAAAATTTAAAAAAAATTAAAAAAGGTCATTGGTACAAAAAATATGTTAATCAAAAGCCCCCAATTATATTTTAATAAAAACTGAGAATATCTAGTTCAATTACTGAATATAATATTTTGTATAATAACATTTTATTTTTTATTAGAAAAATATTTTTCAAGTTTTATTTTATACCTTAAAATGCTTGAAAAAATGTATACTTTAATAATATTTTTGTTTATTTTACTATTTACTTCCAATATTTTGAAAAGAATTATTCATAGGTTATTTAATTGTCCATTATATGAACTATACTAACAAAAAAAAAATTCTTATACTAAATTTTTCTTTAACTTTAGAGTCCATAAAAAGGCAATTATTAATGAATCATATAATATTACTTCACTTGTTGTTGGAAATCCACAACTTCCAGAGAACCTTTGTGATCATCTTAATATTAGTGAATTACACCATACAGAACAAGAAGCAACAATGGTTGCTGAAATGTTACAGACTAAACCATTCATTAAAAAACAGGTACAAATAAGTTATAGTCTAAAAATATTACATAATAATATCAACAAAATTTAAATTACTTTTTTAATTATTTTAGGCAAATAAAAGTAATATTTTAGAACAACTGGTTAAAGCAGAATGCATTCATTTAGCAACTCACATATTTTGGGATCTATCTGCCATTATTTTGTCTCCAGATGAAAATGTAATCTAAGTATTTTAACTTATGTAAAATTAAATTTAAAATGTTGATACATATACTTTCTAAATATAAACCAACCAAATGTTTTAAATAAAATAATTATGGTACATCAAATTACTTATAGATGAACAGATTAATCAAATTGTTTTTAAATATAGAATTTCAGTAAAAAAAATCTGCACTTTTTCAATTAAATCATATTTACAATCTTTTAGTAATAGATATTTTTTTAAGCAATTTATAAATTGTGAGATATCTGAGAATGACAACATTGGTAATAAAATTTACTACTAATGTTGTCATTATTTTGTAATGGCTAATACTTAATGGTGTATTGATGTATTGATGAGTAAAAATTAAATTATAGCCAGTAAAAAGAGTTTAAAAAATCAATAAGAAAATTTTTTTTTATTTTTGTAGTGTTCAAGTTGAATTAAAAATTATAATTTTATTTTTTAAGTGACTTTTACATATAATTTTAAAGGATAATATTGTGGAGGCAGAAATAAATTTGTCAGACATATTATTAACTGCAGAAGATATTTCATCCTTAAAGTTGAATGCAAGACTAATAGTACTTAGTTGGTCACATTCATATGATGGTTGGGCTACTTCTAAAGGTCTTCATGATCTGACTAACAGTTTACTGATGGCTGGAGCTCATTGTATACTAATATCTTTATGGCCAGTTCCAAGTACAGCAGCCAAAATTTTACTACGAGCATTTTATTCAGCTTTGTTTCAAGTAAATAAAGTTTTAATTAGCAAAAATGCTTTGTTTTAATGATCTAAATAATATTTAGGGCTCAAGAGTATGTAGAGCTTTAAGCGATGCAATGCAGACGCTTCAACATACAAAGCATTTTTCACATCCATCCAATTGGGCAGGATATATTTTAATTGGTTCTGACATCCGTTTATCAAACAAAGTAGCTTTGATGGGTCAAGCATTATGTGAAATATTAAAAAGTCCTGATAAATGTCGGGATGCTCTTAGAGTTACACTTCACTTGGTATTTATATAACATATACTTACTTATATGTACAGGGTGATTTTTTTTATCATAACCCACTCAATTACTTACAGAATAATAATAATTTAAAAAATTTTTTTTATTATTATCTTTAGTTACACATTATTCTTGAATTATTAACTATGTAATACTTTTTAAGTTCATCCCTTATGCCTGGTAAGGGTGTCAACTTTGTTTTTTTGGATTATAGTCTTTTTCAAATAAAATATAAATTTTTTTTTTATATACTTACTTTTCTTATCTAATATAATAATTTTGGTTAAATTTAACATATATAAAGTAGACATTCTTTAATTTACAAGTCATGTTCAAACAATGATTGAAAGACTACCAATAAGACATATACATTTTAAACATGGGTACCTGATGAATTAAAGTAAACATATAGTCAGTGACAAATGCAGAGTAACAAATAAATGTGTTCTCACAAAGTTTAAGAAATACGACTATCAAAAATGAACACAAAATGTAAACAACTTTACCAAAAGTTCTCAAGCCAGATCTTCTGTTACTACTAAAAACTATTAAATTCATTAGAAACTAAAAAGAAAGTTAATCTTATTAATAATACAAATAAATCTAAATAATTAATAAGCACACTAATTATTTCCTATTTATCTTATCTTGCAAAAATATTTGAGAGATTTATGCAAAAATTTTTTATAAGAAGGCTCAGATTACCAATTGAAGAGCTATGTACAAAAGCAAGATAACTCCATTTTTTTTTTAAATCAGATTTTTACTGTTTGTAATTGAGATGATAATTACAATTACATATGTACAAGAAAAAAAATAGTTACAGTTAATAGTATAAATAATAATTTTTAGGTATAGTAGTTTTTTAATTATCTGGTAAGTGAAGATACATGTTAAAAATTTCTGAATTTTTTATCTTTTTGAAAAGTTTTGAAAAGTGGAGTTATCTTTATTTCCATACAGCCAAATCATAATAGTTCAATCATTGCTTAAATTTTCTTAATTCCATTGTTCATCATAATATTTTAAATATAGATTGAAATTTTGTTAATTATAGTATGTTTTATAATTAATTTTGATTCAAAAAAATTATTTTATATTACAGGTTGAAAAATCATTACAGCGCATACACAGAGGACAAAAAAATGCTATGTATACTACTCAAAAAAGTATAGAAAATAAGGTATTTATTTTTAAAAAAGTGTATTTTATACTATTCATGTAGACTTAAATATTATATTATATGAATATGTAATTTTTATTCTTTTAAAAATGAATCAAACATTAATAGATAATAGTATAAACTGTAGAATGTTGCATAAGATTCACAGATTAAAAAAATAATTTTACTTAATACAATTACTGTTTTAAAAATAACAGTATTTTCTAGCGATGTCTTTGCTAAAGGGCTGCTTCATTGTCTGGGGGAAAATGTCTATTTTCAAAAGTGTTATGTTAAAAATAAAATATAAGAGTTAAATTATTTATCAAAATTATTTAGTTGTACCATCAACTTAGAGCAGTTGAATATTTTACAAAATTCATAATTTAATTTTTATGAACAAATATTTCGTTTTTAATAATACTTGTAAACATTTTACTAGATAGATTCATATGATTAAAATAATAATTTTTAACTGCCCCATGTTTGTTCATTTAAAAACTATATTTAAGGATATCCAATTTTTATAAAATTATTTATAGTTTCATAAGTTTGATATATTTTTATTGTTTATATAAATTTACTATACACTAATATAGTGTAGTATTTTAACAGTTTAGTAGTATTGGTTATTGTCTTTTGCTATTATTATTTTTTAATTTTTATGTCCTTTTTAAATGCTATTGATTGTACTATAAAGGAAAACCCTACATAGCTCATTATAATGGAATCAAACCCTGGTATCTACATGCTGAGGCATTATACGTTGCTGACTAAGCTACCTACTAAGTAGGCTACTTATTAGCATCAATGCGAAGCTGAGAAGGTATTAATTTTACCATTATGCGTTTTTATTTTATTATTTTTGTGTCTTACCACTTTTTCTCAGTTCTCACCGAACTGATATCTTTCAACAATACATCAAAAAATCACAAATGGTATCTAGTCGAAGACATTACCATCAAAAATTGAAAAAAAATTTTCCTCGTTCCCCGTAAATGTGGGAAATCTTCAAAAAAATTACAAATTTAAAAAACGATCATTTTCGAAAACTTTCAATTTTTTTATTTAAAATTGCCATAAGTTTTTTAAAAATAAACCAATTAATATAATTTTTTTTTATAGATACGTGAGATATTTACCTATCATTTTGTATATTTTTTTTATAAATCTGACCCGTATTCTACCCACAGGGCGGATTCAAAACTATTTCGCAAAAAATTAACTTTTGAAAGTGTTCCGGAAAGTCTGACACTTTTATATATATCTTAAATTAAAGCTAATGTAATGTACTTTATTAAGGAATAAAAAAAATTTGGGACTTTCTTTTGTTTTCATGGTGAAAACGGACAACCAAGTTAAAAAAAATTCTTTTTTATATTTTTAACTTTATAAAGCTATAACTTTTTGAAAAATGTATTGATCATTATAATTTTTTAACTTAATTTTTGAATGTGTTCCAGAAATACTGACCCTTTTATATATTAAATTAAAGTTTATGTAATATACTTTAATAATACTATAATAATAATCCACCAATTTTTTTAAATTAAACATTATCTACAGATTTGCATCGAAGCGTTTTTTGTGATGGTGATTTTAATCACTGATATCATTATACTTAACCCAAATATGCTACGTCTCCACTGTGCTGGGTTTTTTTTTTTCATAACTATATAGGAGGATGTTGCCCCTAATAATTTCAGTAAATTACATTTGTGAAAAAAAAAATATGACTTATTTAATATTTATTAATACTTAATTTTTACTCTTCACTATAATTTTTTTTTTCTGTGAATTTTTTGTATACACACAATTTTATCCTTTCTAGTTTTAATCAATTCGTTTTTAATTTTCTTATTAAATAATATATTTATATTTAATAAATTAATAAAAAACAAATTTTAAGGTTGGTGATGTTACGGGATGGAAAGAGCTTTTACAGTCTGTTGGATTTCGTTTTGAACCTGCTGCTAATGGCATTCCGTCTTCTGTATTTTTCCCTCAAAGTGATCCTGAAAATAGGTTAACTCAATGTAGTTCTAGCTTACAGGCACTTCTTGGTATGCCCTCATTACATTAAAAGTGAAAAATATCATGATTTATACTATAATCTTAATTAATATATAATTTAGGACTTAATACTGTCACATTTAATGCAATGTCAAAATTAATATCAACACCTGAATTAATTGATGATTTAATTACTATAATACGAAATATTATTGAACAGTTGAGTAATAAATTTAATGTTGAAAGTGAAAAAGTCTTTGATATACCAGTAAATGGAAAATTATGGAAAATTTCTGGATGTTATGAATTTTTATCATCATTAAGTAAACTATAATATTAATTCTTAAAATTAAATTAATTCTTAGAAATACTACATTTAAACATTGACAAATGTTTTAAGGTTTGGATTTAGTTGAAGTTAATTTAGATGAAGTGATATTACGAACTGGAAAACAAATTAATAAACGTTATATCCAATTTGTTCATCAAGCTTTGTTAGCTTTATTTGGTATGAATTTTTATTTTTTTTAAGGCTAACTATTGAGTTTTAATTTTAATTAACTGATCAAGTAACAAAAATATATTATTTAATTAAAAAAGATACTCAAGAAGTGCCAAAAAGTCTATCAATTTGTTCTTCAAGTTCTCTTGAAAGTATAGTTACTATTGAAGATGATCGACCTAAAGATTTATCAGTTATGACTAGACCTATTTCTAGTTTTCTTAATGGATCAGGTGCATTTACTAGTTATGTTAGAAAAAGAGGCGAACCAGATGGTAGAACTGCTTCAGAGGCTTCTGTGCAAATTTCTCAGGTACTTGGAGTAAATTGTTTAGTTTTTAAACAGGCTACTAAATTTTTCATCAAAGAACTTTTTTTTTTCAAATAATAATTATCTTATTTTGTTCGCCACCAAATAACATCCCTGTTTTTAAACTGTGATTTTCATGATCTTTTTTATTTAGACTGCTTGTGGAAATTTGCTTGTGCCAACAATTATAAATCGGAGATCAAGTGGAACTGCCGGAGGAGAAAGTGATGCTGCATTTACACCATCACCTCCAGTTCCTGGAATAAGTGATACTCTTTGTACAGCACTAGCACATCAAACAAAAATTAGAAATTTGTATTCAACACCAATTAGACCAGATTCATCAAGTTCAGCCAGTTCTATAAATGATTGGGAAGGTAATCATTTCATAAACACTTTTTACTGTTAAAATTATTTAATTAGTTTTTCACAAAAATAATTATTTTTTACAGGATGGTTTATTAAGCATACTATTCCCCATTTTTTCATCAAGTATAGATTAAAATTTAATTTATTTTTATAAATAATTGTAAATTGTAAATTTATAAGAAAAAATTATTTGTAAGGGTATATTTTAGGGGTTACTTTCTAAAGATAAACGAGAGACTATTATTGTTTTATTATTAAATGGAGAAGTGTCTAAATAAAATTTTGATTGGTTGTTAACCAGTTTTTTTATATTACTTTTTTAGTTATAGGTGAACGGTGTGCGCAACATTAAAGAGTTCTTATCTTAATGTTACGGTAAAAATAGTTTGTTACAAAACACTACCTCGCTCCTTACCTTCTCTATATCTTCAAATGCTATATCTCAAAAAGTAATAATATAAAACTGGTTACTGATCAGTCAAGATTTTATCTAGACAACTCTTCATTTAATTATTAAAAATTAATAGGTTCCTTTTAACTTTCAAAAGTTACCTTTAAAATCTACCCTTATAAATAATTTTTTGTTATAATAAACTTTACATTTACAATGGTTTATAAAAATTAATGAAGTTTTAATTTAATTTAATTTAATATTATTTAATGAAAAAATTGGTAGTAGTATGCTTAAAAATCACTCTGTATATATTTATATATATATAAATATGTTTCTAGGAAATGGGCTTTCAACTATTTTAAGAAGGGGTACAAATTCCATTCCTTATGCTACTTTACCCGTTACTAATATTCATAATAATGATAGTGTTATAGAAAACAATTTAAATCAAAATAATGACTCCAAGATGTCTGTTTATTTAACAAAAGTGTTAAATATTTCTGATAATGAATCAGATATGCAAACACTATTAAATATTAAAGAAAATACCCCTCAAAACCTAGGTGAAACATTACAGTTACGAAAATTGAACCATGATTCCAAACCAACAATATCTGATGTTTATTATGAACAAAAAATTGGCCTAGGATTAGCACCATCATTATTAAAAATATTGTCCTTGGATAAAAATGTAGCAAAAGAAACTAAATCCAATTGGCTATCTTCATCTGTTTTGAAGAAATTTGGTTCTAGTGATGTACAAGAATCTACAATTTATGGGGAACTTAATAAAAGAGATGAAGGTGATGGAAGATCAATTGCTGAATCTCAATCTAGTACTGGAAGTTACCAAAAACGAAATGATAAAAATAAGTTACAAAATTTTGAAAGTCTGATGGAAGAAGACAACTATGTTAAAGAACCTAGTGTAAGATTAAAAAAGAAATTGTATGCATCACTTCCATTACAGGATTTATCATTAAAACCTGTTAGCGATTCATGACAAATATATTTTTGATACAATTCTACTATTAATCATGTTTATTAATCATTATTGTTATTTATAAGAATGTTTTACAATTATTAATAGTTATTTTTTCTCAAAAGAAGTTTTTTTTTAATTTGAAACTGAAATTATTTGTTAAGTTTGTTCAAAAATGAAATAAAAACTGAAATTTCAACTATCATTGTTATTTTTTGTTTAATGAATTCTTCGGTGTTTTTTACTCCATTTCGCTACACAAAATTAAAGTACTTTTTATTGTTAACATATATATAAAATTAAGACATTTTAACAAATAATTTAATAATTATCTATATTAATAATAATCGCTTCAATTACTGTCCTAAAAACCTTCATGACGTCTTTACTCTCATTCTTCTAAATTAGAAGTCTACGTTGTTTTAGCTAGGGTTACCAAATATCTGAAATGACTTTTTGAACTTAGCCTTTCTAATTTCAAGAAAATATGTTTTCACACAATATCAAATTAAAAATTATGATCAATAAAACCAAAATAGATCCTTTGTTTTAATAAATGACAATTTTATTTGTTGCTATTGGCGGGAATCGTTGGTTTCTCTCAAAAATGGCGAACAGTATATTTATATTGTACATTACTATATACTAATGTACAATATACACATAATATTATTAATGCAGAAATTTATAATATTTTTCTTTACTATTTGGGTTTGGTTTCTATCCCTTATTAATACACATAACATTTTTATAAAAGCTCTAATAATATCTTTGGAATTGTTTTATTGTATTTTAAAACTTAAAATAGTTTTTATCGTTAAGTAATTCAAACATAAAATGTTCAAGTTATTGAATATTTTAAATGATTATAGAAAATATTTTGAATAATTTTAAATTCTACCAATATATTTTAAAATACGTTAAATAAAATAAAATGTGTTAACCTGTTTATTGTATATTTTAATATTTAGTTGTTATAAAGTTAGAACTTTATGAAATGTATAAAATAACTTATTGTATTGTAAATATCTTTACTATACAACTAAATTTTTATTATAGTAAATAGTGGTCTATTTAAAATTTAAACACGAGTAAAATTTGATGATTCCATTAGGTTACTTAAAAAAGTGCTTGTAGCTTAAGAAACAAATTACTAAGTAGTTAATAAAATTTACTAAACATTTACAATATTATAATTTGTTATAGCCTAATTTATTTTTCGTAGGATTGTTACACTTTGTATTTATGCAATACAAAAAAAAAAAATAGAGAAACATACGATTAAGCCAATTAAAACTGATGAGTTAACATGTAACTTGTCAGCAAGTAAATTAATTGTAAACTGAATTTAAAAGGTAATTAAAATACGAACACAGCAAAAACAATATTCATTTATTGTCATTATAATTATAATAACCACAAAAAGACGTGATGAATAATTTATACATATAACTGATTAATGTTATTAACAATTACAATATAGTAAAATAGACATCATTAAATGTAAGTAGAGGTGCACCATGTCAGTGTAGTAGTGGACGGCATTTGAAACTGTTATTTCATGTCAATACTGCGGCTGCGAAGTAAATAGGTATTTAGTTGCTGTTACGAAATCACGACTTACAACTAAAGCTACGAGCACCGATATCGACAACCAACACGAATAAACTGATGTACATTTCAAGAATATTATGCAGTATATGAGCATAATGTATGTTAATATTCCACCTTTAGCCAAACCTCTCATGATGATTATTATTTACATCAAACCAGACGTTTAGCGTTTCAACCGACAACGGAGTTGTGTTGTACTACTTCATTTCTTACCCCCACCGCTTATCACTGTTCAAATGAATAATCAAAACGCTGGTCCGTCCAAAAACGCTTCTTTTCTTTGTTAGTTTGTGTTTCTTATCGTTTGATGTATTAGTTAACCTTTTGAAGGAAATGAACCACATTACTTAATATTCACTATCGTTTATTAAAATATAGCAATTATTGAACATCACAAATCACTTCTAATCTTATTAATATTCTTTATTAATACCGTATCGTAAACTTTGTTCTTAGTCGAAAATTTTGGCGTTGTATTTTACATTCACAAGTATAAAATAAAAATCGTACAAAATACGAAGTTGCTGTTACGTAAGATTCATTCGTTTCATGTTGTAGTTCCCCCACTTCTTACACCGTTTGGTTAGCAGCCATTTGCAACCATTTCTCGATTAGCGCTTGCCGTGTGAGTATCCATCCAGTTACTGTTAGGATTACCATGCGTTGTTGATTCCTTAAATTTGTTGAGTTTGTTAATGCTAACTGATAAATGTTTTATAACCAACTGTAAAATGGACAGACTTAATGCAAGTGATGAAGAATCTGTCAATGCAGAACGTAATATATTTTTGTTTAGATTTTAATATCATTCAATCAAAAAATACCTTTACTTGAACTGAAAATAAAATATGAACGTGTTCGTAGGCAATGAAAACAAAGAAGATTTATGCGGGCTAAAGAAGTATTTGCCATTTTTACAAAATATTATTGATAATGCAAAAGATTTGGATATTCAAGACTCGCATTTGGAAAAATTACGATCATTGTATGATATGGTGGATAAAAAAAAGTTAGCGTATTTCTAGTCAAATAATTAATATGCCGAAGTATTTCATTTGAAGATAATTATTTTGCTCTACTAAAATTCTAAGATTAAACTGGAGTTTTGAATGACAAATGCTTTAAAAATTCTGTTAATGAGAAAGTTAAATTTATTATTGCTATTTTGCTAGTTACTGAAGTATTAACCACCAAAAATAATAATACCATTTGTTATTAAATTAGTTCTATGCTGATTTGGATTAATTACAGTTATTCTAAACAATGCAAGTTATGAATCTTCTAGCATTGGCTTCTTTATTTTTTGTTAATTGCTGATGAAAATCAATTTTCATTGTTGCAATTTAAAATTATAATTGAATTATCTCAAAGTTATATTGTTAAATATGATAGATATCTGCATATGCACCAAGTATATTTAAAATTACGGTTTTCAAAATACCTTGAAAATTTATGTGTTTCATTATTATAATTATTCCAATTGGAATAATTATTATTGACGAAAGTATTTAAATAACTGTGAGTGTTCAATCGTAGATTGGTTTAACTTAAATAATAAACCGAAGGAATGTGATAGTTTGAATAATAATAATAATAATAATGTCAAACTACTGTTCTAACAGGAAAATGTTTTTATCAAATCTTTGATAAAGTAAAATTATATTACTGAAATAAATTAATTTTATAATCTTTATTTCTCATTTTTTTTTTTATGCTTAGCTAAGTTAGTTATCAGTTATAAAAATAAAAACAGAACAATTATTATAAATATAACAATAACTTTCCTATATAGACTAATGGTAATCTGGGTTGTTAATAATTATTTTTACAATTATAAAAACTTTCTAGATCAATAAAATTTTTGATTTTAAAACTTGTATTAATGTTTCAGATTATTTATTGGATTGGTTTTACCATTTGGGTTAGTGCAAATGCATTAGTTAATATAGCATATATGTGATTTTATTAAACATACAGTTATTTCAATGTTTAAAGTCAATTAAAATAATTATTTTTGTGTCAAACCAGTTTTGATGACTTGAATATAGAAATTTTACTGTTAAAATTTTTATATATATAATAATATACTTAAAATGAATGATTCTACATTTAATTTATTCAAATAGATTTTTTTTTTATCAGAACTACATCTATGAATGGCTTTATGTTAAAAAAATTGTTAACATTCAAAACCCAATTTAAAAACTTATTAATTTCAAGTAAATTTCTGTAGAAAGATTGAATCCCTTAATATATATAAAACATTTAAAAACTATAAATAAAACTTAATTTATTTGTATTATATTTTAAACATTATTTGGTTTTAAGAAATGTTATTTTAAATATAATAATGATTTATATCTTTAAGACTACTACTTCTGAGATAATTATCATCTAAAATAAGTATAAAAAATACTACACCATAGTACTGTTATGATGGATAAGAAGTCAATAGCTTTGAGTTAAACTGTCTTTTAATTAAGTAATGAAAACATAATCATATAACTTAATTGTAGCGCATATAATTCAAATAAATGTTAAGGAATTTTACATTTTTTAGTAGATTGATATTTTATGGTTATTACTGTAATAAACTTGTTTGTCTTACAAATATGCATGCAAAGCTGAAAAGTATTAAATTTTCTATAACATATATATATATATATATATATATATATAAATTATTTTTATATCAAAATGGCTTTAATAGATTGAATAATATTGTAATTTACATATCTAGATGTAGTTGAACACTATTTGGCCTTAATAAATAAATATTCTTATTCTAACTATATTTTATTACAAATAAAACTAAAAGTTAAATTATTATTTTGTATTTATTTTCAGATTACCTGCTGCTAAAATAAAGTGTTGTCAAAATGTGATTGACAATTTGTACAATAAATATCGTGAGGTAAATATTTATAAGATGTAATAAGTAAATAGGCTGCAGGCCTTTTAAAATTAAGATTTGAAATTATTGCATTGCTGATAAAGATTTTTATTATATTTAACCACTTTATTATCTCTTTTCAAAAACATTACTAATTTCGAATATTTTTTATAAAACTTTTTAAAAAAATTTGAATATATTCTATTTTAATAAAATATTTATTTTTTATGCATTTAATGTCTTGGAAGGATTTAAAACTATCAAAATGTTTATTTAAGCTAACTATTTAGGGTGATAAAGCTATATTTTAATTATAAAAACTGTTAGATAAGGATAAAAGCAAAGTGCTTTATGAAAATATATTTATAAATTATTTATGTATCCTTATATTATTTAAAATTAATCTATAGAACTTAATTAAATTTTTACTTCAAGCTTAAAGTAAACTTATTACATTCATAGAAGTAATAATAATTATAAAAATTATTTTTGCTTACCTGATTATATTTTGGTAAAATACTTAAAAAACTTAATACCATAATTTACTTGGAATTAATTTTTAAATAAAAAATCTGAGTAAAATTATGGTTTTTAAAGAATCTGGAACTCTTTTAAATTGTGTTCAAAAAAAATTTAAAAATGTATTGGTCGACTTCCAGTAGATTTAACTTGGATGATCCTAATGCTTATGATATTAAAGAAGAAGTGTACATTTTTAAGATGACCAATAAATACTGTTAAATACAAAAAATCCTTAATTTGAGACAACATTTGAGTTGAAAAAAGAAAATCAATAATATCCCTGTATTATTTTATTATTATTTATTTAGACTTGCTATACTGACAGTATATAGTGTTAAAAATATTGATGATAGTTTATAAGTACTAAAACCCAGTAAAATTGTAATTTAGCTTAAGTTTTTTGTTAAAAATGATTTAATTTTTAATTACTTTTAAATTTCAAGTATTAAATTTATTTCATAAATAATATTATGATTAATAGTTAACAACCTGTGGTATGTTTTTTGTAATTAAATTTGTTTAATAATAGTTTATTTTTTATCATTGAATTAAACATTACACAAATTATATATTTTTTTATAACATAGATATAGAATAAGATGGTATGAATAATGGTTTGTAACTGATCAAGTTTTAGACATATCTATTTAGGGTTAAAAATAAAAATGAAATTGATTTTATATCCTCAGTAGTAAGTTTTACTGTTACAGTATAAATAGTCCTTTTATATCTGTAAAGTGGATTTCTTTTAAATGTTAAGTAATATATTTTAATAAATAATGTATAGATTTATTCACTATATTATTTATAGCTTTAAAATTTTTTTACTTAATGTGTATCATTTGTATATTATATTTTTACAGGATATCAATGCATTAGTTAAAAATAATATAGAGAAAAAAACTCAAATTGAACAAAAAGAATCTAAGTATTATTTTTAATTTCCTTATAGTACAGTTAAACAATTAATTAATTTTTGAAACTATCTTAAAAAACATATATTTTACATGTTTCAGAAAAAGATCAAAAGAAGACTCAAATAGCCACGAAACAAATTTTAATCATAGTGCTGAAATGAAGGAAGAATCAATTTATTATATGCAAAGCGTAGATAAAAAATATATTAAACCTATTGAAGAAGATATTTCAAAATCACATAATGATATGTCTTCTACAACCTCAAATGAAAACCAGAGTGGTTTTTTGGATAGTCGTTTAAGACTTAATAAGTTTATTGGTATTGCTGCTAATGCTACTTTAGAGAAACTTAATAACACAGATACAACAAATAAGATGAGTGATTCAACCATAAAAGAACTTGCAAAACAAGTATATGATGGATTAAAAATGAATCAACAATTAGCTGGTATGGATATTTTGAATGGTGTAGATTTAAATGGAGTTGATCTTAGTACTGTGAAAGAAGCTTTAAAAAATGTGAATCTTAAAAAATTAAATTATTTGCCATTACAACAGCCACCACTTCCACCTTCCAATCTTTTAAATGAATGTGATATTGATAAGCCCAATGAAGTTTCAACAATACAATACAATCATAATGTTGAAATCCAAAAATTAGCAAAAATAGTTCAAGAAGACAAACAACATTTAACTGAAAGTATATCATCTAAGAAAAATAGTATTCGTGATAAATTAACCAGTGATATAAATATTATCCACAAAATTGGTATATCAACTGAATTAAAGCCTAAATGTATTTCTGCATTAAAACCTGGTACATTATTAGACCTTGAAAACTCAAAAATTTCTCGTTCATCTTTACACATTGAGTCATTAAGACCAATATCTAAATCAAATGACAATAGCTCTAGTACTAATTCTTTAAAAGCAGACAAAATCATTCATCGTGATCCAAGAATGAGAAAAAAGTCTCTTACTTTTTCTAATAAAGAAACAATAAAAATTAATGAAATTCCACCACTAATGGCTTTAAAAATTTGTCCACCACTTATGGATTTAAAAATATGTCCACCTGAAATGCTTGAACTAAGACAACAAAATCCTCATTTAGAAATGAATCCTTGCCATAATGAACCATTTAATAATACTCAGTTAAAATCCTCTAATATTCAATTATCTTCATGTGATAATAAAACTTTTGACAATCGAAAACTACCAGAACATAATGGTGGCCATAGTGAGCTTTGTGAAAATGTTTGTCGTTCATATGTACAGATATCAAATAATCAAAGTTTTGAAACACATTCTATAAATACTCAAACTAATTTTAAAACAAATGATTGTCAAAATATAGATTCCCAAAGGAATGACTTAATTCATAATTTTCCTATAAGCACCTCAGTTGATCAAAATAAAAGTACTTACTATTTTCAACATGAAAATTTGGGTAGACCAAATGTATCTAGAAATTATAATGATAGTAAGTCTTATTGGAACGATACTAAGTCATTGAGAGCTGATAACAAAGTAATTGAACCTCATTATCGTAGCTATAAGGAGTATAGAGAAGCTAAATATGGCAAAGAAAAAAGTGGTGGAAAGCCATATTTTAAGCATAACAATAGAGAAAGGAATAGGTTTCGAGAAAATAACAGAGATTATTGTGAGATTGACAAACATAAAGTTGATAAATCTAAAGATAGTAATATTTTTAACAGTTATGGTGTCATTAAAGATTCATCTAGTATTAAGAGTTTTAAAATACCTAAAATTAAACGAAACACTGACAGTATTGAATCTAATAGTACAACTAATAACATTGAATTGGAAACTTCAAAAATTAGACAAAAAAATTCTAAAGCATCTGGTAAGACATTAAATACTGTTTCGGAAAAAGAATCTGCAAGGAAGAGTTACGAAGTTCTCAATTCTGATATTAATAACATAAATGAATCAAAAATTTGTGAGGAAAAAAAATCTATAAACGAAAATGTAGATAAAATAATTCAACCTCAAGAAACTAGAAAATCTAAAAAACCAAAAAAATATAGCAAAGAGAAAGAATTTGAAAAAATAGTTAAAGAAGCAAAAGAAAGAACAAACAATGAAAAGAGTGAGCCAAGAGTAAGGACTAGGAGTAGTTTGAAAAAAAATTATGAAGGACACGCCACAATACTTAAAGATCAATTAAATGATGAAACCTCAGTGATTACTGATATTGACAAAAACTTGAATAAGCCCAATATTTCTGAAGAATCTGTGGATGTTGGTCATAATATAATTTCTTCTACATCTAAAGATTTAGATGCTGAGGTAACTATAAGTGTTTCAATTGACAAGATTTCTGAACAATCTTCACAGGTTATTTCTTCTAGTGAAGTTAACTCTACTGGTGAATCTATTAGTAAACCTGCAGTTCAAAATTTATTTCAAGTTTTAAATAATCCTAAATTTATGTCACTTATAAATGAGCTTCATAATGAAAATGTTATTGATAAATTTTGCAATATTCTTGAAAATATAAAGAACAATGAAACGAGAGTTGAGTCTGATGTATTATGCAAAGTTAATAAAAGTAAAACAAAAAGTAAACGTAATAAAATAAAAGCTAAAAATATAAAAAAACAAAAAGTTCCCCCAAGTGATAATTTATCTAATCAAAATGATTCTAATTCTAAGGATGATAATAGTTCAGATGATGATAATTTCAGTTCCCTTAAATCAACTTTTAAAAGACCTAAAAATTTTATTAATAATTCAAGTGATAATGATAGTGCAGCTAGTTCTTCTGAAATAAGTTCTGATAAATTAAAATATTCTGAAACAGCTAAATTAAAAGAACTTAAGGTAGTTATACCAAAACTAGAAAAAAGTGATCCCTTAAACTTTATTAAAACCCAAGATAAAAGGAATATATTTAACAAATGTTCTTTAAAATCTTCTAAACCATTTGTAGGCCCATTAAGTGTTAAATTAGCTAAACAGAAATTGGAAAATAAACTTAGCGATAAAGAAATTATTAAGAACAGTTCACCTAATTACATACCAAAAGTTATACTACATAAAGTTAATGAACCAAGTGCTGAAAATGTAATTAATACTACAATTTTGATTTCTAATGATATGAATCATAAAAATGTTGTATCTGAAGATATTGAAGGTATATCAAGCACAAATGATAAAAAATTCAATGACACATTAATACTTGACAATAAATCTGAGCCAAAGAAGGTTAAACCAAAAATGACTGAGTTAGACAAACTTCATGCAGATATTAAAGAAATGTATGACAGTGAAGCTGTTATTAATGCTCCTAATGTAAGACATTGCAGAACTAATAAAGTAGTAGATTACGGTAGTACGAGTTTTGGAACAATAACTGAGAAAAACAAAATTGAAGCTGATTTATCTGAAATGAAGATTAATGAGAATGTATCAGTATCTATCCCTGAACTTAGTATAAAATTAACCTCTAGGAAAAAAAAGCGTGGAAGAAAACCAAAATCAAAATTATTTGTTAAGAATAATGATAAATCTAATGTAGCTAAAAATATTGATCAATTACAATCAAATAAAAATTATCAAAACTTGTTAGAAATAAAGTTAAAAAAAAAAAAGAAGTTATCAAAACTTAAAATTGCCAAAAAAAATAAATTAAAAAATAGCAGGTTGTACAAATTAATTAAAAGTAAATCTACAGTGTATGTGCCAAATTCTGATAATATAACAATCACTAATTCAATAAATGTAAAAGAAAGTCATCCAATAGATTACACAGATAAACATTATTTTCAAGCACCTGGTTACACACTTGAATGCAAGTTTTGTGATAATTATGATAGCAATCAAGATATTGTGAAACATTACAAAGATTGCCATCCACAAGAAGAAATATTACCTTCACGGATACCAAAAGATTGTGCTAACAGCCTAATTAATTATTCTATTCAAGAAAACTTAGGTTTTTGTAACAGTGAAGAGTATGACGAAAGTAAATCATCAAGAAATGAACAAGCTATTGATACATATTTTACATGTATATTTTGTCATATAACTTATTATGACATAGTAAAGTTTTATGACCATATTACTTCTCATACGGGTGAGTACAGATATAAATGTAAAACCTGTGATAATGTATGTGTAAATGAAAAGGAATTGGAAGAGCATGTAAAAATTCATTCTAATTATGATACGAGTGGTGGCATAACTAGTCTCGTCTACCCAATTCCTGTTCAATGTAAGAAAATTTTTGGTTATTTATGTCCATTTTGTAACTATATTCAGTTAATTTATAATAATGTGGTTAAACATATGAATCAACATCATTTTTCTGAAGATAAAAAACATAATGGCTTATGGACCATAGTTCGTGTAAATATGTCATATGATGATATGAATGCACTTCATAATAAAAATTTTGAATTAACAAATATTATTGGATGCCAACCACCCTTACAATTTATAGGTACTCAAAATATGATAGCACCTAAAGTTAAAAGTGGAGTACATGATTTAAAAACTCAACCTACAGTATCGGAACTTATTGCTCAAGCTAAGCAAAAACTACTGGAAAATCCGGTATCTATTAAAAATGAAATATGTGATGATGAAGAATTATCAGGTGAAACAAACAATATTAACTTATATAAAGTATTTCAATTATCACAAAGTCGAGAACATTGTAAGTATTTTATTTATTATGTATATATTACTTTATTAGTTAGGTTCTAATTTTATAATAAAACATTTATAAGGTCTAGAAAATGAATCTTTAGATTCAAAACTACAAATGAATGTATCTCCAAAATATGTTTTGAAAAATAATTTGACAAAATTTTCTCTTGGAAATATATGTTGTGAACAGAAAGATTCTATTCTCTTATATCGTTGTAAAGTACCATCTTGTTGCAAGAGTCCTTTCTCATCAATGTTTTTCAATGAATTTTTGAAACATGTTGAAACACATCATGAATTGGAAAATTGGAATGGAAAATGTGATTTTTGTGTAATCAGCTCAGATAAAAATTCTTCTAAAACTGTATACTTATCAAATGCTTTACAACATTTAGTTAAGTGTCATCTTATGTTAGATGAAGGACAACAACTAAGTATATGTGTGTAATTAAAAATAAACTAAATTCATCTTATTTAATCTATGGCAATTAATGATCTTACAATTTTTAGCTACAATAAATGATATAAGCAGTACTCAAATTCAATCAAAATATCANAATCAAATTCAAATTCAAAATTCAAATTCAAAATCAAAATATCAGAACAATTCAACAAAAACAACTCAAGAAAATAAATCAATTGTAAAAATTCGGGTTCGCCGTTTATCTGGTGATATACTTTCAGTAAATCGTAAGTTTGATAGTCTTAAATTACCAATTTTAAAATGCTTTCAGCATGTCTTATAAAAAGTTAAATATTTTAAATGATGCATTAATTAAATTGTAAAATTTAATTTGCATGGTTTCGCAATTTTTTAAATAAACTTAACAAATCAATAAGTTTAACAAAAACTGATAAATATATAAATGCATGTTATTCAAAATTGTAATTCATTTTTAATATAAAAATGTATATATGCAAGGTGATCAATTTTGGGTAAGATGCTTATTTTTCAGAAACAATTGAAAATATTTACTTTTTTTTCATTGCTTCACGGATAAGAACCATAACTTTTATTTTCTTTAACTTGTGTTATTAGCTAAAGTATTATAATACATATGAAAATCTTATAGAATATCTTATTAATGATATCATAATCTTATACTTAATGTAAGTTGTGTAACATACTTATTATTCATATAACAATACTAAATTTCTATATTACTTCAGTTATTGGTAGGTATAATATATGGAGACATTTTTAAGAGGTCATGTCCCCAAGAGTTGAAAATGTTGGGGATATTTGTGTCATCTATCTGATGAAAAAGAAATTTAATACATTTATGTTATTAGTGAATATATTTTTATTCTATTTATCTTTATCATTAACATCCTCTTTGAAGAGCTATACTTGTATTAGAGAGGACGGAAAAATTTACATAGTTTAGCAGAATTAAACTCCAGTACCACCTACACTCCAACACATGGCATGTTCCTGACTGATTTAAGTTGACCACCAAGCTATTATGCTATTAGATTATTAAAACAATAAAAAAAGAATTGGTTTAGCACAGTTTTTTTTTTTATTTATATATTGTTTAAAAAAATTTGTATTAGAGAGGACTTTTTTCATTATTATGACATAAAATTCTAAATTAAAAAACGTCTTTCCTAATATAAATTATTTTTTAAAAGTTTTATTTAGTAATTTCAAAAAATGAAAGATAAGTTATAAAATAGAAATATACTTTTAAATTCTTAGCACATAAGATATTTTTAATTCTTCATAAGAAAAATACTGTTTTGTATTTTATCGTGTACTATATAGTGATATAAATGTATACTAAGTTAAGTTGGAATCTCTTTAGGCATTATTCCTGATTAATGATCAGATATTGATATATACATTGATTTTGATTATATTTCTTGGACTTAAAAATTTCTATTCATATTCAATTAATCAATTTTTAAACTTCTGAATGATGAATAAATAGGTGAAAATAAAAATGATAATGAGGAAAAAATTGATCGCGAGATGATTAAAGATATTTCTAATAAGTTTTTCTTAAAAAACAACTCAAAACAAGTTATAATTGCAAGTATCAATTGTGAAATTATAAATAATACATTAATTTACAAATGTATGGAAGTATCCTGTGTAAATGAATTTTTAACAAAATTCTTTAATGAGTTTGCTACTCATATTAAGCAGAATCACAAATTAATTGCCTGGGATGGCATGTGCAATATTTGTGGGCATGGATGGTGGACAAATTTTAATCAGTTATACTTGGAACATGCTCTTGATCATTTGATTTTCTATCACTTAATATTATGTAATGAGAATTGTAATTTTATTCGTAAGTAAAATTGCTCTATAAACTAATTATTTAATAAAATATAATCATTGAAACTTCAATTTATAAAAGTTGTTAATATGTTCATTATTTTATTATTTCTTTTACTTGTATTACAAATAATACCTAGTATAATTGGTGTTATAATAACTACGCATATTTATTGCAAATATTTTACATATTTTGAGTTTAATATAAATGTTTTTATATTTTATCTTAATTATCAGTTATTACTTGAGACAATTTAGAAAAACTACTCATAAAAACTTAATGGAATTTTCAAGAGAAATTCCAGTTAATTTTTTTTAACGATCATGAAATATATATATATGTATGTATGTATATTTTGTTTTAATTAACAAAATTGAATATTATTGAATTAACTCTACTACTCTCTTAAGGTTTTAGAAACATTTATAAAATTTCATAAGTCAAAACACAACACGCTATTATTTGAATATTATAAGAATGAAATGTGGACAAAAAACTTAACATATTTTTAATTTTTAACAATTTAAAAATATTTTATTCTAGAAAATTACCAATATTTAGATTTAAATTATAAAAACAAGATATCTAGTTATTAAATGTAACAAGGTGTGCACTGTTGTTTTGATTATTGTGTCTTATAAGTCAATCTTTTTTTTTTTATTAATATGACTGTATTTTGACTTTTTTGACACATTGACGACTTGATCTAAATTGCTTATTGTACTTATGTAATTCAATAAATCATATAGTTCGACTATATAACTTTTGAAAGGGGAATTATACAACATTAAATTTCATTATTCCAAACCCATGAGAATTAAATTTTTTTATTAAGGTTATCAATTTGCCAAGGTTTTCAGAAAATTTTTTAGACTTTTGCATTCAACATTTTTAACTATACACAATTAATTTAATGCAATTTTCAATATACCAACCTATTGATTATAGTAAATTATAAACTTAAAGAAACAAAAATTTTATATTCGTCAAAATAATTAAAATAATAATAGTGATCAGATTTAATCATTACTTATAAGTTGATTAGATATTAAACAAAAATTAATAATTAAGACAAATTACTGTAATAACTAATAATGAGGTATCACAAACTATAGCTGAATCATTAGAGTTATTTACGATCTTTCTTTCAATTAATAATAATTACCTAAAATGAAGGGAATTTATTTTGTATGATCAAAGTTTAAGATTCTACTACATATTTATTAATGTTTAACATTCTCTCATAAAATCTATTGCTGTGCCAGAGAGGACAGTAGAATCTACATAGCCATAAAATTAAATATTAATACCTATGCATCAAGGCACAATGTGTTTCCAACTGTTTTAGGTAGGTTACTTCCCTATCTTTTATTTTTTGTATAAAAGATTACTCCAGTTTAATAATTTAGCTAAATAATACTTCTTTAATTCATAAAAAAAAAAAATTCTTAGAACTTAACAACCTTTTACAGTAAATTATATTACACAAAGTGGCATTTTTAACCTGTGGTATGAAAAGTCAATCTTCTTTTGTGTAAAAAAATTATTATTAATGGTAAATCTTATTTGATTTATTTAATAAACCATTTTTGAATTATTTTATTTGAATATAAATAATTGTAAAAATATTTCATGCATTTAAATATAATAAATGTAGATGTTAGATTAATTAAACTTTGATCAGTTTATTGTGATAAATTATTTTTGTAAAGGTTTATTAAGAATTTCACTCTTAGATTCATTAATTGTTTTGTTTGTATATTAGTTAATAGATATTTTATCACGGTTCTTAAATTAAGTAGATTAGAAAAAAAATTTTCACTAACAATGCTCAATATAGAATAAATAATGATAATATAATATATGTAGCCAGTATTTTAATTCTCATGAAATTTACACAGAATACAATTGTATTTTTATTATTGTAAATAATTAAAATAGCAAGCATTGTTTTGTATATTACTTCAAAATGTGGCTCTTCATCAAAACTTTTGGATATATTTAACTTATTTATTGATCTTTTTCTAGCCAAAACAAATGTAACAGAAAACCTGTGTGTTAATCCACCTAACTGCAAAATATTAGACATTGAATCTATAAGTAGTATCAAAGGTATGCAAAATAAATTACAGAATTGTTATCAATCATACTTAAAAATAGTATATACTGTTCAATTTTTACTTCATAATATGTAAAAAATTAAAAAAAAATTTTTTTACAAAAATAAAACATCAGCTTCAAGAGCAAAATGTATTACTTTACTTTTATTACGCATGCACAAAAGTAAAAAAAAATATTGTGTAAAAGAATTATAAATTTATTTTAACTTAATGCATTCTTACTTAATTTTTTTTATTTTTATTTAAAATTTTCATCACAAAAGGGTCATGAAAAAAATATGTTCCTCTTTAAAAAAAAATTAGATAATAAAAACTTAGGAATATTGTTAAAATTCTATTATTTTTTAAATAACTAATTTAATAAGTATTTTCCTTTGTAGTCCACATTATTTTGATCTCATTTTTGTAACCATGGTAAAAATTCTTTCAGTCTAGCCTCATATTTCACATAGTTCACAATATCTATCATTAATAGTTTTTTCCTTTGAAAAATAGTTGAGTAAAACACATTTTTATCCAAAAAAAATTAGGGCCATTACCACCTTGCCAGATGAATGAACAACTTTGGCTTTTTTTTCCAGAAGAACTCCTTTTTTTCCTAATTATTTACTACCCTTTTGTTCTGAGGGTCTTACAATGTACCCATTTTTAGAAAAGCTAAACATTTCCGTATCATTTTAACACTTATCATACCTGTACCATACAATAACATTTTTGTAGAATTTTTACCTTTTAAAAATCAATTGATGGAATGCAACTTAATGATGATGTTAGAGAATAAGATAAAATTTGAAGATTCACATATATCCATTTGGATTTGACAACATAGTGAAATTTACTTTTTGCACGGCCCTTATAATTTAGGGTTAATTTTATATTTGATTTTGATTTTGTTTCTTTAACTAATATATTTGTTTTTGTTCTGGTCAGAGGGAACTTTGCATATTAAAGAAAATACTGAAGTATTTGTAGAAGACCCATGCAGAAACTTATCAGAGAGTGAATTATTTTCAGCATCAACATGTAAGATTTCTCAATTATTACATAGTTATAAAATAAAAGAATATCATTTTTTCTTACATTAAAAAAAAAATCATGTTACTAATAATTTAAAAAATGTAGTAATTGTATAAAAGCAGAGCTTGTGAGTCAAAAAGTTTTGTAACTTCATTGTTGTGATGAATGTTTAATTTTTGTTACATATTTAGGAATTTGTGTTATAAAAATGGTGAGGAAAATTTATGTTATAGAATCCTTACCATTTTTGTTATATGGTTTTCTGATCACATATATTTAAATATTTGCTGTCGGTTAATGGGTCAAATAGTGTAGCTCAATTTTTTTAAATTTAAGTTTAATATAAAAATGTATAATATAGAGATAAATAAATATAATGACCAAATAACTCACAAACATATAACTAATTCCTATCTAAATTCAAATGGAAATTGAGCACCTTGTTAATAGTTATATAATAAAATTATATTTTAGTTACTTCTAAAACTTTTAATTTTTTATTCCAATCTGTTTATCCAATCTATCTACCATTGAAATAATTTTTCTCTTAGTTTATATACATAAGCTCACAAAAATTATAGATCACTTATGAACAAAAATTTTAATTCTTAATTAATGTTTACAGTCATTATTAATTTATGAGTATCAAAATTTACATTTACTTAAGTTGTACTTAAATAAGAATTTTTATTTCTGTTAATTTAGTATTTTAGATTTAAGTACATTTCCTATATACCATGTGATATTCTTATTATTTTTTTAAATTGTATGCTACCTTAAATAATGTCATAACTTTTTATTTAATAAAATATAGATAATAAAAATTTTGTTAGTTAAATCGATGATGAGCTAATAGTAACATTTTTATAATAATAGCTAAGCAAATAGTGTCAGATTCATCACATCCTGATAATGATTCAGCACATTCAATTATGATAGTTGATGTAAAAAGTTTAAAGAAGGTATTTTATTTGAAACAAGTTACTATATTTTATTTTTGGCTACGCAGTTTTTTTTTTTTTAATAAACATTATTTAAAACCTTTTATAGGGATGCAGGTATAAGAAAAATATAGAAACAAATAAATCTGATAGTGAAAGTGACAATTTGAGTATGTGGTTGAAAGTTCCCACTAGCTGTGAAAGTGTAACTTCTAACTATCACGAACATCTTAAATTGGGACAACAAGTTATAAATAATGGAGTACCAATTAATAGAAATTATATTTTAATAGACACAAGCTACATAAAAAATTATTTTAAACATTTCCGTGAGTTGCCTGTTAATGTAATGAAAACTCAGTTAGCATTTAAAGAGATGATGTCAATGCCAAGACTTCTTGGCCTTTTTAAATGTTTCGATAGAACATGTACAAAAATTTTCACTTGTAAAGAGCTTTTTAAGTTGCATATGAAGCTGCATTATTCTAATTTAGAAAAAAAAAAAAGTAATTTAAATAAATTGGTTGCATTTGTTATAAGTTAATTCTATTTAAATTATAAAAATTTCTTTTTGATATTCAGAAAGTCAAATGTACAATGTTGAACAATTTAAAAAGTGTACTTATTGCTTTAGAACATTTGATGACGTGGATTCTCTTGCCAATCATATTGCAGAAAATTATACTTTCTGTAATTTTTTTTGCAAATATTGTTTCTATCGAGCTTATACTGCATCTCATGTTTTAGTACATCAAGTATGTTATCCAAAAAATGAGTTTCTGAAAGTTAATTTTTTAAATACATATTTATATATTTTTTATTTAATGTATTAGTCAAAATTCCATAGCACAGCAAAGCCTTCAATATTACAATTGGAGCACGATAATCAAAGTGAACCTTCTAAAGAAATCTTAAAAGCTGTGGATTATAATAAATTTGTTTTACCTTATGTGTGCAATGTTGGTAAGATTTTTTTTAAGTTATCTTACTTCAATTTAAGTTTGACCTGTAATAAGTTATATATTTTTTTATAAGCTACTTTTTGAAAATTAAATAAGTAATTTTATTTGCACTGTTCATTTTTCAATTTCGATAAATTATTTTAGTTTATAATAATATCACGATTTTTTTAGAGAAATAATTATTTAATTTTATGTTTAGCTTTTTAATATTAACCTAAATATACCTTTAAGTTTACTTCTTTAACTTAGAAAAAAATTTTGTTAGATAATTTTCTTTAATAAAAAATTATGTTAAGTTTTATATTTATTTAGGGTGCTGTTCTTTTTCTTGTTATGTACTTGAAAATTTTATATCTCACTCTAATGATGAGCATCAACAATGTGATAAATATAGTTGTTATATGTGTGCTAATCAAGAAAACGGAGATGGTTTCTTTGCTTTACACCCCAAAAAAATGATTAAAGTATGTTAAAAATAAAATTTAACAGAATATAATTATTATACCATTTTGTAATATTTCTATTGTTTTTCAGCATTTCAAACTTCATAATATAAACATGTACCAGTGTATATTTTGTTTGTTTGGTACTGAAATTTTGGATACTATGGTGATTCACTTATCAATGGAACACTTTGAATATGATTCTATATGTTTAGAACGTTGTTTGAAAAATAATGTAAATGTAAGTTATTTTTATATTAAACCTTTGAACCTTTTTTTGGTTCAATTAAATTTGATCATTTGAACATGTAATCTATCAATGTCAGTGATGCAAGATAGTGCGATCCTGGTGGAGATGTATAATAATTTTGGCAGCAGTAAAATCCCTCATTAAATTAAAAGTGAAGATCATTCCTGATATGAACTTCAATTTTTGAATGGAGATCTCAAACCCACTATTTTTCAAATGAGTACAAGATTTATAAAATAAAGAGCTTATATTAGACATCAATAATCAATGTCACTATTCATGTCTAATATTTATCAAAATAAAAATCTTTACTATAATTTATTAAAGTAACTGAAGTACAGTCTCTTGGTCCTTTCTCTAATTTGTTGTCTGTTTCTCAAACATTAATATCAATGGAGTTAAACAGATAAATGCTATATAAATTTTCTTTATAAATTATTTGATGTTGCATGTGTATTCTTCTCAAATGGTATATTAATTTTTTGTATACTAATAATTCTTTTCATTGTAAAACAATAACACATGGTTGATCCATAATTAGTAAATAAATCAGAAACTGATATTAAATATAAAGTTAAATTAACAATTCTAATAATATTATTTAACATTATTAATTAATATACATGTAATAGTAGATATTTTTAAGTAGTAGACATTTTGTTAGGTAGACCATATTATAAATAGATAATATTGTTAAGTGACAATACAACCTTCTTTAACCTATGGGTCTTAAAAATTTATAAATAAAATTGTTGCAGGATTCAACAAACATAAATAATTTGAAAATTGTAAGATTAAGTAAGGCTATAGAAAATGGCCTTGTACAAACTATTAATTTACCAGCTGGTACCAATTCATTACCAGAAATTATGCCTCATAGAACTAAGAAAAGGCGACTACAATGTTCAGATGTACTTTCAGCTGCTATGAAATCTGCTCGCATAAATGATATTCAGACTGAAACTAATCCAATTGTTCTATCAATTACTGATCAAACATCTTTAGTTAACAACACAACACTTGATACAAATTCTGTCAGTGAAATTGTGGCCAACAACCAGATAAATCAAAATAATTCCAATAAATCATTGCAAATCTTAGATATATGGTGTAATAATACTGAACCTAAAAAAGGAAATGATGAAATTATTATAATTGATGATGATGATGATAATAAAAATTATTCTAGTGATAATCACTACAATGTCATTACATCATGTCCAAAAACAATAAATGAAATTTCAGCCAAGCGAAAGTGTTTAATGACTTATTCAAATAAAACTCCAGAAAATAAAATTATCAAAACTAAAATGTTAATAAACACAGCTAAACCCAGATTATCTATTGACAAATTATTTCTTTGTGAAAAATGTGGTTAGTATTTTATTATTATTTTTATTCAATAGTTTTATTTTTTCATTTTTTTGATCCTTCTCTATTTAATTTATTAATTTATTATTTTATATTGAATGTTGTTGTATTTTGTTTTGTTTTTTTTTATGTTATATGATAAACATAACTAAAGTTTTCAATTTTAAATGTATTTTGACATAAGTTAATAAGCCATTTCAATAATTGCTTAGTCTTATTAAAAAAAAAATAATAATTTTCTCTTTTTATTAAATATATCTGGTAAAACAAAATATATATATATATATGTCAAAGATATTTCTATGGGAAGGTGTAACACCCCAATGAAAAATGCTGACTAAAATTATTTCTCTTATGAAATTGAGATTTTTTAATTGTTTGTTAGTAAACAATACATTTTATGTGTAGTGAATCATTTATTTTTTATTTATTTATATATATATATATATTTTTTTTTTAGATAAGTTATTTTTAAATAGTAAAGAATTTCAAGAACATTTAACTCATTGTCCATTTTGGAATGAAGATGGAAACAAATGTGCCCACTGTACAAAAACTTTCAAAACTTCAACTAATTTAATTGAACATATAAAACTTCATGGTCCTAATCGTTTTAAATGTTTCACTTGTGATTATCATGTTCCAACTCAAAATTTAATAGAAAAACATATGAGAAAGGAACATAACACTATAGACATTAATTTAATGCCAGTCAATGCAAATAATTCTAATTATGAACATGATCAGTTTGTAGCATACCCAATTAAACAAACAACTAAAAAAAATTCAAAATTAAACATTTATAAATGTGATGAATGTCCAATGCAATATGTAACAAAAACTCAAAACCAAAAATTGATTGTTGAACATTTAAAAACTGTGCATAGTGTATTTGATTATGAATTAATTTTGGTTAACTTATCAAGTGATGGTAATAGCGAATATTTAGCCAAAATAAAAAAAATTATACCAGATGTCCAATCACAACCTCAGCGTTTGGTTTCTAAGAGAAAACATTCAATTGACAACTATATTGAAGTAAGTGAAAAAGTTAAAATCTATTAATCTAATAATTTTATGAAATTATTTATATTTTCTTAAAATTTTAAGAATTTTATTAATAATAATAGTTTCTATAACTAAATAAAATATTATTTAATTGTAAAACAATAATATTTATTATACTATAACTCTTACTATATGTAAATTATTTAGTACACTAACCCCCTACTTCTGTGTTTTATATGGTTATATATTTTTATTAAATTTAACTAAGTCATAATTTCGAAATATTTCATATAAAATTTTAATGAGATAGTTTTGTAGGATAACTTGTGTAAATTAAATGGAAAACTATAATTTTTTTTATTCAATAAAAAAATGAATAAACTAAAAAAAAAATATAATTTCTGGCTGAAAGTTTTGAAGATACGAACAAAACCAGTAGTTTGGTTGTGTTATAAACTATATATTATTTTTAACTTCGATGCGAAGCTGAAAAGATAATAATTTTACCATGGTGTGTTTTTTTTTGTGTGTCTGTTGCCATTTTTTTTCAGCTCTCACTGGACCGATTTTGTTGAACAATATGTTAAAATATCACAAATCGTATCTAGTTGAAGACATTACCCTTAAAAATTGAAAAAATTTCACTCGTTCTTTGTAAATGAGGAAAATTTCCAAAAAAATTACAATTTTTAAAATCGGTAAATTTTGTCAATTTTTTTTCTTAAAACTACTATAACTAATTCAAAAATTAACAAATCAACTTGATTTTTTTTATATTGAAACCTTAGATATTTCCCTTTCATTTGATATCATTTTTTTGAAAATTTAACCCTTAATCTACTCACAGGGGGATTTAAAATAGCAACTTTGTTACGAAAATTATTTTTTTCAACTTAACTTTTGAAATTGTTCTGGAAATACTGCGTCCTTTAAACATATTTCGAATTATAACTTATAATAAATACTATAAGTTCAAAAAAAAAATTTATCCCAACACCTTTTATTCTATAGAAAAATGGCCATTGAATTTAGTTAGGGTACCTGGTCGAATCCTTTAGTGACAATTAATATTTTGCATTTTTTTTAAGTTTGAAAAAATTTCAAATTATTTGATTTTCATCTCATTTAGATTCATTAACTTCAATAAATATCAAGGATCCCATCACCGTAGTTTCCCCTCATGAGATGAAATTTCTTAATCATGTTAATATTATTTTATTATGTATTTTTTTTTTTTTTCTAACCCTCACTTAACTTTAACGATATGTCAAATAATTACAATGCGTACTTAATTGAAGATATTACCCTCAAAAATTGAAAAAAAAACCCTTAATCAAATAAAATGTAGCTTAACCAGCTTTATCCATACAAACAATTATAATCATTCATTTTCTAATATTTTTTAAGTATTTATTGTCGAATTAGATTTGATATGATAAAAGTATTCAACTACATAAGTAAATAATAATACTTTGTAATTAACTAATTTTTATTAACTCTATTTGTGTCTGCTACTACCAGTCTATATCATTCCAAATTTTTTTATGACTTGAAAATAAATAAATAAATCTAAAAAAAAAAATTATTTCTAGTTTCACCTGAATTTAACAATGGATTTTTACAATTATAATAAATTTTATAATATGCTCAATTGAGTAGATCTTTTTAACAACTTTTTTTTTATTAGTATTTTTAGTTAAAGTAAATCATTAAAATTAATTTAGTTCTGCATATTTCAATTATAGAATCTTTTAAACACCAAAAGTTAATTAGAAATAATTACTATGATTTCTTTTTAAGTATTGTATTACAATAAAAATGCAAAAAAAATAAAGCTTCTCTGATAAATTTACTGTAAATAGTAATTATAAAATTTCCTGACTCCATATTAATTTTAACAATATCATTTTTTACTATTTAATGATGATAATAAATATATAAAGTTGAGCTAAAAGTTATGGCAATAAATTCATTTTTTTTTATTATTATTATATACTTTCACAAAAAAACATATTAAAAATCAAAATAAATAATAATTTGAAAACAATTAATTCTAAAAATTATATAATATATGATTAAAAAATTATATATTATATTTTTGAATCTAAGAATTACTAATCTGGATATAATTATGGAAATAGAAGTTGATGTTGCTTTTGTAATTATCCACCGATTTCTTAGAATTAAACACTATCTTGAGATTTGCATTGAAGCGTTTTTTATGATTGTGATTTTAATCACTATCAGATTAAATCTAAAATGGACTCAACTATGCCACATCCCTACTGTGCTGTGACTCCACTGTGCTCGGTTTTTTATAATAACTGAGACAGAATATTAGTGGTAATTAAGTCAATAATTAACCAATTTGTTTAATTAGTAATGATGTATATTAATAAACAATTGTACAACAATAATTAAACACTGTAAAGTACACAAAACAAATGTATAAAACATCGCGAGCGTGAAACCAAAACTCAACTAATAAAAAAATGAAATTGATTAGGGCAAAGCCGTACTAGCCTTATATATATTTTTTCTTTGGGGCAGTTGAACATTCTAGAACAATCAACCGTCACTACATCTTTTTTGTGTGTCTGACTCATTCTAGAACATTCTAGAATGTTCGACCGCTACACATTTTTCGCATGTATGTAATATAATATAATTATTATTTAAATTGGATGGTTAATTTTAATTTGAAAATATATTAAATCAAATTACTTTTATATTATTTATTCTTATAATTGCTCCATAAAAGTAATATTTTTATTTTTTTATTAGTTTCAAAAAATGATTTTATAAGTTCAATTTAAATTCTATTTTTTTCTGTACAAATTTAGGTTGTTAAAGAATCTAAAATAAACAGAACTGCCACTGAAAAGTCCAAAGGCTTATGTTTTTCACCAGATACCATTGATGATATACCAAAGTCCCACATATTTCCAGAATTAATCAGTTGTTCAGTTTGTATGTACAGTACCAAAGTACGTTCAAATCTTCTCATGCATCTTACTGGACATAAAAAAGGACAGGAAAATACAACTAAGGAAATTGTTAATCCAGTACCTTCTATTGGGAAATCTGAGCTTATGTTTGATAAAATGATTAATTTATCTGCTAGTTCATTTGAAGCTATGACAACTGAAAAAGTAAAAAATAGCATTTTATAAGATTTAATGTAAAACCAGTTTTATTAATCCTGAAAAATCCAATATTCATAAAATCATACATAATTATTTCTAAAAAAAAGTGTCATTTTATCTTTAACAAATCAACAAATTTCAGATCAAAAATAATGAGTTGAATAAAAGAATAATTGAAAAACTAATACCAAGTGATCAAGATTTATCAATGATTCCTGATTTTGTGCCAAAGAATAAAAGATATAAGTGTTCAATTCCTAGTTGTTCATATTTAGGTATAAATGAAGATATGTTGAAAAAACATATTTCAATTCTTCATCCTGAGTATCAATGTTATATGTGAGTTTAACTATTTCTGAGTACAATATTTTATTCAGACCAAATTGTAATTAAAATCAATTTTCAGATGTCCACATTGTCCTGCAATGCTTGATAGAGTAGTTGATTTGAATAAAATTGGATTTCATCTTTTGCATCATAGCGAAAATTTGTTCAAATGCCAATATTGTGAATATATCCATTATGACAGAAAAGAAATAAAAGCTCATATTAGAAACACTCATTTAGTTGAAACAACAAATGACAATCAATCTCATATCTATATTTTGAGACAACTTAATGCTGATCAAAATACAATTATTAATAGTGTCCCAGGTATTTTTATTTTATGTAGAAATAATAAACATTTATTTATTTATTTTTCTTCTCAGAATTATCATCTGTTTCTGAATGGATTTGTAATATATGTAGTTCTGGTACTAAACTTACTGAATATGAAATTAAATCTCATATTCTCATAGTACATGGTTTGTCAAATATGTTTAAATGTCCATTGTGTCAATTTGAACATAATGATGATAATACTAAAGTATTTGAGGAGCATTTCAAAACAAAACATAATTCTGTAGCCATTAAATGCTTAAAAGTTTATGAAAAAGTATGTTAAAATTCACAAGTAATTTTTTTTTTTTAGTATATTTCCCTTTTTTTATTATAAACACTTGTATAGATATGTGAAGATCAGTTAGTTAATTCACAATGTTTATTGGAAAATAATCAAGAGCAACAAGCATTAGAAAGTATTGAATTTAGAAATATTGCCCCAATGTGCCGTGGAATTCCTGTTGAATTAATAAATCAAAGCAAGTTACACAAGACTCGTACTGTATCCAAAAGCCCATTAAAAATGCCTAAAACTTCTTCAACAGTAGCTCGAAAAAATAAAATATTGACAGGCGTTTTCAGCAAAGATGATGATCTGGGAAATCTATCTTTAAGTGGTCAATATTCCTGTCCTAAATGTAATGATTTTTACACATCTAATGTAGTTAAATTTCGTGAACATCTTTGCAAAGATATAAATTATAAAATGTAAGAATATTTTTTTATATTAATTATATTGATATGTATAATCAATATTCAAAGGATTATATTAAACTGTAACTAAATGTTGTTGTTTTATGGTATTACTATTCACAAACATTTACTGTCAATTATGATTTTAATCATCAGTTATGCTTTCTGTTCTGATCATTAATGTATTTATTAATATTAACATACAACACTATGTCTTATAAACGATCATACTTTAAGCATATCTGTCAATAAAATCATTAAATTGTGTTGATTCTCTAACGCAATGAATTTCATTTGTTTAAATGATTCTTTTTATACCAAATACCTTAATAGTTTTAAAATGTAGTATAAATTTAACTACAATACATTAATCAATTTTTTTACATTTTTTGTAAATTTAGAAAAAAAGTTTTTTCTTTTAAATAGAATAATATAAATTATGGTATAATTATAGTGCAAAAGTATAACAAATAATTATTAAAAAAGAAGTATTAAAAATATGAACTATATAATAAAAAATCTGAGCATACTGAACCACCTTGTATATATATACAAGTGTTCAAAAAGTAAGAAAACAGGTCAATTGTTCCAAATAATGAGAACAACAGAAACTCTTTTACCTGCTTACTGAACACTATATATTAAATCAGTGTATTTTTGATAGATGGAAATGTCTGGAATGTTCTGAAATTTCTGATTCACCAAGAAAAATGGCTTGGCATGTAAAAAAACATAAAACTGTTGGACTCAAATATGAAAAAATAGAAGACTTTGAAAAACTAGAATGGGTAAGTATAAATTCGTAATTAATGACTTCAAGTTCTATAATCCCTAATTTTTCTTGTGATAGATTGAAGAAGTTATTAAACATCAAACTCTATTACTAGAAAAATTACAAGATATTCCCAAAAAGAATTCTTTTAATGAAGAACTGCCTCTTGTAAGAAAAAATACATTATTAAAATTATTGTTAAATCTTAAAATTATAACTATTAATTATTATTTTATTGCTTTTAGGTCGCAAACGTTTTTCAAGAAAATATCCATATATCAGAATCTCAACAACAAAATATTGAAATTATTACTCTAGATGATACTGATGATGAATAAACTAATAATATATCTTTTATTCAAAATGAGGTGATTAAAAATGAAAGTATTTTCTTTCACTATAAATATTTTCTGTAAGAACTATTACAGGTTTCTATACTTGATATTTAATTTATAATTTTGACAAATTATATTGTAACTTACCTGAGAATATTTAAAAAAAATTAGTGTAAACTAAAAATCTAAAATCCCCTATGATAAAATATCAACGTTTGATAGTTAGGAACGTTTTAACAGAAAATTTGGAATACCATAGTCTACACCTAATGTTACTGTGTGTACTGACTGACAAACAAAAACAAAAGTGTGTTGATTTGTCTCCTGAATTTCTGTACAGATACTTAGAGGAGGGAGAAGAATTTCCTTACTCGTTATATATGTATAACAATATATTATTTATGACAAAAAAAATGTTAACATTAGAACTCATTTAATATTCTAAGATTTAAATTTTTTTATTTTTCATCTGAGATTTCAATGTTACTTTGAAGAGAGGGCAGGTGTAATCAAAATTCTTAGGTAAGAAAGTTGTGCCATGGTGGCTCTGTTCATCTACATACAAATATCTTGTGAATTTCTATATTATAGAAAATAGTATGACTAATCAAATCTAACAAAAAATACCATGAAATTTATTGTGTAATTATTAATAAAAGTTATTCTTTCAATTATTTTTCAGGTAATGAAGTTTGTTAAAACATAGAATTTAAGACTGATATCAAGGATTTCATTTTTTTTTTTTAAGTATGTACCTAATGTTAATGTTTATGTACATGATTTTTTACTCAAATTAAAAGTGTACATTTTCAACCAATTTAATGTAATATATGGTAAAAATATGTTTAAAGACTGTTAAGTTATATTTTTGTAATTTATTTTATTTTTGATTTTTAATATATATATACGAGGTTAAAAGTATTAATATAGTGATCAAACAAAAAAACATTGTTGCTATATTTATGTTAATGCTATGCACTTGTCACATTTACTATTGAATCTTTTTCGTATATATTGGACAAAGTAATTAAACAAGTTACAAGTTTGTAACATTTCCCTTATTTTTAAATGATTAAGAGTAATTAATTTTTTATTTCTATATTGAACTTTTAATGTTATATCAAATAGAAGAAAAAATAAAATATGATAAAATTAAAACATTTATATTTATTAACATATTATTATAGTTACTGAAAATATTAATATGTTCAATCATTAGATACATATGTATATACTTATAATTATACTTATGTGTAGTAATTAAGTCGTATATGTATTTTAAGATATTTAATAAAAAGATATTTGTTTTTTTGTTAAAAAAATTCATACAAATTTTTTTTGAAATTTAAAAAAAAATGTTCTACACAGAAATCTACAAATACCACCAAAAAATTATGTGTACGTATTTTGAAAACAATGTTAACATTATCTATGTTAAACACATACTGACATTCAACCAAAAAAAAACCTTAATTTAATGAACGTTATTTATTAGGATTAATTTTTATTATTTACCCGTTGCTATTCTATAATTACACATACATCTTTCAAATAGTAACTTTATATTAATGTAAAACTAAAACTAGTTAAAATCTTTAATAAAGGGATCAACTATATCTGTATAACTAATAAATAGATGAATCGTTTTATGAATTACATTTTCAAAACATACAACGACTAACTAAAATATTCGTCATTACTTGTGTACAATCCTGAAAGAAATTTTACAATTTATTCCAGGGTTTAAAATCGTTTTGTAAATTTGGATGTCGATTTCGGTTTTCTATATTTTTTTTTACAAATTTCAATTTCGATTCTAATTGATATTTTAAAGAAGTCAATTATGGGACCAACTCTACTTTTTGTACATAATGCCTAAAAGTTAATTTAACATAGGAAGTTAATTAGTTAGTCAATAATTATAGATTAATGTGAAAATATATGCAACTTTTGAAAAAAATTATTTTTAAAATTAAAAATTTTAACTTACGCCATTTTTCAAAAATCAACATAACTTTTTTTTATACTAAAACCTTAGATATTTACCTTTCATTTAATATCATTTTTTTGAAAATCTATCACTTAATCTGCTCATTGGGGGGGATTTAAAATAACAACTTTTTTACAAAAATTAACTTTTTCAACTTAATTTTTGAAAATATTCCGGAAATACTGCGTCCTTCAAACATATATCAAATTAAAGCTTATTTTATGTACTATAAAATGAAAAAAAAAATTTGTCCCGACACTTTATCTTCTACATTTAAACGGCTGTCGTAGTTAAAAAAACACTATTTTTTGTTAAAATTTTCGATTTTAAATTTTCAACTTAAAAATGCTATAACTTTTTGAAAAATGTATATATCAGCACAAATTTTTTTTTCTCTAAATACATTATAAGTATATCTTTCATTTGACATACTTTTTATTAAAATTGGACAAATTCCCCTTATATAGCGTTCAAAACTTGAAATATTGTAAAAAACATAGATCTTTTTCAACTGAACTTTTGAAAATGTTCCGGGAATACTGCGTCCTTTAAACATATATCAAATCAAAGGTTCTGTTATATACTATCAAATGAAAAAAAAAAATTTGTTCCGACATCTTATCTTCTATGTGCAAATGGCTGTCGAAAATTAAAAAAAAAATGTAATGTTTGCGATAAAAATCACCTTTTATCGGGATGTTTTTTGTACTTAAAACTGCCATAACTTTTTCAAAAATGAACAAATAAAAATAATATTTTTTTGTATTGAAACCTTAGATATTTCCCTTTCATTTGATATAATTTTTTTTGAAAATCTAACACTTATTCTGCTCACTGGGAGGATTTAAAATAGTAACTTTTTTACAAAAAATAACTTTTTCAACTTAATTTTTGAAAATGTTCCGGAAATACTGCGTCCTTTAAACATATATCAAATTAAAGCTTATTTTATGTACTATAAAATAAATAAAAAAAAATTGTCCCGACGACCTATCTTTTATGCGCAAAAGGCTACCGTATTCAAAAATATGCTATTTTAACAAATTTTTTTTTTTTTTTTAATTAAACACTATCTACAGATTTGCATCGAAGCGTTTTTTATGATAGTGATTTTAATCACTGTCAGATATCATCTATACTGGACCCCACTGTGCTGGGTTTTTTTTTATTTCTTTATCCCCAAGGAAATATACGACTATTCGTTGGCCTGGATTCATCCGTGCGCACAATTATAAGCTATTTTAGTTAGTCATTGGGATTTTTTTTTTATTTGGTAGAAAATTTGCTTAAATTTTTTTGGTATAGGTTAAAATATGTCAATTTTCAGAACATGATCATAAATAGACTGCACTAAAAAACAAATGGAATATCTGATTAATTGACTAAGTACTCTCTATATCATTATTTTAATAATAACGCCAAAGAATTAGACGTTATGTACAAAAAATAGAATCGGTCCCATAATGGATTTCTTTAAAATATTAAGCAAAATCAAAATCGGTAAAATGAAATATTGATTTTCAGCTTTTTGATAACCAATATACAGAATGTTCAATAATTAAGGTAACAGGTCTGTTGTTACTAAACAAAGAGAACATAGAAACCCGTTCCCTTACTTACTGAACCTCTATATACATATATTTATATGCGACTGTAACGGCCATTCTATTTATGGTGATGTTCTATTACTACCTTGTCAATGTTCCCTTGAATAGTTAAAGTAGAACTTTCCATAGTGTTACCTAAAGGCCATATTTATAGTTAATTCTTATCAATAGACTCTACTTAATCTAAATAATATGCTTAAGAATAGATTAACCAAAACTTATTCCTAAGAAATAACTATAAATACGACGCCTAGTCTACTGGATGCCGCCACCTCAAACAACCCTGTGGACTCGCGCACGCCTATCGTATCATAAACAGATCAATATATTTTGTACGATGTCCAGCTGGTCCTAAGGGCTCACAAGTGTTAAAAGCCGATGCTAAAAGAATTCAATTCACTCTTAAGTGACTCAGCGATCCTAATACTACAACTACCAGTCATAAGAGATTGTTATTATTGATATCTAAGTTAAATTAAAAAAAAAATTATACTATTAACTGAGATATACTTACACCCAACCCTTACCTGTAGATGCGCCAGAGTTACTTCGAGTTGCAAAACTTGTCCTTTTTTATATCAATATAACTAGTGTTATTCGATTTTTTTATTAATAAATAAATTCCTTTATGTCCTAAATCTATTATTATTTATTCGTACTCACGGACAAAATGATTTTAATTTCATTTACACCCTTTGTACGATCTTTAACTATTTTATTAATGCACATAAATATCTACTTATGCCCAGTGCTTTCAGTGTGCAGTCAAACTCCTCCAATGTCTTACCATCACGATTCAGGTAAGAAACAGGCTATTTTATCCTTGTAAAAAACAATTGCTCAATATTTATTTATTTATGAAAATCAAAATATTTGGATTACATTTTTTTTTTTTTGCAAATATATAATAAAAATTGTAATTATGAGATATTTCTATGACTAAACTCATAATTATTTACTTAAAAAAGAGTTAATGTATAAAAATAAGAATAAAAAAATTCTTTCCAAAATAAAATGTTTGTATTTTTGTCAGGTTTGAGTAATGTAATAGAATATCAAAATATACTCTAATTAATAAATACATGTATTAAAGGTCTTATTTAGTATATAGATTTATTTATTTAAATTTTTTAAATAATTTATTATGGATAACTAAGTTATTTTTAATTTAATATTAAAATTAGGATTAGGGGTTTAATTAAGGGAGTGAGTGGGGAAAATAGATTCTTAGAAAAAAAAATTACTCTGTAATGTTACAATTTTTTGTAAGTATTTATCTTTCATACTTTAATTAATTTTTTTTTAATAACTAAATGTTAAGAAGTATATGAAAATTTATTAAAATAACTATATTTATCTACTTGGAAACTTATTTGTCTTTTAGTGTACATTCATCCACAACCAACCAATTCTATAATGAAAGATATAGTGCACTCTGATAAAGTATGTGTTTATTTTGTATTTCAATTTTAAATATATTGTTTTTTATTCTATTTATTCATATTAATTATTTTAAATATTATGGAGAATTACTTACATTTTGATCACAAATTTATTAATGTTTTAGGAACAAATATTGCATGATAAAACTACAATTGAGTAAGTAAATTCTTTACTTATTTATAACAGTTATTTTATTTAAATACTTGTGTAAAAAAAAACTATTTGAAACTGTTATTTTTTGGTTTTATTGCTATAATGAACAGCTAAATATCAGTATTTAAAAAAATACAATTTATTGTAGGAAATAAATGTATTATTAAAAAATAATGACATGCTGTGTATAAGTTCAGATAAAAATACAAAAAATAGTAAAGCTCTATAAAATCAACAATTTTTAAATTGATAATTTTTTTTATCATTCTTAAAAATTTATTTATAACTTGTATAAATTAAACTAAAAAAATTCACAGATCAGATGAAGTTTATTATTTTACACCAATAAATCCACAAAATAATAAAAGTGCAATTATTGGACAACGGTTAGATTTAACATTATTTGAACATTTTTTGAACTCAATTCGGGTAATAAAAATATACATTTTTTATTCAAAAACAAATGTATTTATATAATCTAAATTTTAGGAAAAACACCAAGGTGAATTAGATTTTTACAAAATTTCTCCATTAAATAATTTAGTGTTACCATTAAGAGCAACATTTTCAGTTGCTATCTCAATATTTAATCCATATCCTGATGTATTACAGGTTAGTATGATCTATTATTACAATGTGAATGAAATGATTAATTGTATTCTTTTTAGGTTATTAAAGTATTTGGTGGTGGCCCATCTTTTCACTTAAGTTTGCCATCTGGCAAAATGGAAGATCAAAGAAGTGTTTGGGACATTTTGCCTTATCAATCTAAATCGGTAATTAGATTTACATTTTCAGAACGATCAAATAAAAATCACACATCTAATATAGGGTGAGTATTAATTTTTTTTTTTAATTAATCAATAAAATTAAATATATTAAATTTATATTTTAAATAGACTTTATTTAAGTAATCATGAGTACATAAATGTTCCAATAAAAATATTAATGGGCTCGAAACCTGGCCTTTATAGTTCCGAACATATTATTGACTTTGGTATTGCTAGTAGAAATGGTTTGGTCACATCAAAAGTTCTAAATTTGTGTAATTCTGCAAAATCTAGTATTATTGTACAGGTATTAAAAAAAATAATTATATATATATATATATATATTCATATGAAAATGTTTCATTATATTAATTTTTTTAAGCATATAACATCTGATAATCATTTTGTTACTGTAAATTTTCCACGTGAACTAGAAGTATCTCCACAGTCTTGCACAACGAGCGAAGTTGCACATATTAGTTATCACTGTGAGAAATAATAAAATTTTTATTAAAAATTTTTTATTATTTTGATGTGTTATTATATATATATTAATAGGGGATTATGTTGGATATTCTTATGGAGAAACTCATTGTGGATCACTTACTGTTAAGAGCAATAAAGGAAGTGAATTATTTATACCATATTGTGGACGAACACTAGAAGGTGACTTAGTTTATGAAAAAGAATCTCTGCATTTTGTTATGTCCAAAGCTATACATTCAACTAGTATAATCAAAACATTTTCTTTATTAAATAATTTTTCGTCTACTCCAGTAGCTATTTCACAAATAGTAATGCCAAAAAATACTTCACAATATTTTAAAGTATGTACCAAAAAATATATAAATTTTGAATATTAATTTAAAAAACTCAATTTTAGATAAGGGATTTTAGTTCTGTTATTTTAAAACCTGGTCAAAATAAAACGTTATTTCGTGTGGCTTATGTAAATCCAAATGATTCTAAAATGGATATTATTTCTTATTTAGAATTTAAGACTAATGCATCAGATTTTAAAATACCTGTTATGGTCTATGACGGTCAACTTTCTCAAGTAATTATTATTATAATTTAAATAATCATGAAATATTTATATTTTTGTTTGTATTTTTAAACTTAGATATTACCAGCTACAAATATTATTACATTACCTCCAATACGTATTAGTTCACCCCGCCATACGTATATAGTAGTAGCTAATGAAAATCCTGTAGCCATTATGATGAAAGATTGGGGTACAACATACACTCCACATGTTACATTAACATTGGTAGAAATAGGAAAGTTCAATATATCTATGCGTCGTAATAGTGCAGACAGTTGGTCTAGACCAATGATACGAGAGGATCAAATACTAGCTGTGAGTCAATAGAATCTATATTATTAAATAAAGTAATTTTAAAAATAATTAATCTATTGTTTTAGCCTGTTTCATTGCCTGTAAAACATTATGCAATATTTCAGTTGTTGGTTTCAACACCTAATCCAGATCAAAATTTAACTGTTAAAATTTGGATTCAAACTCAACACCAACATTACAGTATTCCCCTTAGGGTATCTGTGTTTGATAAGAACTTACAAGTATTGGCAGAGCCTTTAATATTTGAAAATTGTCATCCAGTGAGTAGATAAGTTGAAATTATTTAAAAATGACTTATTCGTCTTCCTTTTAGGGTGCTGTTTGCACAGCAGAAGTAAATGTAATGTCATGGTTAGATAGAACATTAGCCTTAACATCAGTGACAAGTGAATTTGTTAGTGAAAATATCAGATTTATACCAACAAGACCTTCACTCATTCAACCTCAAATGATATCTTTAGTTGGTCATATTGAATGGATTCCTGTTCATCATAAAAATTCTTCAAATTGGGTTGGATTATTTAATAAAGCTGGTTTGCATTCTTTATAAATATTATAGTGAATAGCAGGAAAAGCATTAATTATATACCATTTAATATCATATTACTTATAAATTTAGACATTTTTCCGAGTTTAGTACTGATTATTTTCTAAATAAAAAAAAATTCGATAACTGCAAATTTTTGTTAATTATACCATTATTAAATTAAAATGTTGACTGAATTACTGACACAAATTGAGAATAATAAATAATATGAAAAAAAAAAACTCATTTTAACTATTCTCCTTTATGTATTGTTCTTAATTAACTTTTATTTATTTTTTAAAAATGGTTATATACTTGTTATAAAAAACTTATTGAATTCTTAGAAATTTAATTACCAGAAGCTGTTAAGGTATTTTATGACCTTTTATTTCTGTACAAATTGTGTTGGATTAACACTTCAATTGTATTTAATAATTGTTTCATAATATTTCAATAAAATATTGGTTGAACTAAAATGATAAACATATAAGTGCCAAATATTATTTGACACAGTTTTATTCAACATTTATTAAAATATAACTAAATTTTTTATTAGTAAGTTAGTTTTCTTAATTTTACTGGAATTTAAAGTGATTAATTTATATACACATTTTAATCTATAGAGAGAGTTATGTGGTTGTCAAGTTTTCATTTAATTAACTCATCTGAGACAAGTTACATGGATTTTTCATGGTTTTATCAAAGAATGGGAAGATATTATGCTGAAGAAGATAATCGTACCCTTAAACATCAATTTACTTTAGAAACTGGTAAATTTTTAAAATTTTCATTATTAATTATATAATTAATTTAGATGTAATTATTCAGGAGCTGAAACTTGTCAGTTCAGTGTTCATCTTCATTTAAAATGGCCAAAATTTATACAAGAACCAGGAGAAAATAGACAACAAACCACTTTTGAGTTGCCAACAATAGAAGTAAAAGGTAGACCACACTATCAAAGGATTTTAATTAAAAATACTTTTCACACTCAAAATATAACTATGCATTTGGCTATGTATCCACATCCTTACTGGTGCAATATTACAGAATTTATTGACTTGTTTGAACACGAGTATGATTATTTTAATTAGATTTAATCTATAACACCGGCACACAAAATAAAAAGGTTTTCTGTAATTTTGACCGGATCCACCTACGGACATGTATTTTGACCTGTTTAATCCGAATTTGAAGTCCGTTTGGCCCGGTCACCCTTCAGATTTTAGTAAAATGCAAAAAACCAAAAAAATGCGAAAAACTGCCGTCATAGCAATGAAAAAAATTTTGTGGACCCTGATCAAGTATGATTTTTATGTATTTCAATTTACTGAAACTGAATCTGAACGTTAATTAGCCTTTTGAGTCGTCAACATTTGAAAAATAGCAAAAAAACCCAAAAAATTGCAATAAATCATGAAAAATCAAAATTATTAATATGAAAACAAATTTTTTAGATTCAGATTGAGTATGATTTTTATTCCACTGAATTTGAATCTGAAGTTTTCTTGTCTCATTAACATTTTAAAATTAAAAAAAATCTCAAAAAACCAAAAAAATCAGGAAAATTGTAGTTATAAATATGAAAAAAAATTATAGAACACCATGAAATACTTTTCTTGTATTTTTTCACGCATAAAATAGGTGTTTAGAATATGAAAATATAAAAAATTGTAATATTTATAAAAAAAATTACTAGAATGAAGAGAACGATTTTCTCAAATTTTAACCTCTTCATGCACGAGATTTTTTTTTCCTTAAAAATAAAAAATAAATTTTTTTTTTGATTTTGACTTACAAAAATAAGGTTTTAGTATATGATATCATATGATACCATCGTGCAATATTTAAAAAAAAAAAGTATTCATATTATTTAATTTTATCAAACATACTTTATTCTATATTAAAAAAAAAAAAATAACAAACATCAACTTTTAGAAAAACTTCATAAATTATAAATCATAAAATTAAGTTCATAAAATAAATATAATAAAACAAATTTTAAAAGATCAATATTGAATAATAATAAACAAATAATATTTAAAAAAATATAAATAAGACTAGGTATTTTTCTTAAATTTAAGACTTCTGATAACTTCAGTTTTTTAACTGAATATAAGTTTTATATATGTTTATAACATATTTTAAAAGTATTTAACAAAATAATATATACTGTAGTCAATTTTTTATTAATTTAGTGTGAAATGTTCTCATAGATTCTGGACATACAGCACATTCTGAATCACTAGGGATTTCTAAATCCAAAAAAAAAACTATATCTTTATCCCTGAGATATATTTTCAACTAGAAAAAAAACATAGTATAAATTGTTATTATTTTTCATATATAGGCATAGTGGTATCATTCGATACCACATGGTAACTAAGCAATTTCGAATACATAACAACATTATATTGTTTTAATATTGCCAAATATGAATAGATCGTACTATTTTATTTAATAAAAGTAATTAATTATAAATATACTTACATTATTTGGTCTTTAATTAAAAAGTAAAATTTGACTTTTTTAAATGCACAAAACAGTTTCGCGTTTATTAATATATCTCTTTCAATGATAACACAACCAAGTAGACCGATGCGTAACGTTCCGTACATTAAACGAAAACAATAATAACATTGCTACCACGATTTTACGATTTTATATAAATTCTACAATTTAGTGGTATCATATGATGCCACCGTGCATGAAGAGGTTAAAATTCGAGAAAATCGTTCTCTTCATTCTAGTAATTTTTTTTATAAATATTACAATTTTTTATATTTTCATATTCTAAACACCTATTTTATGCGTGAAAAAATACAAGAAAAGTATTTCATGGTGTTCTATAATTTTTTTTCATATTTATAACTACAATTTTCCTGATTTTTTTGGTTTTTTGAGATTTTTTTTAATTTTAAAATGTTAATGGGACAAGAAAACTTCAGATTCAAATTCAGTGGAATAAAATACATAAAAATCATACTCAATCTGAATCCAAAAAAATTGTTTTCATTGCTATGACAGCAGTTTTTCGCAATTTTTTGGTTTTTTGCATTTTACTCAAATCTGAAGGGTAACCGGGCCAAACGGACTTTAAATTCGGATTAAGCGTGTCAAAATACATGTCCATAGGTGGGTTTGGTCAAAAGTACAGACAACTTTTTTTTTGTGTGCCAGTGTAATTATCTACTTAACTAAACATTTTACATCAATATTTTAGAGTTAACTCCTTATTAATATCACGGGATGATTGGGAATTGGTATTAAATAATACAAGCTCTCATAGGAAGAAAGTTGTAAATTTTAAAAATTCTATTTATGTCCCACATAAAAAAACCATGATATTTGTTATACCACCTCAAAAAGAGATTGAAGTGTTGGTAAGATTTCAACCAAAAAAACCCGGTATCAGTACATCCATTTTATTTTTAAGGTAAGATTTTTCAAATTATAAACATAATCATATAGAAGTATAGAAGTAAAAATATAATGATTTATCATTTTGTAAATTAAAAAAATAACTGTTTGGTTTTTTTTCATTGAAAGTACTGTACGTCCAGAGATGTAATTAAAATGCGATCCTAAGGAAGCAACAGCTTTCCAAGCTTTTTAGGCGCTAATCTAAATATTAAGGAATTAAATTTATAAATACTGTCAATAAACGGTCGATTAAAATTTGTTTACTTTTATTTTTAATAATAGTAAATTGCCATCAGAAATATTAATATTATCAATGACAATAATCATTTTTCCTGTGGATAGGGCATAAAAATACTTCCACGGCCCCTCTGCCAGTCGTAAGAGGCAACTAATGAGGTTGCGTCAGGTCGACAGCCGGCGTAAAAATCTTTGTCAAAAAAGTATGAGAAATCCTAAACAAAACTTAGGCGGATTGTCCCATCTTGGATGTACGCGGGGACAACAGACAGTAGTTAAAAACGTAGAAGGCCTAAGGAATAAAGTGTTTGATACCAGCCGGACAACTTGTGCTGTTTCACAAGTCATGATTACAGGTCTACCCAACGCTTATAGTGTCAACGATATAGAGATATCACCACTTAATTCTAGACTGAACTCATGTATAAGGGAGAAAAATAGATACAAAGTAAGAATAGGTACTTGGAATGTTGGAACATTAAATGGTAGAAGTAGAGAATTAGTACAAGTATTGAAGAGGAGAATAGTTAACATTTGTTGTGTGCAGGAAACCAAGTGAAAGGAAGAGAAAGGAAGGAAAATAGGTGAGGGTTATAAAATAATATACTCAGGTAAGTCTATTACAAATAATGGTGTAAGGATAATAATGTATGAGGAGATGAAAAGTAAAATAGTAGAAGTAGTTAGGAAAAGTAAGAAAATTATAGTTGTAAAATTAATCATCGAGGAAAAAGTGCTGAATGTAATAAATGCCTATGCAGCACTATAAGTAGGCAAGGAAGTGTTTTGGAGAGAGATAGATGAGGTGATACAAAAGTAAGAGAAAAAGGTCTAAAGATTATCACTATGTAAGGTGTATTATAATATGAAAAAAAGATGGAAAGAGTATTTTGGAAAATTATTGAATGAGGAGTACCCAAAAAAGACATTAGAGGATATCTCATGGAATGAGGGACAGGTAGATTTAATTAGGGAGAAAGAGGTTGCGGCATCAATGAAACAGAATAAAGCAGTAGGACCAGATGAAGTGCCAGTAGAAATATGGAAAATATTAGGCGGTGTTGGCATAAGGTGGTTGAAGGAACTTTTAAATAAAATCTTATTAGAAGGGAAAATTCCAAATGAATGGAAAAATAGTATTGTGGTGCCGATATATAAAGTTAAAGGTGACATACAGGAGTGTGGAAATTTTAGAGGCATAAAGCTTATGAGTCATAGTATGAAAATTTGGGAAAAAATAATAGATAAGAGAATAAGAGAACTAACCGAAATTTTTGCGATACTACGACATGAAAACTTTTTTTTTTCCATTATCAATTTTATCACAGCGATATACACGTGCCGAGGAAGTGCCAAAAATCCACGCGCATGTTTTGAATAAGGGTATCGTCTCATTTTTACTTATATATATATACATTTTGACTCTGATTATGTAGATAATGAATTTTTATGTCATTTTTTCTCTTTAATTCTTTATAATACATGTTATAATTGTCATATATGAATTGATTAATTTTTTTTTTTTTTTGATATTATGTTTGGTTTATTAAGTATACAGATACTTTCTGTCAATTTCTTTTAAATATGTTTATAACACAAATTTTTTTGATATATTTAATCAAGTTGATTGTTATATATATCATTTGTTTGAACTTTGGCTTTCTAATCGACTTGCTGTTCAAATGTATTTTTTTCGCTTTGAACTTTGTTTTATATTCACGTAGAGTTTATATTAGGATACGATTTTGCATTTGCGCATAACAATATATTTTGTTTATTTTATCGAGGAATGTTTGATAGGTATATATGAATTTAACCATGGTTATAAGTATATAAGTTTGTACATACATTATCAGAACAGAACAGTATTAATAATCTTATTTATCTCTTATATATGTTGAATAAGTCTATAAGTTTATCGTAAAAATAAATATAGTTTAAAAAAACTAAAAAATACACGCTTTTAAACTATATTCATTTTTCAATTTTTAGTTTCATGTTATTATAGTAGTTACTATCAATGTTACATGGTTGTAACGGGTAACGGGAAATCAGGGTTCGATTCCGGGGAGGGAGTCTGATAAACGGCTACCACATCCAAGGAAAGCAGCAGGCGCGTAAATTACCCACTCCCGGACACATGGTGGTAGTGACGAAAAATGACGATACGTGTTGGAGGCAGTAGTGTCAAAACATATCATATTTGTTTGATTAACTAAATTCCAATCAACCAAAAGCTTAATAACGGCATCAGTTTGCGATTGGCCTGTAGAATTTAAAAGTTTAGGCACTCCCAAAAGTTTAGTTTTGCCATCACCAGATACTAATACCGCTAAACGTTCAGTGTAATTTTTTTTGTTGTAAGACGGCAACATTTTTCCGTCCCAGTGAACCATTAAAGCGGTGTTTGGTTTGAATTATTTTATTATTTCATTATTTATAATTTTTCTATTAAAATTACGAGCTCTTTGAATTCAATCTTTACTTATCGAATAATCATTAATATTTTTATCACACTAAGTTAAAGCAGACGCCAAAATATACGTGGCTTTTCGGCTAGATACGTTTATTCTGTCTAGAATGAGTACCCCGATTGTAAAAAATCAACATTGGTGACAAAAAAAAAAAAAAAATTATTTTTATTTTTATAATTATAAATATATATGTATGTATATATAGCTAATGCCAAATTTTAAAATAAAAAAATGTAAAAAGGAAACAGTAAAATTTGATGATATTTTCATTTATTTTTATATACATCATATATTCTAGCGTACGTTCTAATCTAAAAAAAGGTAGTAGTTTTAAACATTAGTGGAAAAAAATTTTTCCTCTTAAAATACACACAAATATTAATCAAATTAAAAAAAAAAAATTTTTTTGGTTTACTTAAGTGTTCGTTGAACTTAACCATATTTTTGAGCTTTTTATGGACTTTACGCAATCAATTTTGGACTTACAATTTTTTTTTCTAATTATTATTATTCGGCATTAAAAAACGAACAATTTAGATGTACTAAGTAAGNTGGCATTAAAAAACGAACAAATTAGATGTACTAAGTAAGAAATTTGAACAAAAATTGAATAAATAATGACATTTTATGTTTTTTTGAGTATTTTTGGTCAATTTTCTTAAAACGCGTTGAGCGACCTGTAAAAATTTTTTTTTTAATCTCAAATTTTCATAAAATGTTTATTTTAATGTATATAATACATTTATGAGGTATCTCATTAACATTTTGAAGATCGATTTTTTTTGAGCCACCCTAATATATATACATGTAAAGCGACTTAAGTACGTAAACGTATCATGCACAAGATATAGCTGTGTTTTGTGGGCGAGCGAGGCGCGGGGGAACGTTGTACGCGAGGTATATGCGGCGGCTGTAGAAATATATATATACACGTACATATATATAGTAAGGCGACATAAGTACGTAAACGTATCATGCACTAGGCATAGCTTTGTTTTGTGGGCGGGGGGGACGTTATACCTAAGGTATAAACGGCGGCAGCAGCGTTAGGAATATATAAATATATATACGTAAGGCGCATTAGACGCGGGCGGTATTGGTCAGTCAAAATAAAAATTTGTTTATATATATATAATTAATGACAGGCACGCGTGTACGGATACGAAAACTAAAATACAATTTTTCAGGAAAATATTGTTATCGGCTAGTGGTGAGCAGGGTGGGGTGAATGCGTTACGACGTCTAGTTTCAAGGCCATAGACGACGGGGTACGGGAGTATAATAACACTTGGCTGGTGGAGATTTACATACAAACACACAACATACAAGTGAAACTAATATATAAGCGTGTTAATTAGGATCCAACTATGACAACTATGCTGTACAATGTTAAATCACAGTAAACCGATTATCTTATCAATATTGACTTTTTTCATTGTCCCAGCAATAATAACCTGCTGAAAGTTTTCTGTAATTATTCTATAATATTGATATAATTATTATAATTAGAATATTATTAATTGTTGTGCATACCAGGGGCGTATTTAAGGGGTATATGGACGATATTTTTTTAGGCCGACCTCTATGAAATATGGCTCTAATAACCTTTTTTTTAATCATCCCTTTGATGTTTATCAAAAGTAAAAAAATTAAATACGCCCCAAGTGAATACCTCAGTAAACAAACGTCAACCTTATATCCATACATTTTACTATTTTCTCTCTTTGAATTTTCTTGATTTTATTAATTAATTTTTTAATACATTTTTGTTACACTGATTCTGGTGTAATATTTTTCTTGTAAATCACTCATTGTGACCGGCGTAGTCATGGACTTATATCAGAATCAGTGGCCTACTTATGAGGACCGCCTAATGAGTCTTGTAGGGCTTCAGCTAGGCAAAGCCTAGTAATATAATATATTATGTAGGACATGGATATTTATCAAATTTTGTTTAGATCAGACATATTTACACATTTTTTTTAAAAGAATCACTTTTTAGAGCATTGCTGAGTTTCCAAGGGGAGGGGCATGTCTCTCTTGCATTCTTCTCCACAGGTGTGCAAGGGAGAAAAGTACTAGATAATACAGAGGCAAGTCTTTGTAGATTTTGCACCTAAAAACAAATTAGAGTCCCATTTTTCAAAATTATTTTTTGATAGTATTTTTTTTTTATTTAGAACAGTAATAATTATGCAGTAATCAAAAACATAATTATACCTTATTAATTTTTGTGATATAATTCTTATAAAAATAAAAATATTGATTTAAAATTGGAGAAACTAGAGTCTTAATTTGTAAGGGTATATTCATAAAAATATTTTTACTCTCTCCAAAGGAAACACTATCTTAATCATGTAGTCATCTTTGCTCTGTAATGATCTTTCCCTATTACCCTTTAATTATTACCGTGCTCAACTATTTTTATTATACTTTACTTAAACATTTAAAATCTATTAAAATATTATGATTGATTACTGTATTTTTGTGTTTAAGCACCTGTAGACTGATTGGTGTCAGAATAAAAATTTAAAATAATTTTACACAAATTTAATTTCTAAGATACATATTTACCAAATAAGTAATTAATATATATTTATAAACTAATTTAGGGATAATTTAATAAATAAATATAAATTTTGTATAGACTATTAAAATTTTACAAAATATTTAGTTATTAAAACCATTATTTTCATTTTAAAATTACTTCATAATAATTTTTTATTTTAATATTTAACTAATTTTTATATTATTTTATGATTTCAGAAATGATGTAACAATTCTCGAGAGTATATTATTCAAGGGCATGGGTGCTTATCCTGTACTATCATTTGGATCAAAAAAAAAATTGCCTCCTCTAATTTTCGATTTAGAATCTAGTCCCATGATTGATTTAATGTGTAGTAAAAGTATGTTAAAAAAAGTATTTATTAACTATCAGTTGTATATTATTTTACTAAAGTATGATTAGATTAAAATTATATTTATGATGAAAATAATCATAACCTCAAACTTATCAAAAAATTATTGTAGACCATTCTTTTTTTTAACCAATCTTATATTACTTATACTAAGAATGATTAAAAAATAATAAAATTTGGACTTGGCCATATTATGCACAACACTAACAATGTATAATAAAAATTGATCACTTGTGGCTAATTAATTAAGTAAAATTAAAACTATATTAAAAATATTATAAATTTTAAAAAACTAAAAAATATTAAACTCAAAGCCACAAAAAATTAATGATAAGTCGCGGATATGTATTTCGGAAACAATGTTACCATCCACGCTAAACACATACTGACAGTTATTAATTTATTTTAAGTATTCGTTAATTATCTTCTTATTATAATTAAGTGTAGTTAATAAAAATTTTAGATAGAACTAATCGAATATTTTTTAAAACCATTCGGTAACCTATTTGAAACGTTTTTAAAACTATTCGATAGTTTATGCTAAAAATAAACTATTCGGTTGTATTCGATAGTTTAAAATATTCGAAAATGACCATCACTAATAGAAATACAAAAATATTAAGAAGCCATAAAAATACAAAAAACTAAGAATCCATAGAAATCCAAAATCGCTAAAAAGCCATATAAATACAAAAACATTAAGAATACAAAGAAATACAAAAATAATAAGAAGCCATAGGAATGCAAAAAACTAAGAAGCCATAGAAATGCAAAAACACTTATAAGCCATAGAAATACAAAAACACAAAAAAGCTATAGGAATGCAAAAACATTAAGAAGCCAAAGAAGTAAAAAACTATTAAGTCATAGAAACACCAAAATATTAAGAAGCTACAACAGAAATACAAAATATTTGCCCCTGTGGATAGGAGATAAGAATATTTCCATGGCCCTCTGGCAGTTGTTAGAGGCGACTAATGAGGTTGAGTCAGGTCGACAGCAGGCGTACAATTTTTCTGAACAAAATTTAGGCGGATTGTCCCATCTAGGGTCAATAGGCGAGAGGAAATAAAATAGTTAAAAACGTAGAAGGCCTAAGGAATAAAATGTTTGATACCAGCCAAACACTTGTGCAGTAGCTGTTTCACCAGTCATGTGTACAGGTCTCCATCACCACTTAATTCTAGACTGAACTCATGTATAAGGGAGAAAAATAGATACAAAGTAAGAATAGGTACTTGGAATGTTGGAACATTAAATGGTAGAAGTAGAGAATTAGTACAAGTATTGAAGAGGAGAAAAGTTAACATTTGTTGTGTGCAGGAAACCAAGTGAAAGGAAGAGAAAGGAAGGAAAATAGGTGAGGGTTATAAAATAATATACTCAGGTAAGTCTATTACAAATAATGGTGTAAGGATAATAATGTATGAGGAGATGAAAAGTAAAATAGTAGAAGTAGTTAGGAAAAGTAAGAAAATTATAGTTGTAAAATTAATCATCGAGGAAAAAGTGCTGAATGTAATAAATGCCTATGCAGCACTATAAGTAGGCAAGGAAGTGTTTTGGAGAGAGATAGATGAGGTGATACAAAAGTAAGAGAAAAAGGTCTAAAGATTATCACTATGTAAGGTGTATTATAATATGAAAAAAAGATGGAAAGAGTATTTTGGAAAATTATTGAATGAGGAGTACCCAAAAAAGACATTAGAGGATATCTCATGGAATGAGGGACAGGTAGATTTAATTAGGGAGAAAGAGGTTGCGGCATCAATGAAACAGAATAAAGCAGTAGGACCAGATAAAGTCTGGAAAGTATTAGTGTTGGCATAAGGTGGTTGAAGGATCTTTTAAATAAATTCTTATTAGAAGGGAAAATCATAAATGAATGGAAGAATAGTATTATGCCAATGATAGGTGAAATGAGGAGATCTGTGATAATAGGCAAGGACGTGATTGGAGAGGTGGAAAGTTTTAAGTATTTAGGGTCAGTCGTGCAAAAGAGCAGTGGTATTTGGGAGGATGTAGACACAGGAAAATTCGGGTGGTTTAAGTGGAAAATTGCGTCTGGCGTCTTATGCGATTAAAGAATTCCAAAGAGGCTGAAAGGTAAATTCTACAAGACTGTAGTGAGACCAGCTGTGATGCATGGTTCAGAGTATTGTGTGGTTGATAAGAAAGTAGAGCAGAGAATGAGTGTAGCAGAGATAAGAATGCTTAGATGGAAGAGTGGAGTGACTAGAAAAGATAGAATAAGGAACGAGCATATAAGAGGGAATATAGGTATGGCGTCAATTGTGGATAAGATGAGAGAAAATAGATTTAGATGATTTGGTCATGTTATGAGGAGAGAAGAATCGGAAGCTGTAAGAACAGTTATAAAAATGAATGTTGAAGGAAGAAGAGGTAGAGGAAGACCAAACAAAGATGGAGGGATGCTATTGGATGCTTTATGAGGACAGCTGATATGACCGAAAATAATGTGGGAGATCGTATTAAGTGGAAATTTAGGATAAGGATGGCTGACCCAAAGTAGTTGGGAATAAATGAAGATGAAGAAAATAGAAATACAAAATATTAAGATGCCATAGAAATGTAAAAACATAAGAAAGATTTTATTTATACAATAACATACTACTTATATCAATTATTCTTAAATTTTATTAAAAAAATGAATAAATACTTTAGTAAAACTAAACGGTTGGAAAAAATATCAAATTTATGGTAATCCAAATAAAAAATGCGTACTCATGATTATCTGTCAATTTTTTGTTAATAATGTGGCTCATTGAACAACTTAGTTCACTAATTATTATTTATTTTTTTTTAGATAAAACTTTTTTACCGTCAGAAACAAGAATATTTTTAATAAAAAATCCTGGTAAACATGCAGTTAAAGTTACTTCAATGACAATAAATAGTGTTCTTTGTAGTGGTTATGGTTTCAGAATTTTAGACTGCAGAAAGTTTATTATTTTACCTAATCAAACTAGAGAAGTAAGCATCTTAATATCAAATAAAAAACTTATACATAATTAATAATAAAGCAGAGTTAACATAGAAAATTTCTGTTGGCCTCTGAATGAGTTGAAATATTTCTTTAAAATTTTTGTATTTAGTTAATTTCTGTTAAATGATAGTATTTGATTATGTAATCTTGTTTTTAGATATCTGTTGAGTTTACTGCTGATTTCACATTGAGATCTGTAATGAGGCAGTTGGAAATAAATACTGAGGAAAAAATTGGTTCAGAAACTACTAGTCGTATTTTTATTTATCAACTATGGGGAATTGTACCATCAGAGTGGGATCTATGCAAAGACAAATATACATGGCAAGAATTTCGAAGAGGAGATAATTGGGCTAGACCAGAATGGGAATCGTCAATTGGTCAAATTATGCTTGTTGCAGCTGGAATACTTATGATTATAGCTTGGCTAGTATCATTAGCTGCAGTCCATACAATTGACAAAGATTTTTTATCAAAAAATTTAGGCAACCCATGTGTTGGAATATATGGAAAAAAATCTTTTCAAATAGTTTTAACACAATCCACAAATTTAAAAAAAACTGAGTACAAGTAAAATACCAATTTTAGTCGTAAGCTATTTATTCTAATAGTAAATATTATGTAATCCATTTTTTAGACATTCTAAGCACAAAGAAAGTAACGATGACAAGAGACCAGAACTTATACGAGATCCCACCTCGCTAGGTATTTCTCAAAGTGAAAATAGTTATGTAAAGCCTTCAGATACAACACCAATTTGGAGTTTTATGTTGCGGAGTTCTGAACCAGAACAAGAACAAGTATACTTAATAATAATAAGGAACACTTAAGATATAAGAAAATGAGCAGATAAATATTTAACAAATTATAAAATTTTATAAATTTATTATTCTTATTTTAGACATGTTAGGAAACAATAATATGTAAAATTTAATACATAGTCAGTATGTAGTAAGGGTGGGTGCAGCTCGTACTAATGTATTTATTAACGCTTACATTCCATAACAATTTTAACGCAACATATCTAGTAGATAAAGTTATTTAACTTTTCAAGACATTGTGGATCACTATATATACAGAGTGATTATTTAACTATAACTCTTACAATATCTTTAAAAATATAAAATATAGTACAATTTTTCTTTTCTGAAATCAATAGTGTCTTATTTTCTGTAATTTCCAGAAAACAACAATTTATTCTCCCTTTATTTCTTATAATTTTATCAACTTAAGTTTTAAAATTGAAACATTTATGTTTAAACAACTTATAGACTACAAAATGATCTATCTAATATAATTACTGATTAATAGTTTCGTTTAAAAAAAATTATTGTATAAAAAGTTAAAAGTGTATCACTTTCATTACAAAAATTTAATTCTTGTGTTGGAAACTCCATATAGCTTAACAATACATAGGTGTGTATACAGGGCAGCAGAAATACCGATTGTATTTCCAAACTGGTTTAGTTCTATTGAATTAGGCTGTTAATAATTGGTATTCAATAAAAAAATGTCGATTTCCTTAAAATATTATCTTACTTTATTATACAAAAATTTCAATCTAAGAACAAAATTGGATGTTCAGGGTAAATGTTTCTTAAATCTTCCATAAAATATAGACTCTTAATAGAAAGCTAGACAATACGAAATTGAACCTTGATACTTATACACAGCGAAATGAAATATTCCCAATCAAATTAAATAGACCACCTTCCATGTTTTTATTAAACATTTTGATTTATCATACATTATATTTAAAGTTATCTAACATTTATTTATTTTCTAAGAAAATACTACAGGACTATTAGTAAAAAAAAACCCTATTGATATAATGGTTTAATTTTCAAAGTTAGCCAACATTAAATGAATATTTAGTGAAATAATTTTGTTTTACTCATATAAAATCACTTACAGAATTTTTATAGATTAAAAATTTACTTTTTATATAATTTAATTTAAGTATATTATTTAACTTTTAAATCTATGTTATATATGTCAATTATTTCTCATATTAATATATTTTAGAAAATAGAAAAAGATCGAAGTAGATCACATTTATTAGACAATCAGCATAAAGAAAAAACAAAAAAAAGATATGTAAATCAAGTATTGATAGAAAATGAAAACTCTAACCAAAAAATTTCAAACACTTCTTCTTGGCAAATAACTAGAAATAGGTATAGTTAATTATTTATGACTAATTACTAATATGTCGAACTTTATATGTAGTAGAATCTAAGTAATCTTTATTTAATTATATAATATAATAAAAGTATCCTTTAAAAGTTAGTATTGATTTTAATCTACACATTTCTGATTTATCTAATTATAGATTCCCTAATTAACAAAATTATCATGTTGTAAAGATGAAAATTAATTTTTTTTGTCTTTGTAACATATTTTATTTAAGAAATTACTTCTTAAAAGTAAATGAATTATATTCTAAAATACTCTATTGAGCAATTGAACTATCATCACAATACTCTAAAATTTATTTTATTAAAGCTTTTATAAATTCATAAAAAAATAAGTATAAATGCAGCATTTGTGATAAAATACATTTTTTGTAATTGTATAGATCTCCAGCATTAGATACTCAGAATAACAAGAACTCTAAAGTAGAGGATTTTAAATTTGAAATAGAAAATCGCAGAAGAGCTGATAAGCTGTTAAAAAAACAATTTGGCATAAAACCTGTTGATAGCTGGAGAAAACATAAGAAAGCTATGAATGCAGCAAAGTACTTTGAAGAAATTCCTATAACAGAAAAAATAAATATAACTCAAGACTCACTAAAACCTATATTGGATCCTAAGATTGATTCAAAAGCACTAAAATCTGTCAGCAAAAGTAATAAAAAGACTTCTGCTATTACTCTTCCCATGACAAAACAGATTAATAATCCAGAATTACCAGCAACTTCAAGTCTTTCTACTTCTGAGATAGTGAAAAAACCTATAGCATCTGTAGCACCATATCAAATTGTTCTTCCAAAACAAACAATTGTTCCAAGTATAGTTAATGACCGTACATCTGAAAAGTGTATTTTAACAAAGCAAAAACCATTAACTCTTACTAACAAAATTGAAAAAGACAACAACATAACTATTAGGCCAATCATTTCTAAAAAATCAATAAGTGAAGATGATGGGTTTCTTGCAGAGTATAAATATATGAAGAAAAAAAATAAATTGGATAGAAAATCATCATTACAATCAACACCTAATGGAAAACATAAAAATGTAACTGTTGAAAGTTCTTCCAATACATCTAAAACTAAAACCAAAGAAATTTTACAGCAAAACGTTGAAAAAAAAGAATTTGTATCTACAATTAACTCAAAAATTGAAGCTCAACTTGTAACGGAAAAAAAAATTACTGTTTTAAAAAGAAGAAATGATAATAATAAACATCCAGATATCGTATCAACTCTTATAAATAAACATGGTTTGTACCTTACTTCTTGATGTAACTAATATAATTTTAACATAAATATCTAATTATATTTGAAACTATTTTCATGATTTCAGTTTACCAACTTTTATTTTTTTTATTTTAGTAGTTGTATTTGAACTATTTAAGTTTCAAGAAAACATTTAGCATTACATAAAAAGCTAGTAATTGTGAAAAGGGCATAATTCATTTGTTTTTACCTAAGTTTACATTTTTTTATAAAATATTTAATTTATTTTTTGTAGGACCAGTTGGTTCTGGAAGAGATAGAAAACATGAAGAACTAATGATTAAATGCAACACTAATTCTGATATTATCAAAAACTCAAAAGATAATTCAGGTATTGTATTTATATACATATATACATTACGATATCAGTGGTATATCCGGGATTTAGAGTTAGGGGTAATCTTCAATTTATATATATATATATATATAAAATATTTTTAGTAACATTAAAAACTTATAATAAAATGTTTATTTTATTTTCATACTTTAAAAATAAATTAAATATACTGTGATTTTTTTTATAAATGTTTAAGAAATTAAAAACAAAAGAAAATTGATAAACAAATTTTTTGTTATTAAAACAACAATAGTTAATTCATATTAATTTTCTTTATTTTGAATTATGTAAAAACATAATATTTCCATAATAACAAATAAACTTTAAAAAATTTACTAAAATTTTAGTTATAAACAACAAAATCGTCATCTCAGTACTCCAACATCTTTGTGTTATGAGATAATAATATTTCAATAATTGATGTTTATTTGAGTATTAATAATTAGTTTAACAAAGTAGGTAATATGATATGGAGTGGTATATTAGGTATATCAAAATTAATTAAAGTTGTCAGTTAGACCTGTTTTACTCTGTATATATATATAATTAAAAATTTAAATGTTTAGGATCATTATTTACTGTGTTTGACAATGCTACAAAATCCTTAAACTGTGATAATTCCAATAAAAAATTGACATTTTCATCAAATGACACCAGTTACAATTTATGGACATCGTTTGTTTGGGGACCTGTTTCTGTACAAAATAATAAAAATCGAGGATCAAAAATATAACATTTATTATACATGTAAGTGTACCTCATGTAACCTTGTTTTATAAAAAACAAGTTGTTTTGTTTTAAATAAAAAAATTAATTAATTTAGTGAGGACATCATAATTTATTATCAATAGTTTATTATCGATTCAGGATTAGTATTGGAGACACTGCCAGTGTGACTACTTTTAAAACATTAGTCTTAAATAATTCTTTTTTAATCTACAAGTGTTATAAATTTGTTCATATATCTAGGCAATAATGTAAATGAAATTAGATTATTTTTGTTTTAATTAATTTTAAAACTTCTAAAGTATGTTTTAAATACTGATTTGTTTGTATTTATAATTATTTTTTACTTTGTTGATTTTTTTTTATTGTGTCTAAAAGTTTTAAAAATAAATACAAAATTTTCTTACAGAATAACATGTTGGTAATATTTTTATTGATAAATAATTTAAAAACTATGAACAATTCTTAAAAATAATAAATATAAAAATCTATAGTAAAAATATATCTCTGAATTATTACACTAACTAAATTAATTATTATAATAATATATGTATATAAAAAGTAAATTTTTTCTCAATTTTTTTTTAAATAATAATTATACTAAAAAATTATTTTTTAGTTTCATATTTTTCTTAATTTATCAGTTTTTCATTTTTTCATTTTTTTTTTTTTTTTTTTTTAATAATTTTAATAATTTTTTAATTCATCTCTTCTACTATATATAGTTTTAACTTTACTTTTTTTAAATGGCAGTATACATATTTAACTATCTTATAAAATTAAGAATAATTTAATTAAGAAAATTTGTGGTCAATAACAACTTATTACCCATTGCTTGAGGGGTCATTACCATTTTAAAACATAGATTGAAAGTGAGACAGAAGTACAAAATTATATATTATTTTTTGCCCACAAATCTTCTCCCGCCTAGACATAAAAATTTTAATAACAGAAGTATTGGACAAAAAGTTGCTATTAATCAATCATGTTCTTAATTAGAATATTTTGAATTTTTTACATAGTGAAATAGGCATGTTTCTATAAAAAAAATTGACCTTATGTTATTATGAGTATCATAAGTATATAAGTATGAATCAAAAATGTAATTAATAATTGGTAATTAATATATACATATTTTAATATATGTTATATATTATAATATAGATATTGTTCTAAACAATGAGAACAATAGAAATCTGTTTCCTTACTTACTGAACACTCTATATATGAAACTAAAAAATTTCAAAAAGGATTTTCTTAACATAATTATTATACTAAGAGAAATTGATAAATGAGAGTAGCTTTTGAAAAAAACAGCCTGTATTTAGTTATTTTAATTTATCATTACAGCATAGTGATTATTGGGTTAAATGTTATTAAAGTTGTCAGTTAAATCTTTTCAACTCGTTGTATAAATATATTGTATGTTGTATTAAGTCTCATATTACTAAAACAATTTAATTATTATAGTTCTATCAAACTTTCAAAACTAATAAATTTTTTTTAAAAATTTATGGAAACTAATCCTATTACATTATACTAATTTTTTGCATTTAAAAAATGATAGAATTTATAAACAATAATAAAAAAAACCCTAGATGGGTAAAATAAAATATAACTGATTATATGGTGAGCTTAAATGACAGACAGTAAACTAAAAAAAAAAAAAAAAAAAA